AATAAATTCAGTATGATATAAAATTGAATATTATGTACGGTTTATATGTCCATCTATTTACATTCGGATATTCAATTTTTTTAATATTACTTGTCTTTTTTCTTTATTTCCCATAATCCATTTCTAACAAATCTCTGGGCCGCATCTTTATTTATACGCGGCATTAGAGTCTTCCTGTCGTTTATTTGTTTTGCTCGTAACATAGACTTCTTTAAACGTTCATTTTCCGACCTTATACGGTGTTTTGCTGGATCAGTTCCTATGATTGATTAAATTATTATAAACTAAAAGTCGCACAATGATTAGTTCAATTTTTGAAAAATAAAACATTACCTTCCGCACGTAAATACATCCAAAACATACTGTTCAAACAATAAGATAACAGTAGATTGTATTCGACTTTATCTGTGTTCGAAAGTGTCTCGTACGTTGCTGGATTTAGAGCAAGTTTAATTGTATCGTCTATCCTTATCGTCGCCTCTCGAAATTGTTGAATTTTCGAAATGATATCTGCGTCATTTGATAATTCTTCAAATTCTGAACCCATTTTCTAGAAAAGTTAGATTTTCTATGAAGGTTATAACCAAGATCACACCACGATCTTACACGAGCCGTGGGCTGTGTGTACACTCTCAGAACTTCGTCTGTATACAGAGAGAAGGAGGACATTGGTCTTTCTCTATTGCTCCTCAAGCGTTAAATTCAAATGGCACAGCAGCTGAGTGTTATGATGACAATGCCGATTCTCCACTCCTATCCTGCTACATATTTTTTTCTGCAAAGAACATGATAAAGAATTGTAGAGCCGAGAGTGCTGTAAGAGATAATTTTTAATTTCAGCCGTAAGCGCAATCGCTCCGCTTTATACCTAACCTAACAACCGCCGAACGCGGTTGCTAGGCAACGCCAGCTACCTGTGGCAGCCATCTTGCCTTCTTACCTAGCGTTACGTTACGCGTCGCCATTCACCCTTCGCGCGCAACATACCGGTGTTTGATTTTAACCAAGAAGCCCTTGTACTCTCGTGATTTCAGTCGATCTAAGTGTCACGACGTATTTATTACTTCACGTAAGTGTTCCAGATAATGTTCTTACACCATTATTTCGAGACTCTCGCCATTAATTCTGATTAACAAATGCGTACTTGCTCAACTACCTGTTGGTCATGTCTGGCATACATTGTTTGTACTTATACGAGTTTTCTTTGCAATCTTTTGAAACTGCACGTTTGCTACGTTCTTAGATTTTCATTTTTACACAGTCGTTTTACATATGCGTTCGCTTTACCCCAGTCTTCACTTCATCGAGGACGAGTGCATGACTGTCGGGATGCTGGTCCGTAACAGGTAGGCAGTCATCTTTCTTTAGCAGTGAGAATGTTATAAAATGAGGTAAATTTGCATTTTTTAAATATTGAATTAATACATTTATGTAGGATAGATAAATAAATAACACATGAATCCAATGTTCGATATTTATGCGTAGCTTTTAATATTAGACTGCTAAATTGCGTTCAATGTTGTTACACTTTTGGATTTAGGAAAATAGAAATATTCGAATTATTGATCCTTCCTCTTTTGTTTCGTAATTTATTTTCATGCGTTAATACGATCGTGCTTTGGTTTACAGTTCGAACGCATAGTTTAAGTACACGATAAATCGCATTTCGATTTTACGCAATTTCAAGTAAATCGCTTAAAAATAAATAACAATCGTAAAGAATGTTAGCCTCGATGAGTCAACTTGTTTTTTTGCTAAAGAGCAGCTGATTCATTGACAGACATTATATAAATATATGCGAGGTTGAGATACCGTATCGATGAACTTTGTTTTCGGTCAGTTTTATTCTGGAGATCATACTCTTGGAATAGTTCGATACTCGAATTCTGCAAGAGTCATTTAATCGTTGCCAAACCGATTTGACTTTTGAGTCGTTGATCGATTTCATTTAATCGTGCCCCTGCAAACGCTGGATATGCACGCAAAAGTTGTGCAATTACTGGGACAGCGCTTTGCATTGTTTACAGTTCTCCATCCGCTCGTCGAATTCCTCTATTTGAAGCGTCATTTCGAAAAACTTATACTTATCGTGAATATTTCTGGTGGCAGTGCGTAATATATCGTGAGGACTCGCACCCGGTTCTGCGTTAAACAGTAACAAATGTAAGATTACGCGATGAATCGCCTAATAGGGAAGAGTAATTGAACGCTTACTAATTGCGAGATGCGCGGACAACGCTGTTTTGTCCAACGAAAGCGCCCAGATGCGGAGGTTGTGAACTTTGACCACACCTTCGATCTGCATGAACGTGCTCTCCACTTGGGAATACTCAAATCCTTTTGGTATCCCTTCCATTAAAACGTTCATAACGTCCTTGATTATCGCGACCGTGGTCAATATGACCAACAGCGAGAAGAGGAAGGTGCAAATCGGATCGACTATTTTCCAATCCGGCTGCAATCGTTATTAAAGTTTAATTTTAAATATGCAGACACACTTGACGCGTATCGCGCACGTACCTTAAAATAAATGACTAACGCCGCAATGAGTACCCCTACGCTTTGAATAAAATCGCCTAAAACATGGATAAAAGCGGCGCGGACGTTGATATTCGTTCTATCAACTTCCTCATCGAGTATTGGATTCTCTGGGTTTCTACTAGATTTATGTGATTCGTGTTCGTGTCCGTGGCCGTGTCCATGGCTATGGCTGTGCTGATGCAGCGATAAACCCATTCTGGAAAAGCAAAGTTGGGTCGATTCTATTTAAGTTCAACGAGATCGACTCACCCTGTCAATTGTAAGCGATCGATGATCTGAGATCAACGTAGCGCGTTACTAACATTAGATTTATTGCGACGCCCACGGCGGAGGTGATTAGCATCACGGTGACATCCAGCTCGAAATCTTCATGAATCACTCGTTCGACCGCCAGATAAAAGAGGATTCCCGTAACTACCCAGATTAAGAGAACCGACGTCAGTGCCCCTATTACCTGTCCGCGGCAATTAATACTTATTTATAATACACATTAGTCAACTAAATTTTGATGAAAGCCGATCTTCCAACTTTTTAATAAAAATTCATAGTATGCTCGATTTAAAGTATGAAGCTTCTCTGAAAATGATACACACTTCCGCTCGATACCAGCCGAAGGGCATTTTCCTCGTGGCTGGTCGACTCGCGACCCATATCGAGAACAGGGAGATCATGAACGAGGCGAAGTCGGTTAACAAATGCGCGGCGTCCGTCGCGATCGCCAAACTGTTTGAAAGCACTCCGCCTAGAAAAGAAAGCGAGAAATCCATCGTTTCATTCGGAAGCAATCGGCCGTACAAGTATCTGTTGGTCTTCCCAAACGCACGTGGATCGCTCGGTGCATGGTGTATTACCTACGATTTCTGCTATCATAAAAATTACGCATAGCGTACTAGCAAGCAGTAATTTCCTTCTTGCCTTTTTATCGATCTCCTCGTTTCTCTCTCTGTGACAATGATCTTCTGGTGCAGCTGCAACAGAGACAAAAACGAGCAAGTATTATTGATTCATATCATATAAGGAAACTATTTGTGAGACAAATAGAGAAGTTTCTATTTAAAAAAAACAGTGCAACTGTTGCACTTATGAAGCTCAAATATTTTCTTCCAATCTCAAATAAAAAATGTTTGATACATAATTTTCATTCTTACTGGTAGAATTATTTTGTAAATCGACGATGGTGGTGGTGGACGTAGTAGTGGTAGTGCTGTTTTCGCTAATCGGAGAGTTGCTACTTTTTACTACTGTGCAGCACCCGGATAGTTTCCCGTGGACGCAAAAGATCACTTTCTTCGATGACGCCTCGCTCTCGTCGGTCTCATTGTTATTCGGTGGGATGCTCGTCCCATATCCGTACACCGCCTTGTCTTTGAATCTAGACAAAGAACAAAAAGATCGATTGACCTCGGACTTTTATGGTTCCGTCTAAGGGCAAATCTTGCCATTTTAAATGTGCATCCCAGATAATCGAGCAGAATCCTGTTTCGTTTATTAGCCACTTGAAAACATTTTCTCACTGCGGATGCATATCCAAAGTGGATAAGTAATTTCAATTTGCCTTAGCTGCGATTAATCGTTACAAGTGATTGAAATCAACAAAAGAATATAGCCAACGAGACGTACTCCGAATCCGAGTACGGGAGAATCGTCGCGCACACCAGATTCTTCTTCACAATCTCACGATTTTCCAAATCGTTATCGGCCATCTGTTTTCTCAGACCACGTGATAGCAGTAGAGTTATTTAAAAAAATTGATCCAGTTGTAGAAATATCGCTAATAATTAACGATACTTATTGTCAGCGGAACTAATTAGTATGTGAGTTCATAATACGTCTGCATTTAACGAGCAGGCATCCTCGTGCTCGGTTACGGAGATAAAGGAAGAATGCAAAGAAGACAATTAACAAAAGCACAGTATCATTGATCATTCCGAATATATCGCACGTACATCTTGCGCTTGACGATGTTTGGAAACACGAGACACGAGTTTACGACTAGACTGTTTTCTTTCGATTACGGTTACATTCTTCCAACCAGATTCATTTTATATTCACGTTATCACGGAATGATTATCCCTGATTGTAATCGTAATACGTAACTGTTTTGTCGCTACAATTCGAATACAAACCGAGACAGATAAGACAATAAACGGATTGGGTAGAAAAGAGGATCATCAGTTAATGATAACGTGACGCGAAGACTTCTGGTTATACAGTGTGTCCGGTTTAAGTGAGAACAGTCGAATATCTTGAAAATGATAGAAAGAAATTATTCACAGACAAAAGTTGTAGCGTACCGAGCGGTAAAAATTACATAGTAGTATATGTCACGGAAGGATCCAGCAATGCTGGAGCTGTTCTGTTTGCATTGTAGATGAGTTAGAGTCAGTTTCCCGCTTCTTTTGAAGTATCATTATTTTTATTAGATACCGAAAAAAGTTCGACCGGTTTTCCCCAGTGGCATAATCGGCTAATCGGTTTTCTAGATTCTGACAAACAGATCTTCTTTGAAAGTATCGAAAAACACTTTTTCTCTCATATTTATCGATGTGTTCTCACTCAGTTAAGCGGCACACGCCGTATAGGAGAGATCATACATGCTTCTCCTAACGATCGTTATCGCGTCACACGTAACCTGTTATCTGACAATAAGATACCGACGAGGATGCCGTGTGCAAATGCGTATTCGTTAGATTCTTATCCGTAAAAATAGTCGCCTTCAGGCAACCGTTTTAATGCCGTGTGCAAAACTCAGTACCGGACGAATCGTATCCGGTTTCCAGGATCGTCCCTTCGTTTTCCAATACACACGTTATTATTTCAATGGAAGAGATGCGGCAAACGGAAGGACGATTTTATTTTACAATTCATATTCAAGGTGGAATTGTAAAGCGGAACAAGCTGAATAAAGGATAACGCGTACTTTATTCGTTATCGTTGCGTCTATGAATGTGTTCCCGTGGTTGCTCGTTTGTTCAGCGAATGTTGAGCTGAGGTATGCAAGTACATCATCGTGATTGGAAACCGAACACCATAAACGAAGGTAACCACGAGATAATCACGGTTAACCACGTGCAGAAGCTCATCATTCGATAATCATTTCTTTTTATACACACTGAATTACGAATAAACTTTGAATCAAATATACTAATAAGTGTATATTTTAGTTACAAGAAATGATGAAGCAAAGACAGCGGTACAGAGAAGAGTCGTAAGCTTTAACTCATAGCGAAGGAGGGGTATTTTGACAAGAGGACTCGGATCGAATTCAAAGCATTCATTGGGAAACTTATAGATTGTTGTGATACGCGATGCTTGGTTTCTCGAACGAAACGTGTCCCCTCGATGCAAGGATATTGAATTCGAGGAAGTGTGGTGCGGCGCAGAGGATTTAAATATTGGACGGTAAGAGGAGGAAGTAGGGCAAGGCCGATCCGATCTGTACCGAGACGATCCGATTGAATCCGGAAGGATTTTTGAACTCACAGCTTGATCCTCTCGTCCATGATCCTCGTGTGGTACGCGTTGCGTGTTTGTGTGAGTGTGAGGCGGTTGCGTGCGAGCGTGCGCTTACGGTGAACAACGGGCGCCGATCGCGATGCGGAACGGTCGATTCACCGTGCGGTGGATCGATCGAAAATATGGGAAAGAAAAGCGAAAGGTAGGTAGACGAAAACGCGGCGACGCGATGCGGCGGTGCAGGACTTGGCAACGCGTGACGAGACGAATCGGGGAGAAGGGAGCTCGACGCGGAGGTGGAGCGCCAGCTGAAATGGAGCGATCCCGGTCCGGTTTGTATTAAGTCTTCGACCGATCGGAAAGACTTGGACGAACTGTCGGCACGTCACTGGTTACATAAATAACGAAAGCCGTCTTCCACTTCATGCCTCCTTTCAGTATGAGACACTCTGTTCAGTCTAATCCGTTTGTTTTAACTACCAGATAGCTCGGTTCGATGAGTTTCTCCTCTCCGATTCTTCCCCCTATCTCCTCTGCTCCCCTCTCCAGTTTTCTTTATCCCACTTGTTGCTTGTTCCCCAAGCCAAGATCGCTCTCTACCGATTTAATTTCCCTCGCTCCACCGTTCCTACCGCAACCGATGATTCCCCCCACTCACACGTTTCCTCTATCTGTATCTGCTTTTCAAACTTCCTATCTGCTTGTTCGTCACTCACTCCGTCTTCGTCCAGCGAGATAGCCTTCCAACCCGATGTATCTCGCTTTCCTGTTCCTGTCGATTGTCACCACGATTCTTTTAATGAACGATCATGACTCACGATCATCACCCGCACTCACGTGGCTTAAACGCGTTTATTAATTTCATTATTTTAAAGTACATTCGAGCGATTCTCTTTTTCTTTCTTTCGTTATCCAGGAAATTTTATTTCTTCCATTTTCGTCATTATCAATGTTTATTTATAATTTGTACTTGTCGTTGTAGGACGAGCACGTCCTATGAGAGGGTATATGAGTGAATAACAAGTGGAAATATGTAAAAGTGAATTTAAAAGAGAAGATGTTAAAGATAGAAAGGTAGTATACACGTTTCATATAATAAAAATAGTTTAGTAAGGGTAATTGTTAATAGTAAGATAAATCAGGATAAAAAAGTGGTAAATAAAAAGTAAAAAAAGTAAGTTAAAACGTAATTATATAGTAAAGAAAGGTTTACTTCGTATTCATTTAATGTTTAGTTTTGTTAGTTAATTTCACATTTGTCTTACGTTGCCTTAGTTTAGTTCATTTATAGTTTAATAAAAATAAATGGTTTTTCAGGAATGTGACGACGATGAATAATGAAGAGTGGAATGTTTCGTTATTGTGCAAGGGTACGGAGGAATGAACGATAAATTTTTCAAGGTGTATAAACTATTACTCCTATTATTGAGCCGGTAGGGCTAGAACGAATGATATTATATATACTTATTTAAAATTATCCCCGGTCGTTGGTAAACAAGCGCGTGTGCGCTTTGCCGCTGATCTTCGAGAATCGAGAATCGTTTTCCGATTCGAATCGTTCAAACGCGGACGAAAATGATATCTGTTGCGCTCGATTCAAAATGCACCGAGCATATACATATGATTTACCAGATTACGAAGTATTCCGTGGCAATGTTTATCTTTACGATAGAAAATAATTACTTTGATGATATAACGAAGGAAAAGTGAGGCATGATGTGAGATCAAGACGATCTCGCTCGACCGTAACGAGCAGCGCGTTTAATCTTTTTTTGTCACCCACTGTTCGACTTTGTCGTAATCGTGACGAGCTCTTAGCCAAAAGCGAATCATCGCTTCGATTGACACAATCCATGCTTTTCCGATGTTGTTACGTATAAGAATTAAGATTACTCTTAACATTGAACGTCACACAAAGGGAAAAAAAAGTATCGATTAATCATCGATAAAGGAATAGACTTACGCAAGACGACTTGGAAGCTTCCGAACGCGTTCATTCGACATACTAGCAGCAAATCATCGTTAGAAATCGTAAACAATATAATCGCACGAAGGTATACACACGATCCGCTGTCTGCCGTCGGATAAGTTGAGAAGAGAAGTGGAATTTACGTACGATATAAGATTATCTCGTGTGGTTTCGTCCATTCTTGTTTGCGACAAAACGCGAGTTCTTTCTTACAGAGAATGATAGGCCGTTCTTTCGTTTTCACCGGATAATATACACAGAAACGTTAAGCGGGATAAACGGCGAGATATCTCGGATCGCGCTCGCAACCGGTCTATCGTAATCGTCGCGTGTCTCTACAGACGAAAGATGTCATTAGTAGCGAAATAAGACCTGTTACTATGAATTTCCAATTGCTCTTGATCTAACAAGGAAAGATCGACATGTTTGGGACACGGATTTTGATGAGTCTTACATATGTCGTAGTGTAGATGTAGTACAACAACATAACTAACTTTAAATACTTCAAAGATAAGAAGTGACAGCAATATAAACTCGTAAATAGAATAAGAGAGGTAGAGTAACTAAAAGCGGACTAATACATAGTATCATAGAGAATAGATATATGTTTTTATTACTGCAATATTAGTATGTTCACGAAGGTGGAGAAAGCGATATTTAGCGAGTGCCGCAAGGCCATTCTAAATTAAGGAATTTAAATTGCATGGTTTAGTTGTTTATTTGCCATCTATTGTAATGTTGTACGTGACAAAAATAAAGTCGAATTAGTAATCTTACTCCTGACGTTTCGAGCCCTGATGAATGTGTGAAGGACTCGAACCTTCAGGAGTAAGATTACTAATTCGACTTTATTTTTTAACATTACAATAGATGGCAAATAAACAACTAAACCATGCAATTTAAATTCCTTAATAAAGTAAAAAAAGTAAGTTAAAACGTAATTATATAGTAAAGAAAGGTTTACTTCGTATTCATTTAATGTTTAGTTTTGTTAGTTAATTTCACATTTGTCTTACGTTGCCTTAGTTTAGTTCATTTATAGTTTAATAAAAATAAATGGTTTTTCAGGAATGTGACGACGATGAATAATGAAGAGTGGAATGTTTCGTTATTGTGCAAGGGTACGGAGGAATGAACGATAAATTTTTCAAGGTGTATAAACTATTACTCCTATTATTGAGCCGGTAGGGCTAGAACGAATGATATTATATATACTTATTTAAAATTATCCCCGGTCGTTGGTAAACAAGCGCGTGTGCGCTTTGCCGCTGATCTTCGAGAATCGAGAATCGTTTTCCGATTCGAATCGTTCAAACGCGGACGAAAATGATATCTGTTGCGCTCGATTCAAAATGCACCGAGCATATACATATGATTTACCAGATTACGAAGTATTCCGTGGCAATGTTTATCTTTACGATAGAAAATAATTACTTTGATGATATAACGAAGGAAAAGTGAGGCATGATGTGAGATCAAGACGATCTCGCTCGACCGTAACGAGCAGCGCGTTTAATCTTTTTTTGTCACCCACTGTTCGACTTTGTCGTAATCGTGACGAGCTCTTAGCCAAAAGCGAATCATCGCTTCGATTGACACAATCCATGCTTTTCCGATGTTGTTACGTATAAGAATTAAGATTACTCTTAACATTGAACGTCACACAAAGGGAAAAAAAAGTATCGATTAATCATCGATAAAGGAATAGACTTACGCAAGACGACTTGGAAGCTTCCGAACGCGTTCATTCGACATACTAGCAGCAAATCATCGTTAGAAATCGTAAACAATATAATCGCACGAAGGTATACACACGATCCGCTGTCTGCCGTCGGATAAGTTGAGAAGAGAAGTGGAATTTACGTACGATATAAGATTATCTCGTGTGGTTTCGTCCATTCTTGTTTGCGACAAAACGCGAGTTCTTTCTTACAGAGAATGATAGGCCGTTCTTTCGTTTTCACCGGATAATATACACAGAAACGTTAAGCGGGATAAACGGCGAGATATCTCGGATCGCGCTCGCAACCGGTCTATCGTAATCGTCGCGTGTCTCTACAGACGAAAGATGTCATTAGTAGCGAAATAAGACCTGTTACTATGAATTTCCAATTGCTCTTGATCTAACAAGGAAAGATCGACATGTTTGGGACACGGATTTTGATGAGTCTTACATATGTCGTAGTGTAGATGTAGTACAACAACATAACTAACTTTAAATACTTCAAAGATAAGAAGTGACAGCAATATAAACTCGTAAATAGAATAAGAGAGGTAGAGTAACTAAAAGCGGACTAATACATAGTATCATAGAGAATAGATATATGTTTTTATTACTGCAATATTAGTATGTTCACGAAGGTGGAGAAAGCGATATTTAGCGAGTGCCGCAAGGCCATTCTAAATTAAGGAATTTAAATTGCATGGTTTAGTTGTTTATTTGCCATCTATTGTAATGTTGTACGTGACAAAAATAAAGTCGAATTAGTAATCTTACTCCTGACGTTTCGAGCCCTGATGAATGTGTGAAGGACTCGAACCTTCAGGAGTAAGATTACTAATTCGACTTTATTTTTTAACATTACAATAGATGGCAAATAAACAACTAAACCATGCAATTTAAATTCCTTAATTTAGAATGGCCTTGCGGCACTCGCTAAATATCGCTTTCTCCACCTTCGTGAACATACTAATATTGCAGTAATAAAAACATATATCTATTCTCTATGATACTATGTATTAGTCCGCTTTTAGTTACTCTACCTCTCTTATTCTATTTACGAGTTTATATTGCTGTCACTTCTTATCTTTGAAGTATTTAAAGTTAGTTATGTTGTTGTACTACATCTACACTACGACATATGTAAGACTCATCAAAATCCGTGTCCCAAACATGTCGGCCTTTCCTTGTTAGATCTCGTATCCCCCATCGATGGACCTTCTCGTTACGTCACGCACAAATGAATGCGCGGGACTTGCTGACGGGATGATGCATTTGTATTGAGAAATAGTTTAAAAACGTTACAAGTTTATTTCTTACAACTATAAGGTAGATAATACAATAGAAAATCACAATCGCGTGAACGCCACGAACATAGTTTCTCGTTTGTGATTACCACTGCGACGATCACGATTTTTTATCTTCTTAAATAGGACCAGCCGCAGTAGCGTTCAGTGTGTGACGACGAGGTGTTTCTTCTTTCTCATTTAAGAAAATCCTCGTTGGAACGAAGTGTTGAACATCGAAAAATGAAGGGAATTTTTAATTCCCTTCTGACTCCTACTTTCTACAATTCTTCGTGCTTGGAGAAATCTTCCATGTCTTCGAATGTATCTAAAAGATATTCAATCTTTACTTGCTGGCGTACATTTTTATAATTTTATGTTATCTCAAAACTACAAAAAGATAAGCCACCGAGTAGAAACCCTGATGTGTACAGAAATCGGGAGATTTCTTTACTGCTAATATGCCTACCGTTCTCTTCCTTCTCCGTCTGCCTATTTTCGTTTTCTATCTTCTGTTGCAACGTTTTTATTTCCTCGTCGTACCCTACCCACTCCGGTAGAATGCGCATGGCTGCTTGTAGTTTAGCTTCTTTAGTCATCGGATTGTTACACTGTGACAAAATGATTGAACATTGTACTTGATTCTAGTACGTCACAAATCTATTAAAAATAATGGTATTTACCAAGTCTATAGTTTTAGCGAACTTCTTCGAAGCATCGTCGCACCAAGTTTCGCACCATAGCCACTCCTGTGGTAACGTTTTGATAGCTACTTGGTGAATCATGTTATTAGGAAGATCCTGAAATGATACTTGGTTACTTGTATTCAGGATACATCGTTCAATCGATGTTATTTAGGCTACGGACTTGGTCGAGATTAGATAAACTGTTCGGATCTTGACTCAGCGCTTGATACTGTCCTCTCAATCTATCTCCGGCCGCGATCCGCCGGAATCGTTTCAAATCTACGACGTACAGAGCGCTGATGTGATAGGAACGACCCTGCAAGTGATTTCGCCAGTAACCCTGTTTCCAAAATCGGAATCCATCCATCTCTTTCCTACTATCGCAGAATGGAGTGTACGCATACGGTGCACCACCGAGATCCATCGTTGCTAATTCTTTCAAATCTGCTCTCACAACCTATTAATAAGAACGATGGTAATGATAACAATTTTTATAAGCACGACGATTGCCTGTGCTTTATACCTGATCGGCGTCTACGAATATTATCTTTTTAACGCTCAACGGAAAGAGTACATCCAGGAACAGTATTTTATATCCCCATATGGTTCTCTGTTTCTCTGTCTGTTGGTGCAGCCAACGAGGCCATTTGTATTGAACAAGTTCATATTCGAAACCATATTCTTTCGCCATGTGGGGCAGAAAGTCCTAGCGAAAGTTGGTCGTTAATCATTATGCCATACAATTTGATGTACTAGCGATATTTACTTTCACCGTTGGCGAGAGATAATTCTTTAGAAACCAGAATTTAACAGGACTCTTAGTATGCTTTATGACGCTCAACATCATAATTTTCAGGAACCTTTCGTACAAGTGGCCAGAGGCTAGTGAGAAGATGTTTAACTTGTCATCCTGATCTTCGCTATCGTCCGCTGTCGCAAACGTCCTAGTTTCGAAAAGAGTAACATAATTTTAGCAAACAGGGAAGTAGAACGCGAAGAACGTCGTATTAGCTTTTTTGCGACTGTCGACGAAATAATGGCTGTATATATTACGGAAGAGATCGTTAGGAAATAATTATGGGAAGCTTACCAAAATTTGGAAAAGCTAAAACAAGAGAACAAATAGAAATTAAAGTTGAAAGATCATCGATCTCTTAGAGTTATCTGAAATAGTCGACACGCGGCTGATCGGAAAGCGAACAGGACACTTTACTCACCTAGAAATAGAGTTCCATAAGCCAGAGCTTTTGTCGTCTTCCGACAAAAGATCCACTCCGACTTTGTCCGGTTTCTTGGATACCTTTACTTTCAGCACATGACTTCTGAGCGAGCTTATTACAACTTTTACGTCGTTCCCGTGTTGTAAAACGTCTTGACCGTTGACAGTAGTAAAGTCGTAGATTTCCGAGGACCGTCCTTGCCGAAGACGTAGCACCCATTCTCCTGGGTTCGCCTTTAATTGGAAATATCCCAGATTCGCCATAACTATTGTGTCAACCATTACTGGTCGCTTTTCTGTTCCCAGCGTGAACTGTAATCCACGTGGAGGGTTCCCCATTATCGCTTCGAAACAATGTCCCTCGAGGAGTAAATGTTCCAATTCGAATTCACTGTAATACAAAATTGCACAAATTGTGTCTACTTGTATCATGATTACGACTATATAATTTAGTTAATAACATAGCACGATGTTTCAATTGACTATAATTAAGAATGTGTCCATTCACCTGTGTACTCCCATCGCTACGTTATCCAACTTGATGTTGTCCAGATCGTAAACGCTTCGAACTACTTCCACCAACCAGTTTTCAGGCGCGTGTATGTACTGCGTCAAAAGAGACGAGGTAGGCAACTTGGTGAATTTCGCCATAGCCCCGTTAAGACGACCATCAGAGGAGAATTGTAATTCGGGTTCAAACACGTAGCGATAGAAACTGGAATAACGAGATATGAATGCAATGCATGTGGAAACAAATCATACCAGTAATAATACCTTTTCAACGGCATGTCGCTGTTCTTGTCCACGCAATTCAAGTAGACTTTAACGTTGCAATTGAACGAGTGTTGAAGCGTCTTCAAGATCGGCCCTAGTTTTTGAGCGCCGCGAGAAACTGGGTCGACGATGGCGATTAAATTGAACGCTACTTCATCGGGGTTCGTGGCTGCAATTTTTACAGCGCTGTACTCGTCACCGTGGAAAGGCACGTTGAATCGGCTCCGCGTTTGAGGATGCGATGCTAACAAGGACACAATTTTCATTATCATGTCATCCGTGATTTCGTTCCTCTCGTAATCGTCGTCATCCTCTAGTAATTGTCCCTTTATCAATTTTTTAAACAGCTTATCATCGTAAGTACTCTGACTGAATCTTTCCAGCAGAGAAAAGTCATCGCTCGTAAACTCTTCGTCCTCGTCTAAAGGACCGATTAATCGTCCATTACACACAATCGCTCGGACTCCTTTCTCTAGTTTCAGTACAGATTTAACATAATGGCGATGCACAACCAATTCGTTGGATTGTTCTTTTAACTTTTCCTTTATTGCCTCCTCCTCTACGTCAAATTTACCGCTAGTTATAACACCGGCAACTTCCTCTGTAATTATATTTCGAACAAAGCGCAAAGCCTTTTCTACCGGAAGGCCACTAAGCGCAGCCAATACTAGTTGATTAACATCGTTCGCATTATCAACGTCGTTCGTGTCACCGATCGGATTAACGATTACACTCACTCGAACGTCTGCGTTCGATTCGACGTACTCCAGCGCCTCGCGTAACAACTTCCTCCCTTTCGGATCGTTCAAATTTGTCACGACCCAAAACGTGAATAAATGATGAACAGTCGTGCGACGTGATACATATATATAACGCATCCTGTTCATTAACCAAGTCGATAAATCTTGAGGATTCCATCTGGTATAGTCCTCCTCGTCCTTCGGCACAGTTCCGATCAGGTTTAACCACGCGTGTCTCTCCGGTTTCAATATTCGTTCATTCAATCTACGACGCGACGTTTTCATTAAAATAACGGAAAACGAAGAAATGACTTAAACTCTCGTACCGTGGCATCACGTTCGGCTGGCTCATGATGTAATCGAGCACGTCGTCTCCCTCGGTTATTTCTCCTCGGTACACAGCCTTTTGAAGTGCAGGCGTTTGAGACATGATCGTAGAGAGAACAGCTTCCTCAAACGAATCGACGGTCAATTGATCGGAAGATAAGGGTACACCGTTCAATAAAGCTTGTGGGAACTTCTTAAAACCAGACCGCTTCACAAAATCGCTAGCTAAATGACGGCCTACGTCGTATTCGGATTCCTCACCGAGAATATAGTTTACGTTAGCCGACGAATCTTGCGCTCTTATGGCTTTCTTTACATCTTCTACGTCTGCTCCGTCGGGACCAATGTAATTACTCAGCTGCAAAGATATTGAGCATCAGCGAAGTCTATCGAAACTACTTTCATCAGTGATCGAATACAGTGAAGTCTTACGTCTATCAAAAATTGCAAAGCGTGAGCCGATCCTTTAGCTTCGGCGAAGTAATGGTACGCGTTATTAACCGCGACGCTGGCATCAGTTAATCCGGTTGTAGAAGTATCGTAATTTGTAACGAAAACGAAGCCAACTCTTAATGGCACAGAGTGTAGATACAGTGATTGCGCTAAAGTTATCAACGGTGTAGATTCGCTACTTAAAGGATCGATAATTAGCACCTGTTAAAATGTATACAATTTTTATATAGATTATTGTAAATGCGTATCGTTGCGCTGTAATATTATTGATTTACGAACCAAATTATATAAGTTCCTCCTAATATGCCTGAGCATTCCCGAAAAAGTTGGTCTCAACAATTCTGTTAAAGACGGAGACCACCTGGAGTAAGCTGAATCATGTTCGATATCGTTTATCCAGATTATAGCCGAATCTCTTATGTCTATTGCGAATTCTTGCTTATCCGTATTACTGGACAGATCTAAAGTCAGCAGCATGCTCGTCTCCTTGTTACTGAACCCTGCATGGAATCTGTATTTAAAATCTTTATCGGTGATACGTAAGTTCTTAGCACGTAGCGTTCGTCGTACCGATCTTACGAAGTGACTCCATTACTCTTAATTCGCTTCTTAGTGATTCTAAAAGACTTAGCACATCTACTGCTTCCAAGTCGAAAAATAATCCGTTAATAAAAAGTGCGGTGTCCGTGGGTTGAATGTTCAAAGTCGTGAAGAACAGCGCTTGATTGAGCTTCATCTCCTTCTTCATTTCGCTACTTACTTTCGTTCTAATCAAAGACTTCGCCTTTACACAACCCGAAAATCAGTTATTAAAACAGTTTATCCGTATCGTAAATAAATGTTTACCTGCATCGGGAAATTTTGCGAGATATCCGTCAGGACGTTGATAGCCTCGTTCACGGGAGAGTTCATTATCCTCTCAGCTGCTTGATGACTCAACTCTTGAAATTGCCATACTTTCAACGCACCGATTTCATGACTAGTTTCCAGCAAGTGAGTCTGCAGTTTATCTAACTCCGTTTGCTTATCAGGATACAAATTTCTAAAACAAATAAGTTACATCGTGCTAACAGGAAATAAAACTGACAAATCCTCTTATTTCCTATATGTTAGGAATATAACCACCCTACTTTAATGTTAAAAAATTGATTCCATCTATTTCTTCCACGTTATCGTTCCCAGTCTCGGAATCTTTTCCTGAATTGTCTTTTATGTCCGAATCATCCGTCGCCTTATATTCCGTAGACTTCATCTGTAATTCTACACCGTATCCTGCCAAACGTACATTCCTATCTGATCTCTCCTGTAATATAAAGAAAGATGATACAACTTCCTACTATTAATTGATTGACCACTTTTGTAAATACCTTTAAATAATGTCTTAGAATGTAATTAATTCCTTTGGTCTCTGCAAGATTTTTCAATTTCTCATGGAACTCGGAAAATTTCGGTGTACCAATCTGACCATAAAGTATAATGATCTTTTCTGATTGTTGAGAAACATGATAACGATGATCAACACTATAAGTGTGTGGATTGAACCAAGTATCCTACAAAATAAATGAAATATGCATAAGTCACGGCGATTTGAGCTTATAATATAAATTCGTTATTTACTTGACTGGCTAGCTCTTCTAGTTCTTCTAAAGAACAGGTAAATCTTCCCCCGACGTCTGCTACATTGTAACAATCGAGGAGGGAAATGTTTTTATTCTCTGCCATCTGGATGAACATTTCAACCCTTGCCGAGTAGATCCGTAAAGACAATCCTAGTTTCATTAATGCTATCTCCGAGGGAGATAAGAATTTTTGTGCAAACTCAACGGCAGCGTCATAGTTGTCCTTCTCTGTGGCTGAAAAAGAGAATCCTGGAATGACGTTGCCTCGACTTCAACAACGATTAAGTTAAACGATAGTTACCACTCCTCAAATCGTAATTGGCGAAGGCGTCTATGAATTTCCAAAAGTAGCTTGGATTCTCATCGTTCAGATATTCCGCAGCTTCAAAAGCCAAGGGTGTCTCTTTCCATTTTGCATCAATCAGTGTAGTCACATATTTATTCACCCGTTTGTCTGCTTTAACGTGTATCGCGCATAGTATTAAACAATTAAAAAATAGTGTCAACCGCATCTGTGAACGATACCGAGACTTCAGATCGGATCAGTCAAGATCGAAGATAAGACAGCCGGGAGTTCGACGATATCGAGAAATATGCTTTGATATTAGAGGGGTAAAAAATTCTCATTTGCTGCACGGACCAAACTCTGATTATCATAGGTGAAAATTCATTGTTGCTGCAACGCGCTTCTGTTATTTCACCGCAATTTCACCGTTTGTAATAACAATCGGGAATTTTATCCCATCGCCGATTATAGTAACGTTATTAGTTATTAGTGAAGCACGCGAGACAACATGAAATCAACAAAAAGACAAGGAAACTCGACGATGGCAATAGCGCATATAGTTGTTACTTTCAATATTGACGTCCTAGATGAATAAGGTTCTTTTCTTCTTTGGAAAATGTACATATACATACCTTTAAATTTCCAATGGTACACGTATTATCTGTAAAGAATCGAATAATGATGCTAGCCAATCCATGCAGAACACGTGCTGGTAAATACCGGACTGGTGAAGAAACAATTCGACACGTCTTTACGTAGTACGATTATTTTACGCGCACAAACCAAAAACCAGTCTAATCAGTTTCTCACGAACTCCGGCTGATCGCCGACAACGCATTGAATTATATATACTAAAAATTATTGGAACAGCATTCTTTTACATCGTTTATTTAGTTAGATTTCTAAAGACTGAAGGAGAACGCTAACAAACGCTAATATCGTTTTCAGCTACGCTACGCGCTACCCATTTACTACTAGCTTAAAGCGTAAGACGAACGAGAAGTGGCACGCACTATGCGAAATAGTTAAAGTTCGCACTTGTGCAACGAACGCAACCGATCAGACGTATTTATTGTTAATCCTATTCGTAAGGAAAAAACAGTTGCATCATGACTATAATAGATTACGTGCAAACTTTGTCGGACAATCCATATTTCGGAGCTGGTTTCGGGTTGTTCGGGTTAGGTGCCGGAGCAGCTCTTTTACGAAAGGGAATGCAAACAGGCATGATCCTGTTCAGGTAATATCACGATTACTGCCCTGTTCGACGGAGATTAATCAGCATTTAATTTATTCGAAATCCAGGCGACATTACATGATCACTTTGGAAGTTCCCTGTCGCGATAAAAGCTACCAATGGCTTTTGCAGTGGATCACGTACAAAGGTGCCAAGGAGACCCAACACTTATCCGTTGAGACAAGTTTTGAACAGAGAGAAACAGGTCACATAAAAACTAGATATGATTTCATACCAAGTATTGGAACACATTTCATTAGGTTAGAAATAACTACTTATCGCTGCTACACAATGACAAGTATGCTTTAGAATATCATGGTTCACAGTTAAATCATCTCTGTAACAATGAGGATAGATTCGAGTCCTTAGTGATTTACTTATTTTTTCAAATTAATAGATACAAAGGGAATTGGATAAAAGTGGAGAGAACCAGAGAACAACAAACATTGGATATACAAATGGGTATACCGTTCGAAACTGTACAGCTGACCGCATTTGGGAGAGATAAAAATGTGTATTTCAACATTTTAGAGGAGGGTAAGATGCCATTCAGCTATGAAGCGATGAAAGTGACTCAGATATGTTCAGAAGTGACACACATATGTACTTCTAGCCAGACAAATGGCGTTAAAGGAATATGAAGGTAAAACGATAATGTATACTGCTATGGGAAGTGAATGGAGGCAATTTGGTCATCCCAGAAAACGAAGACCGCTGGAGTCAGTCGTTTTAGACACCGGTGTCGCGGATAGGATACTGAACGACTGTCGGGAGTTCATAACAAATCCTTCGTGGTACAGCGACCGCGGTATGTAATTTGAAAGAAAATACGTTTAAGAAGAGAAAGAGGAACGTTTATGAATTCATGTAGGAATCCCGTATCGGCGAGGGTATTTATTGTATGGTCCGCCGGGTTGTGGCAAATCATCGTTCATTACAGCGCTAGCTGGCGAATTAGAGCGAGGCATTTGCGTTTTAAATCTGTCAGAGCGAGGTTTGACAGATGATAGATTAAATCATCTGTTAGCAGTAGCCCCACAACAAACTATTATACTATTGGAAGATGTCGACGCCGCGTTTAGCAGTCGGGAAGAAAGTAAAGAGAGTGAGTAATGAATTCGTAGCGAAGATATGGAAACGTTCTTAGTTAACTAATTACCTTCTATTTGTCCATAGTGAAAGCCGCGTACGACGGTTTAAACAGAGTCACGTTTAGTGGATTACTAAATTGTTTGGACGGCGTTGCTTCTACCGAGGCAAGAATTTTGTTTATGACGACCAACTATTTGGAGAGACTCGATCCTGCGTTAGTCAGACCTGGCAGAGTAGACGTGAAAGAATACATTGGTACGTGTTCCACGTACGCTCGACAGTTCATTGATAGCTAATGGTATCTTTCATTCCAGGCTGGTGCAGTGAGACACAAATAGAACAGATGTTCTTAAGATTTTATAAGAACATTGATGAAAAGGCGAACGAATTAGCTAAACAGTTCACAAATAGTATAATGTCGGAAAAGAAAAATGTCAGCCCGGCACAAATTCAAGGATACTTTATGTTTCATAAAAACAATCCGGAAGACATGCTCAAGAACGTACCACATATATGGGAACTCACGTGATAAAACATGGTATATGGTGAATTTTTATTTATTCGTTAGATTAAACATTCGTAAACAGATTTAAGAAACTGTATTGTTGTACAGGCCCTCGTCATTAAAAATTATCATACGATTGATACAATATATTTCACAGTGGCAAAAATACATGCGTACACATAAAAGTACTTCGTCATTATATTATGATATGAGGTACATTAAAAAAATTGGAAGTTTAAAAACTCCACATGTACTGTTCGTAATTTAGAGGATCCGATTGTTCCATGTGCCCCGCGTGATTGTTATTAGTAACAACCATGCACGACGAGTAAGCGACGCCGGTGTTTCCCTGCGTCGAGACGGGTGCTCCAATGGCTGGTGCTAACTGACAGTCAGGCCTTTGTTGCATCATAGCATCCATCGGTTGCACTGGTTGCGATGCCGTCGTAGGATCCGTCGATGGGTGCGACTGAGGTGGAACTATCGTCGTAGGAGGAATAGCATGAACAGGCTGTTGTATCACTGGAGTAGGATAGCTTGTCACTAAAATAAATTGTCGATTAGTCTCCATCGCTTCGAAGTATGATAAATCGCGTGAAGGTATCGCGAATTTACCTGTTCCAGGATTATGGAACGTCAAGGTAACAGGCTGTTCTGGTATCAGGTTCGTAGGCGGAGGATCCATTTTCACCAGCACGGATTCACTCTTTGCCTTTTTCGTAGGCCTCTTCTGTACATTATTTGTTTCGTCGCGTTTTCTATTAGTCTTTATCCTTCTTCTTTTTTCACCGGGTAGCTTCAACTTGTTCGGCCGGTTTCCACTAGGTTTCCAAAGATGCACAGTGTGTACAGCGTTTCCTTCTCTAAAATAGTCAATGATCGTTCGATACGGATCGACAGATATACTTTTATCAAAGAATCATTCTTTCAATATGTACTGACCCCTGCTTCTTCCCAAGTTTCCAACTATGTATACCAGCTTTGTGAAGCCTTTCCCTGATCGTATCCACACTGCACTTTAATCCCAAGGCGGGCGCAACGTGTTTAGCTGCAGTCAAGGGTTGCTGAGTGGCCATAGCGATAATCGCTTCGTCTTCTTCTTTAGTAGTGATCCGTCGGCGACCCTTTCTCTCCTTCGTTTGCACGTTCCCTTCTTTATGCCAACGTTCTAACCACCTTTTAACTGTACGTTCCTATTCAAACGAATATTGTGTATAAGGCTACTCTCAAAACGGTATTTTGTACTATTTGATATCCAAGACGAACGTGTTTCTTCTTACCGATCTGTCGATCGCGAGAGCGATAGATAGCGTGGACAAGCCAGCTTCGGCCATACCGATCATACGATTACGAATCTCAACGCTGGTTTCCAACGTCCCTTTTGTTTTACCGCCTTTCTTTGTCCTTTTTCGCTTCTTGCTTCGCGTACCACCGTCGTCCGACGTCTCATTCGGATCACATTCGTTCGCATCACATTCTACGCCGGAGGACTGATCGTTATCTTGAGAATCGTGAATGTCAGGCGTGTCAGAAGTTAAATGCTGTTGCTGAACTTCTGATTGCAGCTGCTCTTGTTGAGGTATCGAATTTGGTGGACCCTAAGTTTCGAGAACGTGAACGCCATCGCTATATCGAAAGTCTGCACAAATTTAAATCGTTAGCTATACAAACCTGCGAGTAATGATCACTGCCATGTACTAAATCTAGAGGCCAATTTTGAACCATGCTTATGCCCGGATGTTGATAATGATTATGAGGCTGCGTTTGCAGCGTCAAATTTAGAGCGTTGCCGAACTCTATTTGAGAATGCATAGTTTGAGACGTCGTTTGCATTTCGTTGGACTGAGGGACATTCTGCTGAGGGTACACGAATTGTTGCCGATCATTCGCCGATTTTATACTTTCTGCCGGGGCACCGTCGCCGATGTACACGTCTTTAGCCTTGATCTTTTTAGGAGCACTCTTTTTCTTCTTGATACCGACGTTCTTCTCGTCCTTACTAATATCTTTAGAAGGCTTCTTTTTCCCTAATTGGGTTCCAGTCGGTCTCCAAACGGGTTGTTGAATTTCAGTACCGTTCGAGTCACTGTGAATAGATAGACACAATGAGAACGAGAAAACCGTTTAGAATTATTAATGATCATTAGACTGCGGATCTTATGCAGTTACATGAAAATTCAATGTACGTTCAGGATATTAAAAGCTGAACGGCTATTTCAATGTTTAAGATTCGCAGTCTGATCACTGTGAACTCACCCGAGCGGAATATTTTGTATGTACTTTCGCGACGGACTCCAATTGTGGATTCCGGCTTTATGCAGTCTCTCGCGTATTGTGTCAACGGAACAAGTCAACCCCAAAGCGGGAAGCACAGATTTCGCGGCCGTGATCGGTGTTTGCGTCGCCAGTCGTACAATCGCTTCATCTTGTTCGGCCGTCGTAGCTCTTTTACGTCCGCAACGTTCCCGAGTCTCTACCGTGCCTTCCTTGTCGAACCTGTTCAACCATCTCTTCACGGTGCGTTGCTAAAACAGTTTATATGAAGATAAAGATAGGTGTTCACCTATTACAATGATAAACGTGCTCACCGAACAATTTACAGCGGCTGCAATTTCTCGCAGCCCTAAACCGGCTTCGTACATTCCTACCATTCGATTCCTCAACTCGGGAGTCGTTTCATGGGCTCCTCTAGTTTTTCCCATTTTATTCGACAGATATTTAAATCGTTCCCTTGCCGGATTGATCGCCGACGCTCGCGGACGATTTTAAATTTCACGCGGTACGTGACGTAGGCCCAGCCTCGGTCACGTGACAATGGCAGAGGTCTGTCCAAAAGGTTTCCGAAATTTTAATTAGCCTGCGATCGCACTCTTTTGTTAAATCGCGCGATCTTCGAATCTTTTTTAATCCTACGCAGTATCATTTTAACGCGCGACCGAAGTCCTGCTACGAACGCGTTATGGGTAACGTTGTTTCTTCCTAGTCCTCGACATTGTACCATGTTCCGAACGGGAGGAAATCTTGGCGTCGATGAAATGTGATCGGAACATTAAACGAACTCAATGACTTCATTCGACAGATTCACTTCGGTTATCTTCTTCGGAGCAAGACGTCACGAGGCATTAACGACACGTCGTAGTTTCACCTTCGATAGCCGTTTTTATATCTCGTTTTCAGCATAATACGTCCGTCGGAAGAAAATGCTCCGGTCAATACAACTTCGGCTGTGTACAGTCCGTCGAAATTCTTTTGTCCTCGCGTTGCCCATCGCGGTCCCGTATAAGGAGAAACATTACTGCTCTGGGATCTCTTCTTCCTCTTGAAAAATCGTTCAAGATGCGAGGATATCGCGAAGATTTTAATGTTACTCGATACTGGAAGTAGTCACCGGTGTTTTTGACTTGGAGACTGACACGCGACCGTTGCAGCGTCGTCAATATTAATTCGGTCTGACTGTACTCGTGTCAGAATGCAGAAGGTTATGTCTAACGCGACAATTTCTTATGCGGCAACGCGACGATATCCTGACATTCAATTTACCAAGTTTCGGAGGAACACAGATGTCGATTTTCTACCGAGGTGTATTGATCGTTGCAACTTAGTTTCGATCGAGTCGGCGGTGGTCAATAATTTTAAGGGACTTCTGTATTCAAGACTAGTTTACTTAGGGTTTGCTCGGGTACATTCGCCTACCTTCGCCGGAATTATATTGACCCACAATTCATGAATATGATAGTCGCTTACGCGTCAGTTTTTGGCGCGAACGATTTCCGAAACGTTTCTTCGATTCTTTTTCATCTGAAATTTCCAGACAAATTCATAATCTATAGAGAACTATTATTCCTCTCACGTCGTTCGTATATTCTCTTAGCTTTAGAGAATGAGCTTCTATTAATTTCGGTATTCATCAGATGATTAAAAAGAATTGAATAAGTTTTCGAGGATATATTGATCGGGCGATGAGTTTTCGCTGCTGGTTACTGACGCCTGCTACCGAGCCCCGTCCTTTCGCAATTTGTAAACGGCAAGTGAATATATGAATGGGACGAGGCGTTTGAATCGACTGAATGTGTAGGTGATAAGTGAAATTACGTAGGGTCAGATTGTAAAATGGTAACATCCGGCAATCAAATCAGCATTAAAGCGCACACCCTGGCCTATATAGACGCGTAGAATCGAAAGGTTCGTTCACCCATGCTACTCGAGAGATCGCTGAGTTTTGATGCTCGATCGCGAACAATAGTTTCGCGAAACGATCGGTACGAGTATTCGCGGAAATTAGGTCGGAGAGTAATCTGTTGTACGGCGAGAATTGAGTTTGCGAAGGTGACGATACGTCGTTTAATTCGACGTCGAGCGGGCTCGATACGCGCCGAAAGATCTCCCCCTTGTGCGCTCGATCCGTCGACGGCCGGGCCGAAGTTCAGTCGCGCCCTCGCGCTCGACGATACCGTCTACTGGGACCGTTATACACCCTATCGATAGTTTCTCATCCTCCGGGCCTCGGCCGGACTAGAATCTCGTTTTTATTGTTATACACTTTCTAAAAATCGAATAGAAATCATGACTTATTCGATATCATTAGGTTTATTGATCCTTTGCTTAATTCGGCTTCCAAGTGTCCATTGTGGGGTACGTACCGTAGTATTTAAGATCGCTGCAGCCTGTTCGCTTTTTTAAATTCATAATAAGTACTAATGATTTCGTTTTAGTATTAGCTTGGCAAAATATGTTTCTTTTACGTGTTCGTAAAATCGATTTATTGCCTGCGCGCGTTTTTATCCAAGAGATTTAATCAACGAATGATTAATCGGACTAATTTGTCTCGTAGACACGGCCGAGTTTCGTCTCCGACGAAATGATCGCGACCGCGGCCAGCGTGGTGAACGCTTGTCAGACACAGACAGGTGTAGCGACAGGTAGGGTTCTAACTGAGCGTAGAAAAATGATCAAGCTATTAAATAGTTGATAAGTTCGATGGTGCGTAACTGGCGGAGGGTTTTCTTTTCGTTTCAGTCGATATAGAGGCCGTGAGAAACGGGCAGTGGCCTGAATCGCGTGAATTGAAGGTAATCAAACGATAATACGATGAACGCGCGAATCGATAAAACGGAGAAATGAAAAACGAGGCTCGCTTTCGTTTGCAGTGTTACATGTATTGTCTATGGGAACAATTCGGGCTGGTCGATGATAAGAGGGAGCTTAATTTATATGGCATGCTCACGTTCTTCCAAAGAATACCAGCGTACAGGGAAGAAGTTCAGAAAGCCATTAGCAAGTGCAAGGCGATCGGTAAATATTTGGGTATCTACACTTTCTTTTATTTTTTTCGAGTTTTTCGAAATTATTTTCTCCTCTCTTGACTTTTTTCATCTTACGATCGTCTGTTATCATTCGATTTCGATTACACTCGATTAGGTCCAATGTGCAGTTCGCCAGGTCCAGTCGCTAATCGATTGCCTGTTTTTTAGCTAACGGTGACAATTGCGAGTACGCGTATAGGTTCAACAAGTGCTATGCAGATGCATCTCCTCGGGTAAGCGATTCTTCATTTAAACATTTATGATTCGAACCATTGACAACAATTTCGTTTTTTCCATCGTAGACGTACTATCTGTTCTAACCGAGCTTCGTTCGAAACTGAGAGACCAAGAATGGAGGCAAACGAGGAAGAGCCGAATTGTGTCTTGCTTTACCATGTAAAGGGATTGTAACTGCAAGAACGTAGACGCGGGCCTCTGTACGAACCGTTTAATAAAACAAAATGTTCAAAACATCCTTTATACACTTTATTCTATTCCTTCTGCAATTTTATCCTCCTTCTGTTTGTGTCAAACATAACGATACTTTGTGGCGTTTAAACTGGTACGCAGCCGTGCAACTAAGCTATCCTGGTTGATCGTAACTTCCGATGCTGCGGCGATCCAATTGTCAATTGAGGTCACGTTTAAACATAGGCGAGCGAAGTATGCTTTCGTTTCGCTCGAAGCAGTTCTATCGCTCGCGTTGCATAAACGGAAATCTCGTTTTCGGAAGCGGACAATTTTCAAACGCGTCGATGGAAATTAACGTTCGCAGTCTGAATCTTAATTTAGTGCTTCCACCTTCATACGCGATAATCGTTCCATTATGACGTATAATTATGCGAAACTTTGTATTTCTGTTATTAAACCGATACTTAAGCCATTGCAAACGGTATCATTAAGAACGCCTAATCAGAGACAAACGTTTTATTTAATGATGGATTCAATTCCAATGAACTATTATCAGTTTCCTAGTTTGGGTGAAACGTAGACTATAAATGCCACGAATTTTTAACGACACGACACAGTCCATTTTCAGTCAGTTCGTGAATATTCAACATGAGAGTTTGCCTGTTTCCTATTTGTTTCCTACTCGTCCGGTTCGTACTCGTCCACGGTTCCGTAAGTTGCATATCATTTTTCGGATAGTCTCCTCTTCAATGATTTTAACGCAAATGTTTCACGCGAAAGGCCGATCCGGAGGACTTTCGGAAAATGACGGCTGTTTTCAGAAAAAAATGCTTGGCAGAAATTAAAATTCCCGTCGGCAAGTAATAGTTCCCGATTACTTTCTTTAGCTTTATTATGACAGTTCCGTTTCACAGAGATGGTCGAGGACTCGGAATACGGAGAGTTTCCTGAGGATGAACGTCTGAAATGTTACTTCAGTTGTGCACTCCAGAAATCTAGCATGGTAAAGTTCCAGATTGATGCGTACACACGCGTACACGTAATATAAAATCACTTTGTATTAAACAGATGGACAAGAAGGGTAATATAAAGTACAATCAATTGAAACTGATAATCCCAGAAGCTTACAAGGAAGTGGGTAACGAAATGATCGATAGCTGTATCCATATCGGTGAGCGTATTTGCCTCGAATCTGTCTCGGATTTCTTAACAGTTTAACAAACGATTTTCAGATTCCAAGGACAAATGCCAGAAAGCGTTTGACTTCATGAAATGCATGTACAACGTCAATCCCATGGTGAGTAAAATAAAATTGATTCTGCGAGAAATAAACGGTGAAGATAATGGATATTTTTCACAGGCATTTGTGGCTCCCTGATTTGCGACACACGAACAGTCCTTCCGCCACTGCGTTCCAATTATGATAACGCAATATTAAATACTTCTTTAATAAAGAGATATTTATGAAAATGTCTATTTTGTTCGCTTCGTGTAGTCGAATGGTATTTACTGAAACCTCTTATATATATATATATATATATATATATATATATATATATATACATTTATGGACTAGTTATTTAATTAATCTAATGTTCGTGAATATGTTTACCGTGTTTCTGTCAATATCTCGTGGTAATTTCTGCCTTTATGCGGCCGTTTATTCGTTATGTTTCTAAAAGAACAGCCTGCATCGGAGCCCTCGAGCTCGGTGTCGGCTTCGACCACCTTTCCACTATCGTGTTCAACCACAACCACAGTTTATCGCGATTAAAGAACGCGACCGTGACTAGTAGAATAAAAGGCAACGCGACAACGGACGTTTGATTCATGTCACTCTGATCGATCTTCCGTTGTGCGTTGAATATTAATTTCACATACTTAAAAGACGAATTCGCCTCGAAATAGAACGGCACAGTTTTATACTTGTGCAACGCGTGCGACAAAGACGATTCCAGCTGCACGAAGTACTTCTTGCCGTCCGCTTGTAACGGAGGCAAGTGCACGAGGAACCCAGCGTTGTACGTACTCCCAGCTTTGCCTGGCTGCTGGGCTTCTAATTTCGACGTGTGCACCGGCGAATCCGGCATGTCCTCCTTGCACAGTTTCACTCTCAGCGTGCGATAATGTTCCGGCTGCGTGGACACGACGTGCACCGAGACGTCTGTACGCGATATCGGGTGAAACCCAACCAAGCGAAGACTGCGGACGTCCGACGTGGCTTGTATCAGGACCGAGGCAGGGCTGGTGCGCTGGATATGAGCGTTTACCTCGGCGTTCGGTTTCAGGCGGAACGCGTAGGTGCACTGTGGAACATCACAAACAATAAACTACGTTCAATGGCAAGATAGACGTTCTTACCGTTGGCTGAAGTCCCCGAATTCGGAAGGCGCCGTTCTCCTCGGTGGTCGCTTCCTCCTGGTGATTGTCGCACTCCCCTTGCCCTTGAACTTCCACTAACAACCCGGCTTCAGGCTCGCCGTTAAGGGATGTCACAGCACCGTACGCGCTAAACGCGACTCTCATCCCGAAAAAGTTCACCTTAACGGTAGCACCTTCTACGACTTTGATCATCTTCGACGGTGGATCGAAACGATACTCCTTCATCATTGGTCTCAAGTAGTACTTGCCAGGAGACAGTGAATTAAAAATCAATTTCCCGTCTTCGCCGGTCATACTGTTTTTTCGATAACTTTGGCCCCCGGACAGAGAGAGTAGTACACCCTGCAGAGACGCGTTATCAGCTTGATCGGCGACCTGCACGATGATCTCGGCCAGTTTGTGAGCGAAGAATATCCCGTTGGAATCCGGTCCCGTGATCACGTACCCTTCCTTTTCTGCGGTGACACTGAGAAAAGGAATTACATGACGGTGCATAAATTAAATACATATTTAAAAAATGGATTATGTACCTGTATTTTATCTTCCCGTCCAAAGGACCGACGTTGTATTCACCATCTTTCTGCGTAATCAGAGTGTGTATCGGTACTGCCTTATCATTACCGAATATCTGTACAGTGACGCCTTCCAACGGTGGATTGATTTTACCAGCAATAATTTTTCCCAAATCACCAGCGAACGTGATGACATCGTCTTGGCAATCATTTACTCCCAATATCTTTAACGATGCAGGGCTAAATAGAAGAATGTCGGACAACGGTGTAATAACGTAGATGTTATCCGTTTTCGCCTTGAATTCAAATTCGTATTTGTACAAATCTTCATGACGCATCGGCTTCAAAGGGCCCAGTACCGTAACATCGCCTGCTGGATTCTCGACTTTTACTTTGACTCCGTCTATCGCGGAATGACTCAAGATGTTCCCCTTGTGGCTATGCTCCGTAGAATGTAACAGAATCGGAGAAGGATCACTGATTTCCCACGTGTACGAAGACTTGTCGTAAACGTGGCAGCTTTTCGGGACGAAAGTGTACGCTCCCGGCTCAGTTACGCAGTGCTTCGTGCTCCCTTTGTTCAAAGTCAACGTCAATCTCTTCGACTCGTTCGGTTTCGAATATTCGACTACGGTGTCGTGAGAGGATATGAAAGTGACGGAGAATCCAGTCTGTTCGAACGGTGTTATTTCGGATCGTTCCGACGTCACAGAAATTCTGTAACTGGGATTCACCCAACAGAAAACGTCGTTGTCTATGAGAACCTCATAGTGGCCGGGCAACACGTCCGTGAACTGGTACTGGCCATCTGCGCGATTAAAAATGACTTCACAGGCAACACAATAGTGCCGACCACATCTATCACACGGTACCACCGCGATAATGAGAACGTCTCTATCGAAGTCCTCGATTCGACGCTTACTCATTATCGCAGTTTCGTCAAGCAGGAACATAAAACATTATAAGAAACAATATAAAAGTCTCACCCTTGGCTTGAATCGTTTTAATCGTGACGCCGTCTAGCACCTTTAACGTTACGGACGCTTGACTGCAATCAGTTCCTGGTAAGCATTTCACCGTCCCTGTCAACGTTGCCTTCAATTGCAGAAAGTTGAGATTACGTATTGGTCGAGACGACACGTCGATTGTTTGTTGGAGCGGGAAAAATCTAGAATAAATATTCATGATACAAGTTGATGCATCGTTTCGATATATTAACAATGAACTCACTGCAAGCCTTTGGCTCTTTCCTCCGCACTCACGACCACGCTTAATTGGTACCTATCGGGGCTGAGGTATACACAGAATTCACCTGTCTTCGGATCCGTTTCGATCTCTTTGGTAAATGTAGCTGCAGTATTCTGAATGGAAACTTTACGATGATGCAAAGTTCCTTTCGCTGATAAAGTAACTTTGCCGCAGACTTTATACGCAGCTGGTACTAAAACTGGCAGTTCCGGCGAGCTGGGAGAGATTTTTACTGATTTGTCGTTGAACAACAAATCCTCTACATTGAAAAACGAAGTACCAAGTGAACTATTTTTATATCAGAATTCAATAGACATCGATGAGAGAATCAAGCATACCGCTTTCAGCTTTCAGAGTATATTGCCCAGCTTTCATATTATCCAACACGTATTTCCCGTTCTTGTCCGTTACAGCGACTTGCTTTTGAGAAAGTAGAACTTTCGCGCCAGGTAGAGGATCTCCGTTGACCGCGGTACGGACAATCCCATTCACCGTGAAGCCGGTCACTTTGAATCCTTGACGTAAAACGACGCTGTCGTGAGTCACCTCGAATGACAACTCGGTCGGCTGTACATCGAACTTGGTTTGCGCGCCAGTATAATACGGAACGATCTTATATTTTCCAGGAGTCAAGCTTGGGAACACGAATTTTCCACTTTTGTCAGACGCAACGTGACAAAGCGGTTTTTTACTCTCGAGATCTTTACTTATAGGAGTCGTCGCGCAATTGTTGGCTACGCCATTCTGCACGATAAAGAACATTGTTCACTATATTGTTAGAGAGAAGAATTTTCAACAGGAAGAAAATGTTTACCCCAAAGAGTACAAATGTCACACCGCTGACTGGCTCATCCTCGCTAGTGACTCGGCCGTTCACGTCGTATCCTAGAATGATTAAACTACCGTCTTGGAGTTCTGTATTGCCTTCTTGTACCGTTACTTTCACCTTATCAGTCCTCATCTTCCATCTGAAATATAAAATGATTCTCAAACGTACATCATATAACATAAGACATGCGACTTACATGGGATGAGATGCAACGAGTAAATATCTTCCAGGTTGTATAGGAGTAAAATAAAATATGCCACCTTCCGAGGTGACTGTCGTGTCGACAGGAACTTGTACATTGTCTTCCTTGTACAACGATATTGTAACACCTTTAGGTCCGAAATCTGCTCCTAAACTGGTCACCTAAATCACGTTTTACTATTGCAATTAGATGCTTAAGCATGAGTTAGTACGTTAATAAGATGTGTAGATACCTTGCCAGTGATGCCAAAACCTTTAAAAGTAAAGTTAATATCCTTTCCTTGACTACAAGCATCTGTAGTACCATCTACATTCAATACAACTTCTGTAGGCTCGAAGCTCCATCCTCTGGGTGGGTCTACCTACATTTAGATAGAATGATATTCAGAATTGACTGGAGACTTTACTTGATATGTGAATGGCTGGATGTTACGTTTATTTCATTGATTCATGTTACCTTCAGGACATAGTCTCCCTTGTCGTACAAAGGAAGGAAGTAGTATCCGTTATTTGGCGCACATTCGGTAGAATCCTTAAGACTACCGGCTTTCGTGTATCTAAACGAAGTAATCGTTTTAAAAAAATGTTCATAAATTTTCTTTCTCAAGCTACTCACAGTTTTATCTGAACTTTTGTAAAATCAATGTCGGCATGACTTTTCAGAAATCCTCCACAACCTAAAATATCTTCGGCGCTAGACCACATCATTAAGATGTGTAGCGAGAATAGGTTTAGAATAATTCGTTTCATTTTTGTGAATGTTTTACAACATTTATAGACACGCTGGCATTAAAGAACGTGTTAGCCATCAACCGATAAACGATTATACCACCGAGGAGAGATTATTAAAGAGTGGCAGCCTTATGGGACCTCGCGGCCCGAAAACCGGTCTGCAATTTTTGACGCCCTCTAGAATGAGCTGGGCCGAAAAGTAAGAAACACGAAGCAAAACTGACGTCGGTTCTAAACTGCATTACTGTATTAGACGTGTTATCGACGAGTCGTCGATGCACCAGTAACGAAGTAATATCACAAATGAAGTATACATAAGTAGAGATTGATCAATGCATTTCCTTGTGTACTGTCGATGTGGTTCTAGCTCTAATAGAGATCGAACGGGATTGTTCATAGTCCCAATTAGTTATTAAATAAGAAATGTTTTGCTATTATAATTTCTATTGTAATGAAAAAGTTATGAAATTATCCACAGTCATTGAAAGTATTATTCCATACAGTTTAACATAATTATGGTATTTTTATTTTGTTGAAGACAGAACAAAATTCCAGCTAAATCCACCACTAATGGAATGGAAACATTTACATATTCTTTTGTGCAAAAGCTGAAGTCAATGCAAGCTGATTCTAATCGTAAATGTAATTATAACAATTAATTGCATTCTGTTTCATATAATTTTTTTGCCGTCTGCTATCGGGGGAAGCTGATTTTGCTCACCTCGAAGTTGAAAATTTTTACTGTGGCATTACACTTATTCTTCTCGTATGTCTTTCATACCGTTTTTTTGACCTGCTCTGTTCCGAAACATCCGGAACAGGTAAAGTCCCAACACGGTCACAATTGGTAAGACGAGCATGGCGCATGCCATAAATTCGAGAAGGACAGTGCTCTCTTCACTTTTCGCCATCCGAGCAAAAGCGGCTTCCTCCGATAAGAGCCAGACCCATGAGAAGTTCACCGAGTATCTCAATCCCATCCTGTTCTATTTAAATATTATATTCGCAAAATATAAATAATTTTTACTATTCAATATCCTATTCTTAAAATTTGTTTGCTTATTCAAATATGTATACACCCTAAATTTCAATGGGAATATTAATATGTATATTTTACATAAAAGTGGTACAAGNNNCACCGAGGAGAGATTACTAAAGAGTGGCAACGCCTGTGTTAACGCGCGGCCCGAAAAAAGGGCCCAAGAGGGCTCGAACCGGCAAGGTAGATTCATGAAATCCCACAGAATGACTGTTCCGGAGTGTACCGACCTTCAGGCTCACCGATGCCGGTGCCGATGCTTTTTTCCAGCACGATAGGTAATAGGTAATCGTAGAACGTTGATATTATCAACTTTATACTTAATTCAAGATTCGTACTTCGGAAAGAGAATAACTATCATTTTCAAATTTTGTCACACTTGTATTACTTTATTTTCATTAGTGCACACCATATTTTGCATTTGAAGTAGGAATAAAAGTAATTGGCATTTAATATCTCAATGAATATCAGTGTTTAATTGAAATTAGTTTCTGAATTGTTGTTATATCCACAAAATAGCGTAATTCGTTATATACATTGTAGAAACAGAATCTTCAATGTTGAGTTCATGGTAAATCTTAAACATTGTTGTTCATGTTGGTAATACAAAAGTGGAAAATTAAGTTTTTCATGCAGTTATTGGATAATAGTTTTAAATTCTCGTATTTGCTACCACTACAGCCGCTACAGCCTACTTTAATACATAGCCATGCTGAGAATAAAATGGCAACAGCGCGAGAGTCCAGATTTCGTGTAGTGCAACCACAACCGACTGTGGTGGCAAGAAGAGAGTCAAAGAGTCAGCTATGGTTGCACTACAGGAAATTCGGACCCCCGCAGTGTTGCCATTTCATTCTCAGCATGGCTATGTATTAAAGTAGGCTGTAGCGGCTGTAGTGGTAGCAAATACGAGAATTTAAAACTATTATCCAATAACTCCATGAAAAACTTAATTTTCCACTTTTGTATTACCAACATGAACAACAATGTTTAAGATTTACCATGAACTCAACATTGAAGATTCTGTTTCTACAATGTATATAACGAATTACGCTATTTTGTGGATATAACAACAATTCAGAAACTAATTTCAATTAAACACTGATATTCATTGAGATATTAAATGCCAATTACTTTTATTCCTACTTCAAATGCAAAATATGGTGTGCACTAATGAAAATAAAGTAATACAAGTGTGACAAAATTTGAAAATGATAGTTATTCTCTTTCCGAAGTACGAATCTTGAATTAAGTATAAAGTTGATAATATCAACGTTCTACGATTACCTATTACCTATCGTGCTGGAAAAAAGCATCGGCACCGGCATCGGTGAGCCTGAAGGTCGGTACACTCCGGAACAGTCATTCTGTGGGATTTCATGAATCTACCTTGCCGGTTCGAGCCCTCTTGGGCCCTTTTTTCGGGCCGCGCGTTAACACAGGCGTTGCCACTCTTTAGTAATCTCTCCTCGGTGACATTACGAAAACGGGTGTAATCGAAACTAGTCGGCGTCGGTGTCGAGGATGTCGGTACTGTCTGGAATATTATGCCAGCACCATTGAGCTATAGTATAAAACATCTTCAAAATTTCAAAAAATGCTTCAAATGAAAGTTGTTTTCCTCCTAACTTCGATATTTAACAAGCTAACTATGATTAATCGGCATTTTATGGGTCTTGAGAAAATCCGACCGTCCCACCGTCGAAATGGTGAACTTTTGGCAAAAAGTTTCGTTTTTCCTCAATTACTCCTAAACCGTTAGACTTACGAGAAAATTGCATATGAATCTTTCTTGTAGAGGACGACGAGATGTACAATTTTTGTATAAAAGTTTGTCGCTAGCATTAATAGTTTACGAGTTATTGACGAGAAACGAAAAAACAGTTTTTTGCGAATTACTCGTAAACTATTGAGGCTAGCGAAAAAATTTTATACATAAATTGTAGATCTCGTCATCCTCTACAAAATGGTCCTATAAATCTTCCTCTAAGTCGATCCGTTTGGAAGTTATTGGCAAAAAACGAAAATTTGGAAGAAATTGAAGGGGTACCCCCTTGGAAAAATGTCGGAAAAAATCGAAAATTTTTTTTTGTTGTTTATTATTAGCAACGTTCTTCCGACATCTGATTTCTTTTTAAAAAATGCGTTTCTAAAGTGCATAAACATTTGGGATTGACTGTATAGCCAGTACATCTTTAAGGAGTAATAAAGTAAGGCTGAAATTAATAAATAATAAATAATAATAAAATATATTATAATTGGTAGTTTTCGGGGAGGAATCAACTCGTTAGAAAGTTATCTACCGATACGGTGTGAAACCCCCTGGGATCGAGGCGATACCAAACGCTTCGATTGGAAAGTCATCGATCAAAGGTATCTTAATTCGCACAATAGCCGGTGATGTTGTAAAATTGTTGGCCGTGATCGATGATCACTCGATATCAAGTAGTACTAGGCTGATTAAACTCATCGTTCTACGAGAGCGTGGAACGAACAGAGCGACGGAGGCGTGGGGCTTCGCGGTTGTTCCGCTCCGTCTACTCTCCTGACAGCTGTCATTTTTGAAAATCGCCAGCAAAAAAATAGTTTAATGTACGAACGTGGACCCGCGACACGGAGGTTTCCACTCGGCACTTGTTCCCGATTGAGACGCCTCGAACCGCGGCGAATCGTGACGATTGGGGGCGACTTTTAAATGGGGGTTTAATTTCAGGGTATGGACATTCCCATTCGACCTCATGTGTATGTTCATTCGATTCTTCGACTGCGTCCACTCTCCCTACGTCAACTTTCTTTTTTTTCTTCGCAGACATAGTTTTAATGGACATGGGAAAACTTGATCACGAGTCAAGCTGTAGGCATCGAGATTTCGAAATTAGATTTGTTAGAACGCGATGGACTCTCGTAATTCGAGTTGGACAGTGGTTAATAGGAAGCTAGACTAATTGCGAAGGGCAAAGCAGCACGCTCTGCACAGATGGTGCGACTATGTGACTCGGCGGATTTTCGTGAAAAGCCTTTTCATCCTGACTCTAGTGAAGAGTAATAAGAAATCGTTGTTCAACGATTTTATTAAAAATTGGAAACAAACGCATACTAACAATAATGCAGTTTTGCTACGAATTTAACGATTAATGGATAATTTTAACGATATTTCTTACAGACTCGATCCGGCGCGTGGGGACCGATATTTATCGTAACGCGATCGGTCATAAATTCGCGCGGATCCGTGGAGACGGTGTAACGCGATCGCCGATAAATTCATATTCATTTCCGATTGTCCGAGCGGGCAGCACCAACAAGTCGTAAAGCAAAACCGGGCAGCGGCGCGTGCTGACCGGCATATGCGTCCGCGTTGTTCCGGGCTCAAGTGCATTCCGAACAATATCTACCAATTATTGGACGATTGTGCCGCGGGACCAACTGTCAACATCGATGGTCAACCGGCCGATCGGGGGAGGCAGTGACCATCGGACGAATCGACGCTGCTCATCATTCGTCACCCTATTGGATCGAATTCCCCGCGATTATTTTCGTGAAACATCCCGGTCGATTTTACTCGCGACTAATTTTATGCCTGTTTTTTCTACCAGCCGCTGTTTGTCCACGAGATGGACCGGTCGTCGGACGTCCACTCAATATTCAGCATCGAAATTATGAATATAAATATTTGCAGGCTGAAATGAACGAGCTACTACCATTATCTCCGGTTCTGCTGGCCAGCCACTTGTATCGCACTCACGTATCGCCGTTGCTTGTCATCCGTGTCACCTAATGACGAAAGTTTGGTACGCAACGGCGCAACGCTTGTTCGTCTGTAATGTCGATGCGACGAAAGTGAATAGTTAGCTCAAGAATCGACTTCGTACTTTTATAAGAGTGGACAACGCGACCCGAAGACGGAACATGGTGCACACACGAGCTACTATTATGAATGTAGATTTGCGGCACGCGGCTCGCGCACGTGAAGTCGCGTGCAGACAGGAAATGGTAGCCAGACACTTGGTCGGCACATCGAAGACCGTTTAAGTTTATGCACGTTGTTGTTACTTTTTGAAAAATCTCAAAACGTTTCTCAACACTCTCCGGAGTGTCGAAGTCATTCAGTAGTTTGTAATACTATTTGTTGCTTTAATAAAAGCAGACTGGGTCGAAACGGTATGCACACGGAGGACTAAGTACTATTCCGTCATGAGAGTCCATACTAGTTTCGCACAGCTTGGAGGTACTGGGATAACCGAATACGTAGATCCGAGTAGTGGAAAACCGAAATCCGAGGCGAAGATATAGAAACCATTAGAGAACGTTTTACGGAATACCACTGTGGTAATTCGTGGCGAAAAGTTAACGATGAACGATTAGTCAGATCGGTTCTCACCACGCCGCCGCAGCGATAATCGTGCGAGCGCGTGCCGCGCACGATTGCCGCGTGAGAACGGTCTATATCGCGATCGCACCCTCCCTCGTAGCCGGCCACCCTCCAGGAATTGGTAAGCTACCGTGGGAGTCAGCTAGAAGACTAGTTTTACCAGTAAATCGATTTTGTACCGATTTTCATATTGTACTCAAATTATAATTATGTAATATATAATACATAATATATAATATATAATATAAACAATAATTATGTAACCCAAATTGTATTATATTAATTGTATGCTTCGGTTTTCGTACTCTTCGTTGTAACATTTATATAAAATACTGAGTGAAGTGTTTCAGATATCAGAATCAAGTATATCGAAAAAAGTGTCTGTCAGGAGTAGGACTGCAGATTTCTCTATACAATGAGGTATTATTGCACTCATTTAAAAAAAGCCTAAGATTGAAATTTCTGACGTTTACGTAGACTAGAATAAGGTACCATAAAAAAAGTGGAACACGTATTGAATAAATTGTATCTCTTTCCCATTCTTTGTATTTTCTACACGGGCGACTCTTGAATGAATGTAAAAAATCCGCGGTCTAGTTATCACGATTCGAGGAGAAGCGAGCGAAGTGGCGCCTGGTTTTCAGATTTCACGAGATCTTGCAGAGGGGTGGACGAGGAGGTCCCGCACAGCGTGCGACCAGCTAAGCGCCAGGAGCGTTCCCACGAAAATCGCTCTCTTTGATCGGCTCGGTACGCTCCCCCTCGCAGTCTCTTTCTCACCCTCGTGGGTCTCCTTCGACGAGGGGGGAACTCGTAGCTGCTTTTCACCTTACGATCGGGGATCGAGCCCGAAGAGCAGAGAAGTTGCCCCCACCCTGTGGACTCGCGTCGCGGCGCACCTAGTCCCCACCATTCGACGGGACCGAAACGGGGCACGCGGTCGTGTGTCGTCCCCGGGTCCTCCCGCACACGACATACGTCGGCCGCCACGCGACCAGTGCACACGCCTGCAGTACAGCGTCTGCGAAACGCATCGCGAGCGAATCTCCTTCGCGCGCGCACCACACGCGACCGCGAAGCCGCGGCACGTGAATCCGGTCAACGTCCGTCCGTCCGTCCGTCCGTCCGTCCGTCCGTCCGTCGACGTCCACCGTTGCTCTTTTCGACGGGACAAATCGTGAAACGTCTTCCAAGTGAATTTTCTTTTACGACACAATGTTGCCACAGTACTTGGTCACAAAGCGGAACGCGTTCGACAGTTAGCGAAGATACGGTCAAATTATTTGACTACGTCGTCTGTTCATTATCCATCGTGTCGATTGAGTTGAAACTTTGCGAAGTAAAATGTGGAGAGTAGTGGTCGCGCGATCGGACGACAACAGCACGTTGCTGTCGTCGGAGATAGCCTCAGGCCCGGTCGGTCCAAGTCACATCTCCGGCCTGCCTGGAACACCTACCGGACACCATCACCACCACCACTGGGGATATCCACCGCCTCCTCACGCGTCTTATCAATCGCAGCATCCCGATGCACCGCGTCATCATCACGATCCACGGCCTCCTCACGAGCTGAGACATCCGGCTAACGCGGATCTCAGGACTCAGGAACTGAGGCACGAGATGCACAGACCGGATTTGAGGCACCCTTCAGAGATGCAACGGCATCAGCAAGAACTCCACAGGCCTGACATGGGTAGACATCATCAGGATCTGTCGGGGATGAGGCAGGACATGTCCACGGATATTAGATCTAGTCATGAGTTTCCCGATTTGAAGATCGACGTCGCGGATATGAGGAGTCAAGAGAACGGTCAGCAGCAACAGCAACAGCAACAGCAACAACAACAACAGCAGCAGCAGCAGCAGCAGCAACAATCATCGCAACAGAATCCGACTCACCAGCAAAGAAATTTGAAAAGAACGATGAGCGACTCAGACTGCGATGATGTGTTCTCCGAGGAGAGCGGCAAAGAACCGTAAGAGTCATTACTGTACATTCAGCTTCTGATACTTTCAATAGTTTTTCATTAGCCATTCAATTTTTTTTTTATAAATGCATCGAATCGCGTATGAATACGATCGTGTTTGCCAAACATATGTACGAGTCCTTTCGAACGGTAATTAAAAACCGATTGTTCTCCGAGGGGAGAGAACGAACAATCCCAGGGATATCCGTTACCGTGTTGTGAATTCATCGTTTGAGAGACCAAGATCCGTCTGGTAACACTTTTCCATTCTGTTTCCATACAGTTGCAATTCGCCAGGAGGCGATTCCTGCCAGCACGCGTCGCGAAAACGGAGGAGAGGGATGATCGAGAAGAAACGTCGCGACAGGATAAACGCGTCTCTCGGCGAGCTGCGGAGATTGGTGCCAGCCGCGGCCAGAGATCCCCACAGCGGTAAATTAGAAAAGGCCGAGATTCTCCAGCTCACTGTGGAACACTTGCGAACGCTTCGAAACAAAGGTAGATACGTGATTCGGAAAAGGGTTTCCCATTCGATTCGTTTCCTCCTGCGCGCGAGTTACCGTGGAGCTTCCAGAACCGGAAGACACCTGTTGACGCGATGCTCTGCTATAACCAGGGCTATAACTATCCCATTCGAGCTGCCATATGTCGTTGGAATCATGAAAATAGTCACGGTTCATTACATATACATATATCTGCGCTTGCTTCAGTTGAGGTTGAGAATATTATTGACGTGTTTAAATTATATAGACATGTAAGAATAGAACGCGCTTGTGGTGGTCGAATTTGTACAATGAAAACGATAGAAGTAAAACAGAAAAAAAAAGAGAATCATACAGGCTCGTGTTTAGACAAGAACAGAGAGGGGCTTGTATGATCCTCTTTCTCTGTTTGTTTATTATTCCTTCTTCAGACTGCTAGCGCGGTTTGTTCTTGTATGTCTATGTTCTGAACAATTGGCTGATCCTACAGCTAAAGTTTCACATTATATGAACAGTAATAACTGCATTGTAAATTCAATTAGATAAACGTTACATGATATCGATTTGTATGTTTCTTTTATTTTTATTTCTATTTTTCAACATTGTAACAAGGATTGAGCTTTGAATATTTTCAATGTGGCAAACATTCTTTATATCCACTGGCAGTACAGTTTTACTATAGATTCATAAAATCCGTCTATTGATTATGGACGAAGGTAGTTACTTCCGCGATTTGAAGGGAACTAAACCTGAGATAGTCCCGGAGAAGAGCAGGTGCGGGGCCCGAATCGGAGATCCTGTGGGAAGCACAGGAAGTCAACGACTCTTCCGAAGTAGTGTTCCCACGATTGGTGGCGAGTTAGGTAGTAGTGGGGTGTCCCGCGCGGCACCCTTCCGAAGGAGGCACCGTGTTGCCCGTCACGACCGGGGCAGATGTCGAACCCTGTGGGAAACCGACTCCCGTTTTATATCTATGCTGATGCACACACACGCACAGGCTTTCGTCCGTCTATCGACCTGAGGTCACTTATTTCTGCGAGTGAGCCTCCGTTCGCGGTACATGGGCCATTTACATTTCGTCACAGATGATCCTGTCGATGGGACAGCGAGACGTAAAAAGGACAGAGACTGAGAACGTTCCTGAGGAAGGATCATCCTCACTTACAATCATACTCGTCTTAAGGATCTAAAAAACGAATATTGCAAGCTACCTCTGAATTAATTGTACACCGTTTCTCGTTTTTACATATTACGTATTAATAAAATTGTTGCTTAAAGATGTCGATCGGTGGCGGACTAGGCGGTGCGTATGACGCGCATATGCCGTGATCTATGGGGGTCTAAACGGTTCCCACGCTACCTGTCCCATTCCTCCTGTACACAATATGCTGCCGGCTGCTAAAGCCACCGGACCGTCCCACTTGCCTTTCTTCATCGTTCGCTCATTCTCTCTGTCACGTTTCTCTTTCCGTGTTTCATAATTAATACTACAATTACCACGTGGCGATAATTCCTCTCGTCGCACGCATTGAGCTCGTCACAAAGTAGTCAGTTATCTTTCCCTGACGAGCGCGTTTTGTTTTTAATTTTCTAGGTCCAGAGGGATACGACAGCACGAAATTAGCGATGGATTATCATGCTGTGGGCTGGGGTGAATGCGCTGCCGAAGTCGGCAGATACCTCGTCACGATGGAGGGCCTCGACGAGAGGGATCCTCTCAGGTTGCGATTACTCTCGCACTTGCAAAGTTTCCACCGCGAGCATCCACCGAACGGGGTGCCCGCGTCCGTGCCTCCGGTGACCAGCTTGACGTCGACGTCGACGAGCAGTAATTACGAACCGTCGAGCACCGTGTCTACCGGGATGCCACCGGCAGGGTCGGGGACCATGCCACCCCTTTTAGGTGGAACTGCGCTCGGATGGAGCCAGTATCCGGGACAGTATCCTCAGCAGCAACACGGCAAACCTTATAGGCCGTGGGGCGCGGAACTAGCTTATTGAGATACGTCCCATTTATTTGTAGACTAGACTTCGAATTTGAAACTCTCGGTCGACTCGCAGAAAGCAGATGTGAAGGGCGAGATTTTCCGGTTGAAAATCTTACCCTATTCTTGAATTTTATGCAACGCGTGCCTTCTGCAAGTTCACCTGCTACTTTAACTTCGATCGTTCCTAGGCAGAACGAACGAGAACGTAATTTTTCTACGTGTGATACGATATGATAGTCATGCCAGTAGCTGATAGCGAAGATATAATTTATTATTAGATTCGTGCGTTCCACGAAGATGTACAGTTTGTATATACCAATGACTGATGTAAATAACTTTTACTTTTGTACGATCTCTTTATATCCTCGATTTTCGATATTTTCTACTGTATCTATTTATCCGGTTCTCCGTGCAACGGAGTTGCGTCGGACGTGTGAAACAAGTGCCATTAAACTCCTCCGTATATGTACTTACATGTTCCAAATGCTCAAATTATTCTTGCAATAAAGATTGGCAATAACACTGAACGATATGTGCGTAGTTTGTTCATTCCGTCGAATCTTCCCTCGCATAGCCGCCTGTCCTAGTTTAACGACGCTATAGCGGTTGCGAAATGATCGATCGGCCAAGTACGTTTTTGTTCCTCACTTTTTCGCCCTGTTCGCGACACGACGGATAGGCTACGCGTTCTCACGCGGCGCGTCGCGATGACAATGTTCGCCGAACTATTCTTATGCAAAGATTCGCCTAGCAGCTTGCCGCGGAGGCGAGCCGGCAAACGAGAAACAAAGCCGTCGCCGCGGGCGTCGACACGCGAACCAGTTTTGCGCACTCGTTAAAACGTTTTCGCAAAGAATACCGTGGACCGGGAAATTCGCTGGGCTCGTTACGATCGCCACGGCTCGGGGAGCAATTAGCCGAGTCCTGGTTTTTGCGGATATTCAAAATAGCCAGGGAGCGAGACTAATTGTCCAAGAGGAAGAATAGTGCGTGGGCACGTGGCCCCTATTGTTCGAACCGTCGTTGCTACCCTCTTTTACACTGTTCCCGGACAAAACTGAAACTCCTTCTCGTTACGCGGTTGTCGCATGAAAAAAAAAGTTACGAAAAAAATGTTTTTCGACAGATAAACAAGTTCGCGACTTAAATATATAATTCTCAACTTTAAATCGATTTTATTCCTCGATGAAACTTTCTTTGACGCATTTCATCCAGCGATCCTCTGATGCTCTTATGACTTGAAAGTCTTCGAAGTACCTGTTTACTGCAGTTGTGAGCTTTAATGAAAATTGACAACTACTAAATTCCATTTTTGGGAACGAACAGGATGAAGCAAACCAAACTTTAACTAGTTAGGGATTTCTATTTGAATTGAAATTATTTCTAAATTTATATACAAATATATACTTAATTTTTAAATAATTAAAGATTCCTAGTTAAATTTAAATTATTTTTACATTTCTGTTGAGTCGACAACTAAATAATTGCGGAGCTTGTCGATAGAGTTCTTATTTAAAATCCTCAATCACTTAGTTGCTAACCCAATAGTAGTTAAACCGAACTTCACTCTGACTAGAAGCTTTTGCAACGCTGAGAAATGATAATTTATTCGAATGTACGTACTCGCGTATACCTGTTCGATTCGCATTAAAAAGTAAGAGACTGAGACCCGATGACAAGGAACAGAAACAGCAACAATCGTCAATAGAACTATTTTATTCATGACATTCGCATCCGTTAAAAAGTCACAGCCTTATCGGACAAACTTATAATAAAATATCATTCGTATATCACATCTATGTACATTCGCACTCAGTACACATATATATATATACATATTCGATACATATTCACCTGGTTTCATGTACTATATACACATAGAAATGCTAAAAAGGTATGTACTTAAAATTAATGGCCACTGAAGCGTTTCGCGTAAACATCTTCACCGAAGACAGCCAATGAAACATAAATTGTGCGCGATGAGAATACTGTGAGCAAAGTGTGCGAGAGTCGCATACCCGTGTTAAGAGTTTAACTTAAACTTCTGATCGATTCCAACATAACGCTGTAGAGTATTTAAACGACGTACAAAAGTCAGGAATTAATATTAATTAATGCGCGTGCAGAGACTCGCAGAATTGATCAGGTTCACGTTTACTTATGAGAACATCGGTTGCAGACGATCTTCGAAAATCGGTCCACTCTCGCGAACGATTCAATCGCGCAAATTCTAAATCGGTGCGCGCATACTACTTTTTACGTGAGCAAAATAACACGTATAGTATAAGAATGAACGAATTGCTTTTCCATTGCCTCCTACTTCTGCTAAGTACCCTAAGCGACCATCAGAATGAGATCAGAATTAACACCAGATCTACCAAGGAGGGTCGAAATTACTCGATTGCCATTTCTTGTAATCATTACTCATTTTCAGTACATTTTTTTTCTAAAATATGCAAATAATTAATTCTGTAAAACAATTTACTCTTTTTTTGTCTTTTTGATATAAAATATTATGCAATACACCTCCATATACCGAGATGAGTCATTTTGACCCCCAAGTAATTATTTTGAAAATTATTGTTATTATTATCATTCAATTTTCGTTCATAAAGATATAAAGATTGCTGTCTTTTCTTATGACTTATTAATTGGAAAAACAAGTACTTTTGACCTCTCCGGTAGAAGCAGGTATCCGTTAATCGCCAGTAGTTCTAGTGTTAAACGACCGAAGTGCTTACGAAAAGAAACCGCGAACTGCGATCGGACGAGCGACGGTCAGAAAACGAATATTTCGATGTTTGCACGATTATTTATAACGTTGTCCTCGACTAACGACGATTCATTTAACAGACTCACAATTCATTTCAATTGTACACATAATGGATTACGTACAACGCTCGGATCGAAGAATACGAAGATTTTTCTTTGGACGTTCGTTGCACTGTCTCGTTTAAAAAAGAGTTGAACGAAATATTCCCTCGATAAATCTGATAACTTTATCTCTGCTACTGCTAGGGGATTGCCTCGGTTGAAACCAATGAAACGATTAATAACAGTGATGCCATCCTCAATTAATGTAATATGATCTAAGACAGAACGTTTTGATCACGTCTGAGTTTATACAATGTTTTATTTTTAAATATTCTGTTATATAATTACTTTTCCAATTTCAGGGTACCGGCGGAACATACGGAATGTAGCTAACAGTTATTTATCGAAGGAATATTCTACATAGGATAACTATTTATCGTTAATTGTACGGGATGTGGTCCGACGATCATTTAAAATGCAATTCGAAAAATAATCGAACGTACAATTAATTTCTGGAACGGATTGCGGAGTATCGTCCTCGATGTTTCCACGCTTAAGCGAGTCCTCGTCGCTTTTCAAAACCGTGATGGTATAAGGTTCGTCGTGACGCGGCCTGTGCGTCGTTAGAGTATCATCTCGTTCTCTATGTTTTCGTTTCGTTGGTTCTCCTCGTGTTCGTCGCAGTAGCAGCACATGGAGCCGGAGTCCTCCTCCGAGTTCTCGGCGACGTACGTCGTGTACGTATCGATGCTCTTCGTATCCAGAGACGGGAGAGACCACGACAGAGACTCCGTCTCGAACTCCGGTATGGCCGAGTGCCAAGAGGTCAAGTTTCGCGACTTCTTCGCCTTGCGGCTGCTCGTCGACAATTTCTTGATGGCCTGAAGGAACGTTTTACAATATAGGCGATCCCGCTCCCGTTTTTATTAACGGACTAATTGGGAGCTAATCGGTGACTGAATCGAGGAATTTAAAAGCGATGGAACGATTTCAAAAGTCCAAGGCATTTTAAACAGCTATGCGAAGAAGAGTATATGTACGAACGCAGGCGATCACGTATGCATAGTATGTACTTTAATAGAAAAGCGTACGAACATGCTAGGTAGTCGGTCAAACGAATCAATGCCGAGCAAAACTAAAATCTAAATAAAGAAACTATGGCCGGTATTCAGAATCGTTGCTTATTCTTAAGACCGTCTTAAGCATTTGCTATCCTTGTCTATCTCATATTTCCAGTCCCAGTATTGTACAGGGACTTAAGCAAATGCTTAAGGCGATCTTAAAGATAAGTGAAGATTCTGAATATTTATGGATATTTAGGAGAAGAAAGAAATATCTGGACAGTCGAACGAAATCGAGCCAGTCTCGAATTCGGTGAACTAATTACGAGTTAACGTCCGCAGGTCCGAGGGAAATTAGGTCGACCGATGCACCAGAAGCGAATACGCGCGCGCACGCGCGTGTGTGTGTATGTGTGCATGCAACAGAGGCGAGGAGTGATTAAATGTCATCGTCTTACCCTGAGAAGTCTACGACCAGATTTGCTCAACAATTTTCTCAGCATGTCGACGACGTGTCACGTCACGGGGTCTTAAAATCCGAGCGTCGGTGTCGCGATCGCCGGGAAACGAGAAATTGAATGCGACACACAGCGGGGATTGATTTTTAAGCGATACGAACCCTGACTGCACCAGCCGCGACTGGAATCGATGCGCACGCTACGGTGTCACGCGACCGAATACCGCTCCGAGCCGGTCCACCCTCCTATTTATCACCTCGCAGCCTTGCCCGTTCCTTATCGTACCACGCCGTGCGAGCCACCCTCCCCTACCCTTACTGTGCGCCACTTCCGAGTGGACCTTTGGTAAACACAACGGGAAGGACTGCTTTAAACCCAGGCAAATTCTCCAAGATCTTTTTTCTCAAGCTGCTTATTTCATTTCGGTATAAACGAGTCGCATAGCCATGTGGAAACGAGAAATTGAGATAGCCTGCGATTGAAAATCATCTCCCACTTCGCATTGAAAAGTCGTGTAAACGAGATCGTTTACCGGATCGATCAATGTTCGGAGATCGAAAGAGAAAAAGTGGTGAAGAAGGGAGGGCGACGTTCATTGAAAAATCGAAGCGTGATCGGCGCGTGGCGCGGTCGCACGCACGCATGCGTGCGGTATACTTGCTTGAGCAAAGAGCTCGGATATACGCGAGCTAGTACGCACGTGCGCTACGTAACGCGAACGCGTGTGAGCGAACTTGTTCTCACGCGACGACACGCGGCCACCGTCCCCCAATGCGTATCGCCACGTGCCACTTGTATGCGCCCATGGAAAGCTCATAATTGTCATAACATTCGATCCGCGCTCGCTTCGCACAGAGAAACGCCAATATTCCGGCTTATGTCCTAAATCCGAAGGGCTCGGACACTCCCCTGCTTCCTCTGTTCCCGACCATTTCTCTCTTTACCCTTTCGTGACGTTTAGACGTAAAAGAATAAACCGAGTGTCCAACGTGTAAGTAAGAGAACAATATAAGCCTATGGAAAGAAACTCGTAAAATGACGTAGAAATTATTTAACAGTGTCATAAATTAGGCCCTTCCTCTAACATCGAGGATCTGAGGCTTCACTGTCTCTCATTTCCAGGGTGCATCCACTGGTCATTTTTTTCCAAGTCGTGTTTCGACGATCTTTTCCGGAGTTTCTGCCTCTCTTTCATATGCCGATAGAAAGAAAAGAAACTCTCCCCTTCATTTCCTTCCTTTCAATACCCCGGGCTTGATTCTCCCATTTAAGTCTCTCCCATATGTCGATATTTATCGCTTGAACTCCTGCCATCGAGAGTCTTCGTGATCTTTGATTTTTGGCAATCGACGATACATCCAAAATTCGAAGATCTCACACGAGCTGAATGACGTCAGCGGCGCGCCAAGTGATGACGTCAGAGCCACCCGCATTTCACATTCACTCGAAACTGGTTCATGTCAAACCAGTGATAGCATCTGATAGGATCTGAAATGTTTCGAAGCTTGAATTCGGTCATTGATTTATCACGGGTGTTCGGCTTAAGAGGTTAGAAACTATAACAATAAGTATTCGGTCTTGAGTCTTGCACACGAAATCTAATTACGATTCGGTTTTCGAAAACATGATTTTTAAGCTATCCCACTAAATCGGTTTGGACGCGTGACGCATCTTTTTAATCTACCAGCTTTTCGATCTCCCTCGAGCAAGTACACATGCGAAGTAACTGAATCAGCTCGACACGTGCCAAATATGTGTAACCACTCGTTCCTTGCGCTTCGATTAAACGTACTTGAATTCGGTAACTCGACAAGCTGTACTTCGATACGGAGAACAAAGAGATGAACGGTTGCAGGAAGAAAAGAACAACAGCTTCTTTCTTCCAAAGAAGGAGGAGGCGGGACTAACAATTTTGATTAAATAAGAAAGAACCTAATAATTTTTAGGGGAAACAATCGCCGATGGCGATGGAGTAACGAGCGGCGCGTGGCCGGCCACGTGCCTCCCCAATGCTCGCTCAAACATTATGTATGATGTTACGCGCGCAAAATAAGTCTCGCCTAATTGCAACGATCGCCGTGCCGTTCCATTAGAGATTAAACTTCAAACGAGACTCGGTCAGACTCGTTAATTAAGTCGACTCATTGAACCGTGGCGACGTTTTTGTGTTCCGTTCAAAGCGGAAAACGATACATTTTATTATTATTGTAAATGACCACGAACGAAATCGGTCTTTCGAAAATTACTCTTCCCAATTGTGTATCTCGCTTGCCGGTTATTTAAGGAAACGTCCGAACGTACGTGCCTCTCAAACGAGAAATCTGTTTGTCCGTCCGCTAAGGGTCAAATGTTGCAGTAATGAGATTGTTCAACCGGCAATGTTAATATGTTACGCAAATTGTAGAAAATCGCTTTTAATCTACGGCCATTCTTTTCACCGTGTCACGTATTGGCTAATCACCGAGCTGCGTCAATTCGACTTGTCACAAATATTTGTAATACCGCGATCCTGATTCTCGTCACGCGTCGATTTTGTGACGGAAATAGTAGATCACTAAACGCGGAACACTATAATTATAACGATAACCGATATTCTTTCTTACTACGCTAAAACTAGCGTAGATATTAGACTGTGAATTAATGTGAAGACACTGCTGCGTGAGCAGCGCGTCGAGAAAATTATGCGTTCCATTCACATAAACAAATATAATTTTATTTAAATACTATTTACATGGACCTTAGAAAAATAATATTTATATTTTATACAATTCACATGGGAAAACGCATATCTCTTATAATCTACATAACATCGTGATGTTCCAAGAGCGCTTCTTACAATTAAGATCCATATTTTAATTCAGGGGGGAGCGTTCGAGATTCTTAAATAGGCTCGTACAGCTTCTCTGGACTGTACGGTATATTTCTAATGTTTCCCGGCAACATCATCGGCACCAATTTAAAGCGAAGCTCGTAAGGGAAGAAGTCGTGGCAGAAGTTATAAAAATCCCAACGATTACGAATAATACCGAGTCGTGCCATTTCTTTCATCAAACAGTACATGTCAGTCTTGTATTTCGCAAAGGATTTAACTCTCATTATCCTCGACGTTACATTTGCGAGTTGCTGCACAAAGTTTTCGGAGACCACTCTCGTCTCTAATTTATACTTGGGTTCCAGGTGCTTCCACAAGTGTTTGTAAAAACGATCGGTGACCCACATTTTCGGACGAACGAGTTTAGGTGGTTTGTACGGTTGCCCGTTCACCAGGTAAGCCTTGTGAATCGGTTTCGTTGGACCCTGCTTCTTAGACTTTGATGTTATTCCCTTTTTAATCGGGCTTGTTACTTTCTCAGTCTTCTTGCCCTGCGTATCAGCCATTGCCTGCTCCTTCACTCTGTCCAATTTCTTCTTCAACTCTTCCACCTGGCTCTTATTTGAAAAGAACACCGAAGCCGGCATCCCATTTTCTACTTTTAAGAAATTCGTAATGCTCTTTTGTCCCTTTGAAACGTGTTTGTTATCTCTGCTCGTAGCGACCAACGGTTTCCTAGGCGTTTTCTTACTAGTGTTTGAAATTATCTGTTTTTTATTAGTCGAAAGAGGCGTCGCATTTACACCAGACGGACTCTGAATCGCACTTACATCCTTGCTGATAAGCGGTTTATTTTTAATTTCCAGTTTGCTGGAAACATTTGGAACAGATTCTTTCCCTCTGCTTGCATTCTCCTTATTATCTCTTTTAACACTAGGAGGAGGATCTGGATTGAACGTATCCTTCGTTTTTTCGAGAACTCCTAGTGATCTATCTTGTTTCGCGTCTTTAATTGAAGTGTTTAAACTTTTGCCCCGAACGTTTTCAATAATCTCAACCTTCTCTATCGACTGCGCTTTATTTTTAATTTCCGGTTTGCTGGAAACATTTGGAACAGATTTTTTCCTTCTGCTTATATTCTTCTTATTATCCCTTTTAGCACTAGTAGGAGCATCTGGATTGAACGCATCCTTCTCCTTCAGTTTCTCGAGAACTACTACTAGTCTATTTTGTTTCGCGTCTTTAATTAAAGTGTTTAAACTTTTGCCCCGAACGTTTTCAGTAGTCTCAACCTTTCCTATCGACTTATTTATAGTTGACGAAATTGATTCTTCTTTGGTAGGTGGTCGACCGGTTTGAATCTCAGGACTGTTTGGACTAATGGCTAAATCAGTTTGCTTCGGGCTTCCTTCTCGCTTACTTATACTTCTCTCGAATTTCAACGACTGAGACACGCTAATATCAAGCAATTCCGATCGTTTGTTTTTGCTCTTCGCACTAGATCTTATATCTTTCTGGGGTGTAGAAGAAGTTCTTTCTCGCACTTCAATCAAATTATTTCTATTTTGTTTTGAAAACTCCTCTTCAGAATCTTCGTCCGATGAAGACTCGAAAAGTTTAGTAGACCAATTTAAGCGAACATTCAGTTTTTTCGAAATATTCGTCGCACCGATCGATTGACTAATGAGCGTACGAGATAAATCTAGTTCCTCCTCGATTTCATTTATCGTCTTCCTGTTTCGTTCTGGAATATCCTCGACTTTTTCCAATTCAGGTTTATTTAACATTTGTATAAACGATGCGTGCGGCTTACTCGGAAAATTATCGCTCGCTCTTTTAGGAGTTTTTTCGATGCTAATGGATTTCATTTCGTTCACAACAGATGCAACAGGTGCGTTCTTTTTCGATCTCCTTTTGCCGCTACGTTTTGAAGTAAACGATTTGTTTTCCGATTCAGAATCGCTGGAAACAAGCCTTAACGTGTAATTTCGCGATGAACTCGTACTTTTATTTGACGAAACATCTCGCACAGTAGATGATTCAGATCGTTCTTCGTTTACAACATTCTCTCCTAAGTCTGATTTAGACACACCTGTAACAGGAACTTTCCCATCTCGTTGCGATTTACTTAAATGACCACTTCTTTCATTCAATCGTGTAGATGGAGTTTTTCTTCTTGAAGCATCTATTCCCCCAATTTGTTCAACATTTCCTGCCGCGTGCTGTTTTTCAGGTGATACCGGCTGTTTACTCTTGATATGTCGCTTCAAAGCGCTCGTATCCTCTAATTTACCCTCACTAGTAGCAAGAAATGAACCTCCCCGATTGTCCTCAGTTTTTTCTTTACTAGGTGATGATTCTTTCTGTACGTTGCTCGTATTCTTGTTATTCTGCTTACAAATAAAAATATCTTCATCCGATTCAGACTCACTCGTAACAGGTTTAACAGAATGTTCTTGTGACTTGGTCAGACGTTTACTTCTTCTTTTCGTGGCCTCTGTTTTTATATTTTGGTCAGTCGTTTCTGTAACTGGTGATAGTAATTGATTTCGGACTCTGCTCGTACTCCTGGTATTCCGCTTTTGAAGGATGTCTTTTTCCGTTTCAATGTTACTCGTGACCATAGGTGAACGTCCTCGCAGCCTACTCGGACTCTTTGAAGAATCTTGAACCTTAATTTGCTTAGCTTCTTCGGCAACAGGTGATACCATGTTCTTCTGCTCGTTACTTGTGTTTCTAGTTTTCAATACCTGAACATTATCTTCGGCAACAGATTCGCTAATAAGTCGTCTTCTGGTATTTTTCTTCTTGGAGCGATCGTGCTGCACGGGCTCGTCAGTTAATTCAATCTCCTCTACTATCGGTTTCGGGACTCGCCTACTCGAACTACGGGTCTGTCTTTTCGTCGGGGTCTCAGATGAAGCAACTTCTGGTCCCTTTTCCACGTCAATAGAAGCCGATCGTTTCCGTAAATTTCTAGAATACCTGCTCTTTCTCGTTCGAGTACTATCAAATGCTTGAGAAGTACGTGAAGTTGGCGTTAACTCCGGAACTGAGAAAAGATCCTCATTCTCCGACGTCTCGACGGGTAATGAAGAAGCCTCAGTCACCACGTTCTTCTTAGACATTTCTTTAACGATTTCTGGAGATATTCTCAGCGTAGACTTCGATTGCTTCGATGAGTGTTCCACGTCTTCTTCAATTCCTGTATTACTTTTATCAACTAACTTATTTTCCTCTATTTCCATGGTAGTTTCCTCGTCATCGATTACATCGTTAAACAGGTTTCTCCTGTTATTTCTGAAATGTCGGATTAATAACGCAGACTTCGGTTTACGTATCACATGTTCTTTGATGCTATTATTACTATCTTTCGTGCTATCAGCCTCAGGCATAGCACTACCTTCGAGTACTGTACTTTGCGCTTTTGGATGCGCAGAAATATTGTCTTCGTTCATAATTGAAACACTGGTTTCAGTTGCAGCTGAGTTTGCAAGCTCGCTGCTAGAAGCTAATATTATAGATTTTCGCTTTGGTAATCCTAACTCGTTTTCCGCCAGTACAGCACCAGACACATTCTTACTTTTATTCTTAGCGGTTTTCTTAGAAACGTCAGGCCTCGGCTTTATTATGTCGCTTGTACTACTTTCATCTGATCGACCGATATTGTCTACTCGTTTGGCAGGACTACTCGCGGTCTTATTTCTAGGTAAACTAGATACAGTGTTCTCTGAAGCACTTGAAATGTCCAAGAAAATATTACCTCTACTCTTCCTTTTCTTTGGATGCAAAGGCAACTTTGCCTTTCTTATTACAGGCTCGTACGTGGTCTCTTGAGATACATTGTTGTCAGTTATATCTAACAAAACATATAATTAATATCTGATGTTTCAAATCTTCGTAAATTATATGTACACACCTTTCTCCTTCTTTCTTTTTTGCATTTTTCCAGAAGTTGTACTGTCCAAATCGTTCAACATGTTCCACCACTGGTCCGGAGCCTGGTTACTATCTACTTCGGAGTCGGAATTTAGAATATCAGTCGATTGACTAAATTTAGTCGAATTCAAAGGCAGACGACTCAGCGTATTGTTCTCCAAATGTTTCCACCAGTACGGCTGTTCTACAATGCAAGTGCAACGTAACGTACTTTAACTATAACCTACAAAAACAAACGAGCAAACGTTCGTAACTCACCTTCGTCCAAGTTACCCGTGTCGGGATCCAGAATAGCAGAGCCTATGCTATATTTACTATTTCTAGTCAAGTTCTTTCGTCCAATTAAACTTTTTCGTTTAAACATTTTCAGTCTTCTTAGAAAACTATCGTTCACTGTCACACTCTTACTTCACTTCTTAAAATTCATTTATTTGCTTCTGTCCACATAAATTATAGTTGCTTAATGATATTAACGACGTGAAATAACGCATTTACATACCGAATTAAGGTCACGTAAACAAAACATGTTCTTGCTATTATTTATTTATTTATTTGACCATTTTTCCTGTTCAGGAGGATTTAGCCCTAAATTCACAGTTACTTACGAAACTATATCAAGCTAACCGTTAGATCGTACTCCTGATAGTAAACTAGGTTATGCTTACGACTACTGTTGTAATTTCGATCGCCTGAGCGTGTTTTTTCTCTTCCACACTTAAACTAAACTATTGTTTTCTTTAATAAACAAACCTAACATAGCAAGACCGAACACGATTCCCGCGTTAAACTGACCTGACCTTACGGAGTTCTAGCCAGAGGTCACAACTGGCCATAATACGCCCTCTGGCGAAACCGCAAAACTACATTTTTAAAAATGTTTCGAAATAATAGCAGAGAGAAAATCTTTCTCTTTGATAGCAGGTAATAGCTCCGGAGAAATTCCATTAATCATCCGATGATCAATTACATTTCTTTATAAATAACCTGAAGATTATATGGAATACTTGATTCTTTTAAATGGGAACCGTTCTTTTTCTTATTGCCTCTCAGAAGCGCGCAAACTTTGTTCCAATCATTTCTTTGTTAGTTATTAACTTCTCAAGGTAAATCATTAAGTACAAGCGGTATAAATTAGAACAAAATCGTAAGGAGAATTGTATTTATGGGTCTTCTATATCAGAAGCAAAGGGATGCAGTCATTGCACTCGGTTTCTTCTCATTGCATCTCGTTCTATTCCGACGCGTTTACACATACACACGTATACAATGTCTTATCGGTTGACGACGCTTTATTGTAAAAGTGAATTATGTCATGGGAAGATGGAGGAATAGTCTGATTTTTAAGATGATACACTGACATGAGAAGAGTTATACCTAATTGTAGCGCATGGGTGAATAAAGTTCGGGGTTTGATTAGCCTTAGATGAATCTCTCATTTTACTAAACGTTTATTTTACTTTCACTGATGAACGAGACCGAAGATTTTTCTTAGTCGCTTGATCGACCTCTGGTAGATCATCGTCCTCGGACATTGCAGACTTTTTTCCTGGATAGAAAACAAATTTTTTTTATAATCAACGAACCCAATGAAGAAATAAATAGATAAACAATTTTTATCAATTCGTCTCACCTTCCTTCTTCCTTAGTTTCTGTTTAGATTTCGCCGTCGTTTGTACCGGGACTACATTTTCGCGAGCACGTTTTATCTGCTTCGAACTGAACAAGTAAACCAGATAAACTTGGAAGGTAATAACTACGGCGAAAACGGAGAATCGTATGGCTGGAATATTGAAATTTCCAGTAGCAAAATCGAACGCGCCTTCGGCATTATTTAATCCATACAGGAAGAACAGGGTTGCTATGACCATAGTCGCGAAGCGCGCGAAAACGTACACCGAGTTAGCAACAAGGAATGCCACTGTAACAAAATAGTTCCAAAATGTTATTCACGGTTTTATATTAAATGATACAATTGACAGAATTGTACCCACTCTTTGTTATTTTCTCTTTTTTACTGATAAAATGAATGAGTCTAGCACTGTGAAGGAAAGCATCTCCCATGTAATGCAGAACCAACAGTAATATTCCTACTTGTTGGAAACTAAAATAAATGTAAATGTTTTACATAGTGATTTGTACTCTATGAAGGAAGTGTTTTATTACGACATACTTTAAGATATGAGCTGCGAGGGTGAAGAGGAGTCCAATGGTCGTCTCCACGACTCTGTGTGGAATATCCTCCTTCTTCACCCTTTGGAAATATAATTCAGGGTAACAATGGAACCAATAAGCGAGCTGGCCAATGAAGAACAGCTTCGAGGAAAATAATAATGGGACAGGATAATCCTTCCATAACGAAGGCATATTTAACAATAAGTCCTCCCTAAAAAGATTATCAAGTTATATACACTTGTACCTACAATTTATTACAGATATAGTTTAACTTCAGTATCTTTTACCTAACAATTATGTCTATACCCCATATAATGGAGAATAGATAGAACACGACGAGCTGACTGGATTCGTTGAACTTGGCAAGTTTCACTTTGCTCAGATGCAAACGTTTTGAAACTTTCTGGAATTATGCCAAGTATTTTATCGATGTTCGGGATTTGAAGCACGAAATCATTGTTACTTACATCAAATATGTAATCTTGGAACACAGCGTGCATTACAATCGTTATCAAAAAGTAGAAAAACACGGCACAAGCGTCCTTCCAACCGTTGGTGTATCTTATTGGCGCGGTTGGATCCTCGATGTCTGAAGTTACATTGTGATGGATAGCGATAAACGTGTATGCCCATGGCGATGTTACCTACAAGAAAATGAGATCGAACTTGGTGAGTTGGAGAAGAATGGAAGGCGTATGACTGGTCATGTAAGAAATTCAGGCTAACGTGGCGTTTAGACAAGTATAAAGGTTTTAAGTACGTTCCTCTTCGAGCATTTAATAAAAGAATGAGTAGTAATAAGAATTATATTATCTATAGCCTTCCGTGGCTAGAATCACAATAAATCTATCTATCTATCATGTTTCTTCCTACATCCTTCAGTCAACAAGTACCGGCGATGAGAAATAACATATGGTCACGCACGATATTAACGTTACATACTTACAGATGATCGAGGATCGTTCGGTCGAAATAATTCCATTAAATGAAAGGAATAACTCAACGATGAGAATCGTGAAAGCTAAAGTAAACGTGTCACAATACTAGTAAAATCGAACGCTTACCTGTACCATCAGACCCGTTACGAAGATCATAGCCACGCAAGAGACGATGTCTCCATGATTCTGAATAACAAATTCATGACTGAATATCGGCGGATTCTTATTCGAATTCTTCCGACCCTTTATCACGACCATTTTCTATAATAAAAACACAGTTATTCCGGTTACGGGTTCTCGATATTCTACACCGTATGAACCACTCACTCGAAGTGACTGCCGTCAAACGATTAAACGTGCACCAAATCACGCACACCGACAGTCACTGGCCGACGATGTCAGTGCGTATACACGACACAGACAAGTTGACGAAGAAGCATGCTGCAGCCAACACCGAACAATGTGGCGCTTTCTACCTTTGACATTACTCGTTGGCACCACGCGAATCAAAATGACGTTTACAACATTTTACCCGTTTATCCGTGCTTGAACATTAGTGGTTTTCTTGCAATCGTAAATAAAGAGTCCTTTTTCAACTCTATTACGATAATCAGTTTGGTTAGTGATACGTGATGCATAAGTGTACGGACGTTGTGTTGTTTCTAAATGCGGCGGAAGAGGTTACCCTAGAGGGTACGTTCAAATAATTGTTTTATTAAATGTACAATTCTTTATTTAATAACAACGGGGTAAGTCGCAGTAATGGGGAAATATTCGTCAGATATACTTTATTGATAGTATTAGGTACATTTTTAGTGATCACGATATTCTTATCCATTTATGTTGCGTATTCATACATACCACAAGTGTGTCTCGTGAAACTTTCAATACCTATCGATAAATAAATATACGAACAACTATGCGACGGTAAAAAGAAAATACACGTTCAACATCTCGGAACAAAATAATTTCTGGATTTCATATACACAGGCATATACATATTTTCTTTTTTATATCTATATTTTGCCAGAGATAAAATTGTAAAGTTCATTGGTCAACAATGAGTCGAAAATATATCTCTGCGATCGTAAAAATAATACTCTTTCAACGTTATATACTTTGTTATTATATATTACTTTATTACATCGATCGTTTGTAGTACGCCATTAACGCTTGTGTAATTGTACGTAAAGTATTTTGTATTAGCACGATTAGTACATTTACTTTAACACACCCGCGACCAAACCTCAGATTTCCGCATGAAGCCGTACAACGCACCGACTTCTCTGTATCGCGGTTACAAGGGAGAGAATATTACAAACAATAATTTTACTCTTATATGCAAAGCCGAATCGATGTCTGTTCAATTATCCATAGTTTCTTTCGTCCGATATTTAATTCATTCGGACTTAGTTCGATTCGATAACAATTTGAAACAGTTCACATTCTGTTCTCGCTGATGAAATAAATTTCTGATGTATGTAAAAAGTTTGCAACTCTGGATTCTATATCTTTACAGACAATATTTCATTTATCTCGTTTACACGTTTGTTAACATCGTCCATTGTCTTCATATTTTATTGAACGATTTTCAGCTATAGCAACGACCTTTAAATAAACAAGTTACATAAGCGTTTCTTATAAGTTAACGATAAAACTTTACGTTATTACGCTGTACTAGGCATACGGTTTTATGTTCGTGATGTATCTATATTAGATGGACGTATCAAACGGTTTTTTGAAAATAATCTTTTTACACGTTCCTCATGTGTTCGCGTTAAGGACACGCATTCGTAACCTTAAAAACGAATCGACTCACTCTATTAAGAAATCTGCTAAAACTCGGAAAGGAAAGATGCGAGTTAAAGTCTAATCTAACACTCGTTAAGAAGAGTACACGAGGATCCACGAGTATAATAGTAACACGAATTAAATCTACGTACTCCCGTAGTCATAAGCCTTAAACCTTAGCGAGACCTTGTAACGTTATATGCAACCAATACGACTTAGGTTTTCAGTTTCCCCTAAGCGTCGTTCGTCGTTGCAAAATTATGTTCTGAGGTAGACAAGTATATTTTTCGAATAGCTTTTCATAGCTATAGGCGAAGCTAAACCAAATTATAAGATTCCGTTAAAGAAAATTTATGCCACGTTATGTTTAATTTTATATCTTAGCGTAGACCACGAATATAGCCTAATAGATTCACTGGCGGACAGTAATGCAGTCGTGAAAGTAGTTAGTCGATCTCTGAGTTCATGTCGTAACCGAAAGTTATGCTATTCGTCGAGTACGATGCTCTCTAAAAGCATTCCTCTTCTAACGAATTCCTTTAAGAGCTACTAGAAAAAAAAACTGGGCTTGAAAATATCATGCACCTGTCACGATTCATACAGTTACGATATGATTACCGTGATTAGTTTCAGAATTGATGATTTTAGATTTATTAGGAAGATTCTAAGATTGAAAGCTATCGCGCTCGAATGTCATGTCGGGAGATTGATTAACGTTAGCCGTTATTCCCACTCGTCTTCATCGTTAAACTCGATTATGATTAGTTCCTTTACTAGAACGTTTAAACGCTGTATACATTGGCTTGATAAATTTTTCTCTTTTCGGCTTACTTTTTATATATAGTATGTATATATATATATATATGGCAATAAATATTTAACACCATTCGGTATAACAATATAATCTTCAGTTGTTATTAATGAAAATGCCACTGACAATCAGATTTCTTGCTATACATATATCTACTTGTTTCGTTTTCTTACGTTATTAGGATATAGCTTACCTCCACGCGGTTCAGGTACCACCTTTATACCTACTTCTCGCTTAATTTCTCATTCAAAATATATACTATATATAAATTTAGTATCTTTTAAATAAAATATTCGTCTGCATGTATTCATGATTATGACAGTAGTTTATAATAATTTGTTATTTATTAGGATAATTCACATTGCGTGTAATAAGTTCTCGTAATTAAATTACTGACCGTGTAAACGGTAATCGTTTATAGTTTACATCGCGACTTCGTGATAATCGCCGAGAAAAATTTTACCTACATTAGATCCCGCGGAATTGTATTCCACAATCGTGTACCCCCTAACACCTCCCCCCCCCGTCCTTAAGTTTGATCGTTTTGTTTCTGACAAATGTATCAACGGAACATGATTATTACAATGCCATACAATACTGTTCAACGAAATCTACAGTTAACAGATCATATTTATGGAACATTACCTTTCAGCCAGCCCTTCTGTTCGTCAATGACTTTTATACGAGAGGCGGGTCACTGTCGAGGTCCATCTCTTCTACCGTGATATAAAGTCCTTCCTCTTCATACGTCGACTCGTGTTTCGCTAAGACTTTGAGCAGTGGTCGCAGTTTCATCCACCATTGATACGTCGGAATGCGATGACTGAAAATATCATTGACACGTTGAAAAAAGTGGTCGAATAAAATCGAACGTGAATCCACTCACTCGAAGTCCGTAACTTCTACAAGTTCCATTAGAGGTGTGAATCGATACTGTCTCCGCACGATACCGATCATCACTGCACTGTCAGGGTCCATCGTCGATGTCCTACCATCGCTGTTGGTACATTTTTTTAGCTGCTCGCTGAACCAGTCGACTGCCTTCGAACCCATTTTCGTTCCCAAGTTCCGATCGAACGGAGTAGGGGATCCACCTTGCTGCATATGACCTGTATAAAAGAATTGTATGAATCATTATCCGCTCCTATTTGAATCATCGAAGTTTATCAGTGATTACGTACCGATGATATTCATTCTACAACTGAACAGTCCCTTCCCTTCTTCGCTAAAGAGTCTCTGCATAAAGTCGGTGGTGTAATTTAAGTTGGCATTTTCATTTCTCAAGATCAGGCCTCTTTGTACACCCTCTGACATCTTCGCAGCCATCGCGATCACGTCTTGATTCAAATCTTTTATGTTGAATTTCTCCTCAAAGATGTACGCCGCGTCAGCACCTCCGGCCAGACCCGCGACCGTGGCTAGGTAACCGCAGAATCCACCCATGGTCTCGATGATGAATACACGACGTTTTGTTCCCTGAGCAGACTGTCGGATTCTATCGCAAATCTAAAAATAACGGAGACCGAATAATATTTCGTCGACGCAATATGCGACGAAACTCGACGAACAAACATTGTTTGCTGTATCGTGCGAAAGTTTACCTCTGTGATCTCGTTTAAAGCGGTGTCGCAACCTAACGAGAATTCGGTACCAGGAACGTTGTTACTGATAGTTGCCGGAATCATAGCTATTGGAATTCGAAATTCTTCGAACTGTTTCCTGGCGTTGTAGAAAGTAAGTCCCGTTTGATAGCCCTTTTAGACAAACAAGGAATGATTGAACGTTCCGTGAAACAGTGATATGTACAAATTTCAAGTGACGATTACCTCGAATCCTCCTATTATCAATAGAGCTTGGATTCCAAATTCTTTAAGTTTCGCAGCGATCGCAGGTAACTGATCGTCTCTGGGTGGGGCACGCTTCGTTCCCAAGTAAGCACCACCTTGAGCCACCCAGCCAGTGACGGAGGGCCAGTCCATTAACTTAAATTTACCGGCCATAAGACCAAGTACTCCGTCACAGATACCATAAACCTAAGACGAAAAAATGTTAGGTTTCGATGGTCATCATTATTAAAGAATCCGAGTTAAGTAATACCTTATCGCCTCGGTAGATACAGTTTCTGACGAACGAACGCACCGCTGCGTTCATACCACAAGACGGTGAACCGATATGCATCACACCTAAGGTGTAGTGGTCCTGTAACAAAATTCGATATGAACGTAGTGGAAGGATTTCGATATCAGTCGACATCATGCTGCGTGCAGACAAAAGAAACAAACGCATTCTGTAGCGCTCAATCATAGCGTTTCGTATTAACATTTGCGTGATGCTAACATATATCTTTGTTCTTTTGTCCTGGCAAAAGCGTTTAGCTACAAATAAAAAAACTTGTACGTTAACGACAACATTTAAAAGTCTAATAACTCACTTGTCCGCATAAAGTGAATTGCTAATGTAAAAGGGGAAAAAATACAATATATTAGAAAGGCTGGCTGGTCACAAGGCATATATATTGTTCTTATGACAAAAAGTTATACACTTATAGCTTCGCTTAGTCAACAGATTTACCTTTGTTAATGTGGGGCCATTACTTTCCTGAAGCAATATCAAATAAGAGATGTAGTAAAGTGAAAATCTCTAACTCACTTCTAAGTGTTATAGAACTAAAAGCTCTCGAGACGCATCATATATATTTCTACAATTTATTACCAAGTATGCATCTAGAAGGCTTTAAGTTCCTCTCAGTTTTTCTGTTACTTATCCAACAGTAACTTACCTTGGTAGGATCGTGGTCCACAGGTGCTTTCAGGCGAGTCAACATTTTATATGTCTCCAAATTACGAGTGAATCCCCTGCAAACATTTATACAATTAAATATATCAACGTATATTAAATCAACAAAATTCGAGAGATGATTAACTTACTTTCCACGAAGTTGAACAGCAAGATCCCAATTTTTATCGGCCATAGCTTGCGCCACTGCTTTCGTACGACGAACGCATTCCATAAGGGGTAGTCTAACTGCTTGATTACCGTCTAACGTGACGACGCACGCTTCGGTGTCCGGTGTAGCTTCCATTAATGCCATTACCGCTTCTGCTCCCATTCGGCAACCCTAATTATCAGAATTCTTATTATATTTCCTGGAAAATGAATACTCTGCGTTACTATGCGCGAGTACTGACCAGAACTCTGTCAAAGGCTGACGGATTGCCACCTCTTTGTACATGGCCAAGAACGGTGATCCTAGTATCTTGTTGCAATTTGTCCACGACAACCTTATGAACCTTCTCCGCGGTAATTGGTTCACCATTTCTATCTATTGCGCCTTCCGCTACAATAATAATGTTAAGCCGTTGCCCAGTAAGTCTTTCCTGAAATTCATTCGTTCTGTAAGTTTTATACGTCCGGAACTTCAGAATCAGAAATGAAAGAAAATACGTAACGATACACAAGACTTTATATTTCCCATAAGCATGCGAAACAAGTGATTAGTTGAACTTAAAAATAACTGCATGATATTACGTATGCGTGGGAATTTATGAAAAAAGCATATAGAGCGCAAAGTAAAATATATTGTAGTAAGTAAACGAAAAGGCGTATTATACGTTGGCAAGTAAAAATTAACAAATTAAATATTCCTTCTCTTACTAATTAAACGGGGAAAATATAAACCGAAAGGACTTAGTTTCGCGATCGAAACTTCTCAAAGACGAGTTTGTAGAACCGATTGAAAAAAAATTAAAAAAAAAGTAAAGAGATTTGCGAACCTGCAGTAATTTTTTGCACAGCTTGTTCGGCCAGTCCTGTTCAGGCGGCCACTCTGGGATGAACACAAAATCAGCTTCACTACATATGGCTGCCACTAGAGCCAGGTAACTGTAATAGTATGTTATGAAAGCTATCTAAAAATATTACATTACATAAACAAGGCGATAACTACTGTGTACATAGATTTTTATATCGTTCGACGACGAATGTGCTTATAATGAATTTTCACTATTAAGAGGAATTGATAATTCTGGTAAAGGAGCAGACACAGTTTCGAGTGATAGCTATAAAAGTGGAACGATCAATCAAGCACCGAGTTATACAACTTTCGAGAGTTATTTAACTCGTTCATCTGTTCTTCGAACATCCTACTTTCGTATTATGTTCATTATACACTAAGTTAGCTTGTACGTGTATGTACAGGGTGTTCCGTAAAGGGTGTAAGAGCCGAAAATGGCAGATAGGGAGGGTCTTCCTGAACAACAATTTCCTTTGGCAAAATGCAGAATGGGGCTTGGTTACCGAGTTATTAACAAAAAACACGGACCAATCAGAGCGCTCGGTCTACGCGGGCTCCGACTCGGGAGCGTTGGCTCCGGCTCGGGATCGGATCCGGGCCAACGCTCCCGAGTCGGAGCCCGCGTAGACCGAGCGCTCTGATTGGTCCGTGTTTTTTGTTAATAACTCGGTAACCAAGCCCCATTCTGCATTTTGCCAAAGGAAATTGTTGTTCAGGAAGACCCTCCCTATCTGCCATTTTCGGCTCTTACACCCTTTACGGAACACCCTGTATGTAGTATACAAGTCGACTTATATGCATCTCAGCCGAAGGTACCTAGAAAGTGACTGTAAATATATCCTCAAATATACCNATACAGGGTGTTCCGTAAAGGGTGTAAGAGCCGAAAATGGCAGATAGGGAGGGTCTTCCTGAACAACAATTTCCTTTGGCAAAATGCAGAATGGGGCTTGGTTACCGAGTTATTAACAAAAAACACGGACCAATCAGAGCGCTCGGTCTACGCGGGCTCCGACTCGGGAGCGTTGGCTCCGGCTCGGGATCGGATCCGGGCCAACGCTCCCGAGTCGGAGCCCGCGTAGACCGAGCGCTCTGATTGGTCCGTGTTTTTTGTTAATAACTCGGTAACCAAGCCCCATTCTGCATTTTGCCAAAGGAAATTGTTGTTCAGGAAGACCCTCCCTATCTGCCATTTTCGGCTCTTACACCCTTTACGGAACACCCTGTATACTATGCAAAGAAGACTAATCGACGTCGAATAAGGTTCTCGGACAATTTAATGGTACGTTTAACTGTAAGGAGGAATACGAGTAACATTGGCAAACTAATCAAGCAATTAAAAAATTACATAACGAAAGGGAAACAAATCGTCCAATTAGTCAAATCAAGTTAGGGGCAAACAATAGAAGTGAGAAATAAACTTAGAGAATTCCTAAGTAACGTGCCTGCTCCAATTTTCTACATAATTTATCAGGCCAGTCAATGGGGGGTGGTGATTCCGGGCAGAAAACAAAGTCTGCCTCTGCTGCTAAAGCACCCACAATTGCCAAATACCTATCCACAAGTTCATGAAATTTTTAAAGAGTAAATAAAAGTAGACATTCCATTCATAAGTCACTACGACTAAATCCTATTATTTCCTATTGGTCGCTTATCATAGAATGAGGGAAATCTAGCTGCTGCGGAGATGACTCACCCACAATGACGACCCATAACTTCCATGATAAATGTTCTTTGATGAGAATACGCGGTGCTGACGATGGCATCGATACTCTCGATGATCCGATGCAACGCGGAATCTGTACCAATAGTCATGTCGGTTCCACAGAAATCGTTATCGATAGAACCTACCAAACCAGCAATATGCAAATGCTGATACTTGTCCGCTTGTTCCGGCGTGATTTCACCTGAGCGAACGGTTAGATGTTAGAATTATAAGGGAGAGGATAACACCAAACAGTGAGACGATCTTATTTCCTTTTACCTGCGTCCACCAATTCTTTCAAAAGTGTGGGCCACTCATCTTTGAACAAATTCGCACCAGTAAGCGAACCGTCACCGCCTATCACGACCAAATTCGTTATTCCACGAGTCACCAGATTCTTAGCAGCTTTCCTGCGTCCAGCGTGTTCTCTGAAGTCTGTGCATCGAGCCGATCCTATCACTGTACCACCCTGCAAAGTGTACTCGGGTTACAATTTAAAATAAGGCAGAAATAGTTTAGATTTAATTGACAGTACATACTCTATGAATAATACAAGATACAGAAGACCAGTTAGCTTCTACAATGTTGTTCTCACCGTCCACCATGCCTTGATAGCCTTCTTTGATGAAGAACACTTTGCAGCCTAGGTAAATACCCATTCTAACAACTGCACGAACAGCCGCGTTCATTCCTGAAAAATACGAACGATATCAATTACTTCGGTTAATATTGGCGTATTAATATTTGATGGAAATTATTGCTTACCTTGAGAGTCACCTCCACTGGTGAAGACCGCGAGGCCTTTACCTTTGTGACTACCAGGTTTTATAAACCTCTGGGCTATCTCCTCTGCCATACTTCCAGGGTAAAAGCTTCTTTTCTGCAGGTAACATAATGATTAGATAAAGTTATTTCAGTCTTTCATCCGGTAATTGTGTCTGTCGCAATATAGCTTATTTTTAGATGTCAACTGATTTGCCTCTCTCGTCGCGAGTATAGAATATCTGTCGAATTCATCGATGAAATCAAGCTCATCATCAGTTCCAAGATCAGTACAAGCGTGCATGGAAATCATGTGGGCCGGGGCCATCACATTTGCTGTGAACATCTATTTCATTTTTTTATACTTTCACCGAACTCGATGAATGTAACAAAGGGGACAGGCGTCGAGCTGCTAACTCACTTCTGGGAAGACCATTGATATTCTAACATTTTCCACTCGAGCCCTTTTACTTCTCTCAATTAAATTTGCAGCTAATTCTGAAACTGTCGGACTTCCAATGGTAGGACTTGTATCTTCTACATATTTCGCAGGACCTTTTTCAAAAAGTTCTTATTGCCTCCCAACGTTCTAACTAACTTTATTCTAGTTCGAGGTGTACGTTTTACAATCAGGTACATTATTTTACTTTGTATTAGAACTGAAACGTGAACAGAGGGATCTTCCTCCTCTTCCAATTCCTCTGGGGAATTGCAGACGCATACATCTTCATTTTTCTTGAACATGTTTCAAGAGATGTACGTAAAAGAAAAATTCAAACAAGACATCAATAAATGTAGTCTATTATACTGTACATAAAACATATACATATAACCTAAAATAACAAAAGTCAAGCTATTACAACATGAATCTAGCATTTGATGTATTCTAAATTTATTTTATGCAAGCTCGAACAACAATCATTGTTTCACGCATACAGAAATCGCAATTTTCATTATACTTTTTATGCGACTGTTGCTCACGTGCTATCGTGAATACGGAGGCTACGATAGCCTTATTTGAATAATAATAAAAGAGTACGTTACACAATTACGAAAACGATAAAATGCATAGGAAGAAAGTTAAACTTTCGAGGATCAGCAGCGACGTCTCCACTCAAGATCGATGGATCGTACAGAGCGTATGTTTAATAAAAATCGTGTTCTTAAGGGACGTTGCGACACGAAACATGTTCGACAGTCCTTCGTATTTTAAAATAAAATATCGCGTACAAAGAATCGATGAAATCTGGCACAGCCTCAAAAACTACTGTGCATCAAAACAACGGAACGACGACAGTACGTGCAGCAGGTATAGACGTATAGATCATCATCAGAATTGCGTGGACGACACGCGAGCGTCTAGCAAAGTGAAACTCGGAGAGATATGCAAATTGATGAGAGACAGTGGAACGGGATTCATTCAATGAAATTAACCAACTGTAATAACGGCGTGTCGTAACGTCACCCTGTCACTGACAACCTTCGTCACTGGGGTGAAACGTACGCTTCGATAAATATTTAATACGAATCGCAGACCTCTTTCACTCACCGAACAAGTGTTTACCCAGTCGCGATGAAAATCCGAAGGGGGATGATTTTCCTTCACAGGTTTCGAATTAACGAGAGAATACGCGGCGGACTCTGAGTCGTTGTCAGACTCGGCGTTCGCGTCTTGAGCCTGACTAAAGCTGAAGGTGACCTTTACGTGTGCTTCTGCACGAAACCCCCACCAGTAATATCGCTTAGGCTCCCTGCACCCCACTCTGTATGGAATTAAATTTAGGAAACGGCCGTAGATGGTGTTAGTGATACACATTACACGCGCTTACGACGGCCAATAACGATATGTAGGAATGTAAAATATGCCGCAGGTGAATGCGTTTAATGCACTGTCCGATTCTCAGTAACCGTTGAAAATTCTACATCTTTTAAAGCCTGTGTCCGTGCATTATCTCACGTTTTTTCTCAGCCGGAGAAATCTCGACGTGCTCTTCGTATCAATTTAACATAAGACGCGACGGTAGTACAGTTTCCCGTTCGATAGTTATTGACCCTTATTGATAGTTCATGCAATTTGTTTTACTAATAATCTTGAAAATTCTCTTCGAACGTCGTAAATGATGGTACTTTTAAGTTTTCTCTATGAACGCTGTTCTACGACTAGTAGCTCTTATTTTTAGTGGAGTTATTTCGAATGACGAGGCTCGAAGTAGTTCGACTAAGCCGAAATTTCATCAGCACTTCTTCGTAAAAAATGTTCACTCGTGATGGCGTCAGTCTGTGTGAGATCGAGTGACTCATTGCGAACTTCGTTTACAGAAAAAATAATCACCTTGAATAAAATGCGCATCACTTTCAGTCAGTAATCGCGTAACTCCACTTTACACTGCGTGTATTAAACTTTTGCGAAACGAAGTCTCACGTTAAGACGTACGTGTCGTTCACCTCGTATACTTACTTCCCAATTCTCAGAAAACCCATCGTCCTATTTTCCGTAGAAAGTGATCATCTGATTCTCTTCGTCGCTTTAATTGCAAACTGATGATGATGATGTTCATTCTTCGATCGATGAAACCGGTATCGGTCTTTGGTTTGCGGTAATTGGGCCAAGGTCTGAACAGTAATCCTAACGAGTAGTGAAACCAATTGACCACGTTGTTTATCATTAGACTCTGCTTCATAATTTCGAGATACAGATAATACATACAGTTGCGCGTGCGGTTCGAGCGGACAGAATCGGTCGCGTTTGTAAACAAAATAACGAAAAGACTGAATGAAACAGAAACGAGAAGTGAGAACCACAGACAACATGGGAAATTGAACAGTCTTTTTCTTGTACTTCTTCGTGTTCGGAAAGGCACGTGAATATTACGCAGAAGTGTATAGTCTAATTCTACCATGGGACAGTAGCGAGGAGAAGTTTCTACGTACAGATAAACACGTTGTAATGTACGACGATGCATATACATACGTACATACAAGAATCTACTTGTCGGTCACTTAATAAAAGCCAACTAGGTTTACTGTATTTTTCGTAGGCGAATATACAAACGTACACATTTTCGTATAAACTTTGAAAGTTAACAAGATGTACAAAGACATCGCGGTACTGTTCAATAGCTACGTTTTCTTAAATTCAACTTTAGCTTGTATACGCGTATAATACCAAAACGTTAGGTTTTTTTACCTTAACTTCAGATTCCCTTCTTCTTTTTGGTTTGCTTAAGTTAAGGTGATTATTTGGTGACCTGTGTTATCTTAAAATCGATACCCACCAATTCTGTACTCTTTTTTTATTCGTTCAAATTAGTGTCGAGAATGATATATCAAACGGTTTCCGCTTCACAATCCAATTGAACCTAATATCTTACCTATATCTTCTAACTCTCGTCAATATCTATACGAATCTTGGATCAACAATACCGAAGATATACTTTATGTATATTTACGATGAAGTCAGCGCGTACGAAACCAGTAATAATAATAATAATAATAATAATAATAATAATAATAATAATAATAATAATAATAGTAATAATAATATTAATAATCATAATAATGATGATGATGAGGATGACGATGATGATGATGATGATGATAATAATAATAGTAATATGTGATGACGTATGGCGACGACAGTAATATTAATCGTTACGAAGAGAATTCTTATCATATAGGAACATTGTGCTTAAGTTCTCCTACCTAGCTTTCGAAATTAACTGAAACTTCCTGCTTTTGAATATTGTTGAAAATATTGCAAGCGCTACATTTATATGTTTCTTTGCAATTACCGAACATAGAATAAAATCCATTATACATATTGCCATTCCAGAACCTGACGATACTGCAGAGCAGGATAATCGAGGTCTTGCTTTTGTTTTTCTGAGACATTTTATCAGAATTTATTATTTCGTGTAAACGTTTATAATAATAATTATAATTTACAATTACGATGATCGATGATAAATACAAATAGAACAACGTAAGGTGGGACAAGGAAACTAGGGGAGTAATAGCGGATGAATACTTGAAAGATGAGCCCTTTTCAATGGCTAGTTTTTCCTATGAGATGATGCTAGGTCGGGGTGAGGGGGGAGAGAAGGGGCGGAGGTGTATATTCGCGCGGCTCGAGAAACATAATTCTTGCCGTTCGTAACTTTACAATGTAAGCATCTCGATAATTGAATCGTCCCGGATCTTTTCAAGATCACGAAATGAGCGACAAATATGTAAATAGGACAACGAGAGACAGAGGAACCGAGCGGGAAAAGGGATGAAATAAAAAATTTGAGAAACAGTGACACACCACCTCTTCGTAGCTTGTCGTACCAACGACATACTCTCGTCGAGCCGAGGCGAGACGATCCGAACTTTGAAGTAAGCGGTTAGCACTCGTCTCGATAAGAGTCTCGACGAGAGTGTACTGCTGGCATAAGGAATTCTTGTTCGTTTTATAAATACATAGTGAGTGTTGCAAAAATAAATAAAATCAAGTAAGAGTTATAAGAGTACCATATTTGATCGAGGAAATAATATTCGAATAGCAAACCGAGGGGTGGCTCCAAAGAACTAACGTCTCGAATTCATTCGTCAGGATAAACTGTATATTGATCGTACGGTGTCAGGAATATAAAAAGGATCAAGGAAGAGGAAGATGGAGTAGGAGGAAAAGGAATCGAATATGGTTAAAAGTTGAAAACGATCGAGTCGTACAAATACATCGGTCGAACTTGCTGCGTAAGGACGAGATCGACAATTCGACAGTAAGTCTTCTGTTCTAACGTCCCGAACTCGCTCAGCTGGCCCGCTCTTACTTGTTTAGTCGGATTTAAGAACTCTCTCTCTCTCTCTCTCTCTCTCTCTGTCTCTGTTTGCGACTACGTACACGTTTCACTCTTACTTCCTAGTCTTTCTTGCATCGGTAATAAACGTGCACGAAACGATAAAAGCACAGTACGTGTTTAATGACAACGAAAGGTATCGTTAATCATGATCTCTCGATGCGGTCCGTTACCGTTATAGTTACTACCAGTCCCAGAAACACGCGAACGCCATTCGCAATTTTTTATCTTTACAAAATCGAGTTGGGTCTCCTTTTTTTTCCGTGTCGTTCGTTCACCTTTTTATCGTTTGACGCGATAGAAACATGGACACATTGAAGAGTACAACACATTACGGGGACGTTTATCCACGCAACACACGTAATTAATGATAATCGTTACTTGCTTCCATACGATAAACATTTACGTATATTGTGTGTGTTTCTGGTGTCAGTGTGTAAGTTCTGTACCTCCGCGTATATGGGTAGGTATATACGCATGTAAGTGTGTAGGTTAAGCGCACGTATTTTTTTGCGTTTCTTTTACATTACACTTAAAAAGTATCCATGCATACGAGACGAGGAATACGTGACAGTATTCGTTCTATCGACAGAGCTAGATTAGGACCGAAATGGAATGGACCGAACCAGAGGCGGATGGCGTGGATTCACACTCTCGAGGACCTAAAACCAACAACCCAGCAACGAAAACAAAAACGAAGAATTAAAAAGAAACAGAAGCGAACGCATACTTAACGTTTATTTATTCTTGCTATCGTAAAAAAGAATGATCAACTTTTTTAACACATAAAATGGAATTTCGCTTTCTTTCTTTTCATTTTACTCGATCGATGAGAGAACTATGACCTTCGGTATGGGTGCGTAGATATTTAAGTAAAATACAAAAGAGGACCTGCGTGTTGTAATTGTCAAATAATTAGAAGCACTTGATCCGTATGTATATACATATCAATCCGCCCCTGGACCGAACCCATCCGTAGTAGCATTTTCATGCGTTTGATTCTCTGAATTTTTAACAGATTTTCTTCTCTGATTTTTTTTAAATGGCAACGTGGTACGTCCCTCTTCTTAACCAGGCTTAGATTGTGCCGACCTAATTTTAAATCCTTTTCTTAGATTTCAGGAAAGAAAAGATAAACGCGGACTTAGCACGTTCTTCTTGCTGGCAGAGGTCTTCGCATACGAGACATTCGGAAAGAAGTTATTACATAAATTGGCAAAAACGAAGTAGTTTCGAAACTCTATCGATAAATTTCCATGAGATCGATCATGCCCGCAAGACTGAAATTAATGTATCTATATACATATATATACATATGGATATAAATATATATGTATATGATATATACATAAACCCGCGCACTTTACGTTTACGATGCATGTGCACGAAATGATTAGGACAATTCTTTCTTTTATATACGCACGTAAGATTTTGTTCTTCGTTTTCACTTGGTTTCATTTACCGCGCGTGTACGTAACATAGTGATCGAGTCTCTGATAAATATCTGCTGTATATATATTATCACTTATTATATGCGCATATATATTGAAACATATATATGTGAGAGCGGAGAAGATAGAAAGATGGAACAAAGAAAAGGAGATGACGGGTAAGGTGTTGGATCGAGGGACATGGGGTGGGTGTTGCGAGAGCAAGAGAGAGACGTGACTGATGCAGACGGGTTGTAAGTTGTAACAACGGGTCAAGTAGTTAGAACATGCTGAGAAATGTCTTAAAGACAGTTTTGTGTCGGCCGACCGTCAGCAAATCAAAATTCTCATGTCAATTCTATTCCAGACTGTTTAAGCGCTAGCAACGGACGGTCACGGTCTATGGTGGATAAAAATGTATTCTTTAGTTTAAGTGCTTCACTCACCTCGACAATGTACAGCAACTACGATTTGAACGAATTGCAAATTTTCAAATAACATATCTTTATGTAAGGTAAGAGGCGTTTCTTCAAAACGTTCTCAACGATCGAAATATAAAGCATACACGCACGCACGCACACATACACGCAAGTATTTAAAAAAAAAAAGAAATGGAAAGATAGGAAACGGAGAAAAAGGGAAATGGATACGCACACATGATTATCGTGCGCGCGCGCGCGCGCGCGTGCATAAGAGCTTCTTCTCTATTTTGTAAATACTTTCTATATGTGCAATGTGTAAAAAGTATCAAATGTAAAAATTAAGTCACCACCGATGTTATTTTGGAACTTAATAACTTAATGTATTTTTTCTTCTTTCTCCTCCTGCGTTCTTCCCTTCATATAATAATTATCGTACTTGCTAGACAATGTGAAATTTAATTTAATGACAGCTGGATATAATGTAGTTAGATTCATGCGTGCTTGTTTTCTTTTGACTTGATTTTTTATCGAATTTCTGTTTTGTTTAGCGAATATTTTAGAAATGGTAAATAAGTGAGCAGATCTGAGAGTAATGACAGTGGTTTTTTTATCTTTTCCTTTTACGTGGTTGTGTTTTTTTCGCATCCCGTGTCTCATCCCACAACGGTGGAATCGTCGCGTTTATGTTTCTACAGACCTCTCAACGACTAGTACATCGAACATTTTGCCTCGATAGGTTGCAGATTCATATCTACTATCGATTGCCTCTTCTTTATACACATGTACACTCTTGCCCTGCACGAATTGTAAGTGTTTCCCTTGATAGATAACGTTGTACGAAGAGACAGGGTTTGCGAAACGAATACTCTCTTTCCTGTCCATTCCTCTGTTCATCCACGATTTGTTCCTTCCTGTTCTTCCACACAAACACAAGTCGATACGCTTTCCTCGAACAAATTTGATGATGCCAGAGACCGAGCAATTCTCATCACTCGACCGCTACCTTTCATCAAGGGGCTGTTAAGTGTATAGCGCCACGCAATGTCCTCCGATATTCTCTTACTTTTCTTCTTCACCCGTCGCTCTTCCCCTCTCTCTGAAAGATCGAGAATTTTCTGTCTCTCTCTGCCCCCTTCGGAGTCAAAACGATTCAGTTGACTTTGGATATATCGTGCCGACGTGTACACATCAGCAACGATCAGCACGCGGATCGATCCTTCAGGAAAGGACACGGTCGAGTGCGAGGATCCTCGTGTTCGAACTGGGCGTAACAGCTGTGGCGGTGGCATTGGCAGCGGTGCGCGGTGTCACAGAACAAAGAGGTGACGATTCTCAAGGAGATTAAGGAAACAAGGATCGCGGAAAGAATGACGGTGATCTTACGAAATGTGGAAGAAAGAAAGGAAAGGGAAGGGAATAAGAAGGGGAACGTGGGGAGGAACGGGTTTGGGTCGTCGATGAAAATTTTTTCAAGACAGAAATTGCGACAGTTCTAGGGAAATGGAATGGAGAAAAAGAAACGGTACGGGTGGGTCGGAGGAAGAAAGAAGGTAGGAAGGAAGAAGGAAACGAGGTACGCGAGGGGGCGAGAGGGACAGGCTAATGGATAAATCGATCTCGGATGGATGGATGGGTGAGCATTTCAAGGGACGGGGAGTTAGGGGGCGATAGAGAATAGGATGTTCTTATTAGGTTTAGAAAGGACTTAAGCTTAGGAAGGTTAGTTATCTCCGCCCTCCTGTGCTTCGTCCGCGTCACCCTGCGTGTCACTGGTCCAGAGAGTAAGGTTGTCGCGCAAAAGCTGCATAATTAGCGTAGAATCTTTATAGCTGTCTTCGTTAAGTGTGTCTAACTCTGCAATCGCGTCGTCAAAGGCCTGCAAACGTTTACGAAATACATATTATTTTCTCGAATGATCGATTTCCGCCTGACTCACACGCACGATTTTCTATTCAGCAATCGCGACAAGCTACGAAACAACTCGCATTCGTCCGATATCACACGTTCGTGCAAAGCGACAAATCAGTATTTTGTACATATTAGAATTAAATTACGAACATGTTAATATAAATTGCGAGCGACTCGGAATGGTCACCGATACAGTGGAGACTCGTTAAAGCAATCGTCATACAATTCTCGTTTTTTTTTTACAAGTTAGTAAACGTTAAAAAAAAACTTTAGTACCACGGCACACTGGTTGCATCGATCATCGGTTATAGAGGGTAGGTTTATTTATTTCGAAAATCAATTCGATCAAGCAGTAAACCGTCTATTATCCCTGACCTGCTTGGCAAGATGACAGGCTCTAGCCGGAGAATTAATTATTTCATAATAAAAGACGGAGAAGTTGAGAGCAAGACCGAGCCTGATTGGATGGGTAGGTTGCATTTTTGACTTTGCTATGTCGAATGCTTCTTGGTACGCTTTCTGCGAATCTTCGACTACCGCTGTAATTCAAACCGAGAGTTGACCAAATTAAAAACTTGAAAAATAACAGGACCAGAAACGAAACCTTCGTCAACGTACATCTACGTAAATAGGATAGGGGGATGAAAAAAGGAGAATGGAATGGAGGATATCCCCTGTTTTCGCGCACGCGGATCACGCCGACGAGTAAGACGAACAAAAAGAAATGGGCTATCGTTCTCTTGCCTCCACTGCATCACCATCACCGTTTACGCTTATATCTTCCCGCGATTGCTGCTCGACATTCGACGCTTCCTCATTGTTTCTCAATAAATTATACCTGTTTGGCCAACTGACACGCCTTGTCTGGTGAGTTGATGATCTCGTAATAAAAAACGGAGAAGTTGAGAGCGAGACCGAGCCTAATGGGATGCGTGGGCTGCATCTTTGCCTTTGCTATGTCAAACGCTTCTTGATACGCTTTCTGCGAATCCTCGACTACCGCTGTAATGCAAACCGGGAAATCCAGATTACAATTTCTACAAATGTGCGAAACCAGCTTCCCACTGTGTCGCGGCCTGTTCGTACGGACCTTGGGGTAACGGGAAGAACGGGAAGGAGACAGGGAAAGGATGCGAGCGATCATCTCGATCGGCTCGCGTCACGCGTATGCGATTCGTTCGCGGAACTCGTTATACAGCGAGTCGTACGCGTCGTCGTTGCGTGAATGAAAAGTCGGGTAAAGAACACGAAATACGACGTAATTTTTTTTAAATGTTGCTTCTTCCTTCACCCCATACGTGGCACGAAACGTGATCATCGGTTTCTCTCTGCCTCCACTGCATCACCACCATCGTTTCGCATCTTTTCGCGATTGCTATCAATTCGTATAATCGATATGCGTGTCAACCCTCGCCTTTCGTTGAATTATACCTGTTTGGCCAGCTGGCAGGCCTTGTCTGGTGAGTTGAGGATCTCGTAATAGAAAACGGAGAAGTTGAGGGCGAGGCCTAGCCTGATCGGGTGAGTAGGCTGCATCTTGCACTTGCTGATTTCGAACGCGTCCTGGTACGCTTTCTGGCTGTCGTCTACCACGGCTGGATATACATCACGTGGAAAATTATCAGCAATGATTCGTAACTTTCCTTTAAGAGTAATCTGACGCGCGTTAGCTACCGTTGAACCGTGATCAGAATTTTTCCGATGTCCGAGCTAATCGCGAATTTCGGAACCTTCCAATCATCGACCCGACTTTATTAAAACGTAACTATACGAAGACGAAACGAAACGGAACATACGTTTTCGTGGTCACGAAGAAGGATGCGCGGCTTTAAATTCCAGCAACCATAGACAGAAAGGTTTTCTCTGTTCGAGCCAGGTGCATATACGCGGACGCGTCACGGAATTTTTTAAGAATCTTAGACCGTGCCGCAGGGACGGTTTCACTGAGGCACATCTGTCGACGCAGCTGTGCCACCTCTTTTCTGACGTATTTAGGTACGGGGCTCGGGCACAGGTACGAGACCATTGTGCGCTGACTTTCTGTTCGTGGAAAGGCGCTCGTCGAATTCGATGTTTACCTGACCATCTCAAGTAAGAAGGATCTTCTCTGGGACATCGTCGTACTCGACGATGCCGTGTACGAATCGAGCATAGAACGATGCGAACGAACGTCGGTGACGTAGGGGAATTGTCATTGAACAAACCAGTTCCAGACGGAATTGATCGATCACGGGAGAAGTAATGTTATTGTTAGCAAGTTCACTGAATTACCAACTACGTACCGTTTCTGGTTTCTCCGGTGGCAACTTCTGCGAGGTACCTGTAGTAGTCGCCCTTCATCTTGAGGTAGAATACTTTACTCTCGGCGTTACTAGCCTTGGGGATCAGGTACTTATCAAGGAGTCCCTGCAAACCCGAATCGTGCAATTTATTTCGCGTGACTCGAAACGTTTAATTTGTAATTTCCTAAAAGCCGTACTACTGGTATATGAAACGAAATGCCAGCATGTTATTTCTCTTTCGAATTCTCGAATTGAAACCAACGGAAGCGTTAGATTATTCTAGAACACGTGTGTATGCACACCTGCATTTGAACGACAGATCAACGTTATCGCTACGCGTTTCGTAACCGACAGCATCGACGAAACGCGAAGGGAAGGTGTATATTCTTTGAAGCTGAAGCAAGCTGTGTTACGCCCGTTACACGACGAGAAGAGGTCGTAAGACGAGATACTACAGAGAGATGCAACCGCGCCGCGTGAAATTTAAACCGGTGAGTGATCTTAGGTTCCGAAACCCTCGGAATACGCAGATGCGACAAAGAGGATCGTTCGCCGGCGTAAACCGATCCTCCGTAACACCAAAAACTAGCTACTGAATCGACGAGCGCACCCGCTCTTTTATTCTCTTTCAACGTCAACTGAGAATGACAAGGGACGAAAGAGAAAGGGAACGAGCTCTTACCAATACGTCGTAACAGATTTCGCGAAGCTCCTTTTCAACCTTTTCCCGGTATTCCTTGGCCATCTGCTGCTTGCGCTCGGAACCTTCGGTTTTCTGCTCGATAGAGGATATTACCCTCCACGAGCTACGTCTTGCGCCAACTACATTCTTGTACGCTACTGACAGCAGGTTCCTTTCTTCGTTCGACAACTCGACTCCCGTTTCCGTGACTGCTTTCATCGCGGCTGCCATATCATCGTACCTTTCCGCCTGCTCGGCAAGCTTTGCACGCTGTACCAATTCCTCCTTGTCCACAGACATTGTGTCGGCTGGAAAACAAAATCGATCAGTCTACGGCAAGACGACCAAACGAGTTTCTCGTCTCTACAATGAAACGTTCATTCACGTATGCTACTTGATAATTCATCGATTAATTTATTGAAGATTAACTTCAGCTGTACACATGGATCAATCGCGTGAGTCATTGCGTAGGGACGCGATACGATGCAGTTTGACGTAACGAATTGAGATGAAGATAAGAAATTACCGAAAGAGGAAATAGAAAGAGGAGGAGTTACGGAGAAGAGGCGTTCATCGACGCAAGAGAGTAACGCCGGCGGTAGCACGCGGCTTCAATGTCGAGCGGTTTTTCTCTTCTACCCGAGACTCGTCGGTGAGAATAGATTTCACCGACGCGTTTAGAACAGAAGGTGACGTAGGTAGTATGATCGTGGACGGGGAGCACGCGCGCGCTTCAGCCTGGCTGGCCTCGTTCGACACGATATGTACATCGCCATACATTTTCTTTACCCACCTTTAAGCTTGAACGCAAGTTTTTTCGTAGGAAGACTGTCGCAGTTTAAAAGTCATTCATTTATTTGTCGATGACCAAGAAAACGCTTTTACGATTTTGATCCTTCGAGTCAAATGGATTTAATTTAAAACCGTTCGAATTTGTTCGATACCTAACCTATTGTTTTTCCTGTTTAAAGGACGTCGACAGTTCGAACGTCTCTCTGTTTGTTACACTTTCACAGGGGAAAGAAGGTCGAAACCATGTAGAAAATAATCGATCGACACGGATGGTTGGAGAAAGGACTAAACTCGACGCAACGTGGGTATAATCTTATGGGCACGATGAGTCACGACGCCGGGCTGGCGTTACGACGCTTAACCATAGTAACGCACGCGTTTAAACATCCCGACTCGTTTTAACACGCCTCTCGTACGTCGACCGTGAACACGCACGCTCTCGTATTTTTATTCTGCTCGCCGGTTCATTTCTTCCGATTCATAAAAAAAGATTTCTGAAAATGGAGCTGACTAAATGCGGTCGAAGGAATTTTATCCAACGGGAGAACTCCATAACGCTTGATCTCCATCCAGGCTGCAGACTTTCATGCAAAATACTGTCTAATAAAACTAGCAGTCTCACGATTGTAATCCGTGTTGAAGTTGTTATCTACGTTCCTTTCGTGTATCGATTATCTTTTTTTTCCTACATCGCGCAAACTCCGTTCGATTCACGGTAAGATCTACGACTGACCGTCAGATTCTCATCGATAATTTACTGTTGAACAATTGTTAACAATTTTACTAGCCATCAATCGTCGCGTATAACTCGATGAAAGATAAGTTTCCGAGTTGAAACGTGAGTATAAGTTCGATCGGTAGTATCGAAGGTATGTAATTTTGAATAGCTGGCTTAAACAGCCGAACAGCGATCAACAGTATTGTACGTGTGCATCGGTAAACGCGTCCACGCTATTGCGCAGCTTTAAAGCGCCTCGTAAACGATTTATTTCCAAGTGCATAGCACGCGCACGCGCCCGCAATTCCATGTTTCGCGCCTGCCCAATTCGCCGAACATTGTTCTACGTCGCAACTTCTTTTTTTCCCTCTTAACATTTTAATTACACTTGTAAAAATATCGGCGACAATAGTCGAAAGATTGCTATCAGCATTATCGTTCGTCCAATTGCATAACCAAAGACCGAGGAGGTGGAAAGAACAACCATTTTTCAATCGTGCGTCGTATGAAAACCAAGTGCGATTGAGTTTCGCGTTTACACACTTCCGGTTCGTGATATTCGCCGCGGACAGGAAATGCTATTGTACGACGTTGAAGAGGAGCGAGCAATCGTAAATTGTTATGCATATTCTCGTTTCTAACTTCGACAGGCCAGAATAAAATTCCGTCCTCGCACAAATGGAGTTATTAATGAAAACAAAGTGCAAGTAGACTAGACGACAGCATTGATATTACTAACTGGAACACGTACAGCAGCGATATAATTAGCGGTTTTCGACGATTCAGAATTCCTTTGACATTCGTCAGATTGACAGCGAAGGAGAATGAGACTAATGAGATCATATTGCTTACATTATTATCTTATTCTTTTCAACGATTTGTACATAACGATAGAGAGTGAAATCGATGCTTTGAATTTTCGTGTCGTTAAACGATTATTTGCGTCGGTGAATAAAATACACGTGACTAGACGGAAGGTCAAACAGCGTTCCTCCTCAAAGGAACCCGGATAGAAATATTAAACCGGTAGGTGTATTCGACGTCCTATATTTAATCGCGCACAATTACCTGGCTTTAGGTTAGCAGAGGCTTGGCGACACTGTTGCCGGATCTACCGAAGAACCGATGAGAAACCCCACGTTGCCAGTGAAATAGTATTTCCGGCGCAGACTTTTCAATCGGACGAAACCCGAAAGAAACGAGATATCTCTCCGTACAAGTTCTGTACTATGCCTATTCGTGCTTCCAAAAATTTTCTCTGATTCTAATTCAAGATGATCTATAGACTCGGTAGAATATGAAGAACATACATGGTAATCGGGCGAATAGTTAATTAATGTGGCTAGCGAAGATGTCGCGCGGATCGGAAAACGTAATATCTCCGTCGCATTGATAAGAACAGGAACTTTATCGAACGGCACCTATCCAAGTTTATCTATATCGCCTTACATTATCCTCCTCGTGATAAGCTACCATTCTCCCGAGGCGAGTTATCTAATTTTCAATTTACGCGATCGCGTAATCGACTACGTTAAAAATTGCTATTGTCGAAAGATTCGCTAGGTCGAAGATCGCTCGCGCTCAACTCTTGAAGGAAAAAAAGAAATATTACGTAGAATCATCGCAAATAGTTTGAGGTTATAGCCGACGGTAGTCGCATAGCCGAGCCGAAGAGGGAGCAGCCAAACGGAGCGCCACGGCGCTACTTTCACGAAGCGAGAGCGAAATTCCTCGTCTTCGCTCTCTTTCTTTCTTTCCTCGCCCTCTCTCCCTCTCCCTCTTGCACGTTCTTCTCTTTAGCTAACACGCCCCGTACTCAAGGCGTTCAAGACCGTTTTCTGTCGCGATGCGAACGAGAACAAGTCGAGGACAAAGAAACCGACCGACGGATCGCCTTGCTTCCGGTGAAACGCGAATCGGCGTCACTGCGGGGATCGTACCGATTCACTTCTTCTGCGTCGCAGCATTATATCGCGGAGATCGATAGCCGGTTCACTTTCCTCGACTTCTTCGGTCGACCGGAGGAAAACGCGACGCGGAAACCGAGTTTCTAGCACGTTCTCGAGATGCCTCAGACTCGAAAAGGAGTCCGGCTGGAAATGCACATAGGGAAAGGTCGTTCGTCGCGGCGATCTGGCATGCATCAGGACGATCAGCAAGGGAGAAAAAAGGCATATAGCTAATAGTAAAAGATACTGGCAATACGCGTAAATTCTGGAGGAGATGAGAGACATAAAAGGCGTTAGCGGAACGGAGGCACATATATAGAAGGAGAACGAATCGTTGCAGTCTTACCTATAGTTTAAAGTCTTTTGTACAATAAATACTTAAATAAATACACGACTGGCGATTCGGTGATCTCGCGCGAAAATGGGAGGGGGCCGAAAACTGACTAGAACTCTCTCGGTACTGCTAGTTTCCTTTTGTCCGGGGGGTAAAGAGCGAGAGCGTATTACGCGGAGAAACTACGCCGGGTCTTTTTCCTCAGTCACACTCAGTTACGATACCACACATCCCTCAGTGACCACTCCCGCACAACGACTGAGCCGGCAACGCTGTTCATGGTGGGGACTCGGTGCGTCTCGTGCCGGGACTCGTCGCTGTTCGGGTGGGTTCGGTTCGCCTCGGTTACCCTCGTGGCCGAGCCGAAGTATTGATCGATTCGCCCAGCATGGCCGGCTCTGCTCGGCTGGGTGGGGCAGTGGCGCACGGATCTCCCTGTCCCTGTTCACGTCCCGGGACGCCAGCCATGGGGTACGATGCGTCGCACCGCGTCCTACTGCGTTCTTTTACGCACTACGCTATACGTATCTGCTACTACTACTACTGTCACACGCGATTTACATACATACAGATATCTCGCACCTCGCACCTTCCGCATCATTCTTCCTCTCTTCCCCATGCAAAATGCACACGCACTGCTCATTTTTCTCTTCTATACGAGCTCTTTAGAAACCAAACTTAATTAGCAGACTGCGGATTTCAGATTCAATTTCCTTTTACTATATTTGGTGTCTTTGTGTTCGGTGTACACCTAATTTGTTTATAAATTAAAATCGCAGTCTATTAATTACTGACTGCCAGAACAGACGTGGACTCACGTTTCGGGAAAGACGAATGTGACCAATTTCATTTCTAATAGGTTTTATGTATTCTGTCTTAGTTGATCTTCATTGAACTCTTAAACTTACTTCTCTGTCTCGTTGTTAATTATTGTACGACTTGGTAGGAAAGGAAAATGAGATAATTAAATATTCCTCCGTCAACTAAGATTATTGTTTGACTCAATAAGTTCCTTTTAATGATCTGTCTGGTTAAACTTTCATTAGCTACACGTCAAAAGCGTTCGAAGCGTTTCACGCGGAACGAACCAAAATGTAACAAGCTGTCTGCCGGTATCGATAAAAAAAATATGCAAACAATAGAGATCGATCAAGCGCGCAAAATCGAATCCCAAGAGACGCGAGAGGAACACGTGCATCGACACGTGATATCTGGCTCGTGGCAGCAGATCATTTTGAGAATATACAGGATATGTCTGTTAACGTCGCGATCAGTGTGTGTCGATCGATATTCGCTTTTATTTTAAACAAAACCGTCTTCAACGTATGATCACGTAGCAACAATAATCCCAGACGTGCAAACGATAAATTACAACGAGTAAGGGAACGGTGGTGAGTCTATCAAACGAAACTTTGTACGTGGCCACTTGGCCGTAACACCTTTCTGTCCTCAAGCCTCCTAATTTCCTCTTCTCGTAAAGAGGAACGATGATCAGATAATCAAAAAGGAAGAAAAGAACTTTTGCGGTAGGAAATTCCTCTCGATGGGACGAAAGAACGATATTTCGTATCGATGAAATCCGTGGAGGAGGACCGGCAATGAAAAACGAATACGAAGGTAATGTACAGAAATGGATAAGTGTTATATGTGGAATACAATGGTCGTATCGAGAAGGCGAGGGGCAGGAATAGGAAGTCCCTCTCTCTCTCTTTCTCGAACTGACGAGGCTAAAATGAAATATTGATCCGCGGAGGCGCGCGCAACCCCTGCAACCGACCCGCCCTTCTTCTATGTTCACCATTTTCTGTTGCTCACCCCCAGCTTTTCAACCCCTTCGCGACTTTTTTATTCTCCAGCGGATCTTGTCGACATAACTTATCCTTAAACCGTTATACCCCTCCCATCGATTCATCAAAAGTTTCACGTTCAGGATTTTCATCCAGCTCGACTCCTCGGACACCCTCGAACGACTACCGACAATGCCCGAAACCGATAATACAGAATACAAGCTAAAAGGTCGTTCTTGTGATTCTATCAAAGGCTCGGCAATGCCAATTGTTCGGGTACTGAGAACGCCGTGGCCAAACTTGAACGTCTCGTACGAGGAACGACAGATAATTCGATAGAAGACGACGAAGCAAGTACCTATGTTTCTACGGCGGCAATGCGCGTGCCTGAAGCACTTCGATTCGATCGTCTCACTTTTCGGATACCACGTATCCACGTACATACGCAATAAAGGTTCAATGTTAAATATAATAGGTATCATCGAAGGTCGGCTGAAGAAATTCTGTAACGAATCGAGGAGGACTGCACTCGTTTGAAATAACGATTTCAAGATGCTGTATCTGAATCGAGTATCGATCATTTCTCGCACGATATTATAATCTCCTACACAGAGAGATGTGTATAAAATTGTACCCCACACGATGATTATTCTGCTGCTTGAAAGACTAACGAGGCAACTTTCGCAACGAAGTTGCATGGATTTTCATACGTCACACGATTCTGAATGCAATTAACAATAGTCCTACCGTGGAGTGACCTGAAACACAATTTGTGTCTGAAGATTAGAAAATGTTTCAATGTTTAATTCATAAAGAAGATAGATACCAATTACAGTTCTGGCAATGTTATCTTTTCTGACCATTCGCAAGGAAATGTTTGGCACAGGAACGAACAGTTTTTCCACCGAGTGCTACCGGTAGCTGCCGATAAGGCGAGAGTTCGTTCGATCGTCCATCGACCATGAACGAGCTTCTCGTCTCGCGCCAAGAGACAACTTGAATACGCCGTTTCGAGAAGAAATACCGGGTGTAAACGCAGTGAATGAAAAGAAGAGAACGCGTGCACGCGGGGTTCAGAGGAAACCGAGGAAGCGTAACTGTTGCGACACTGACCTTGCACCGATATGCCGGCCTCGTAAAACCTCGACGCATTTTCGAAGTTTCCGTCTCGCGCACCAAAAACTTCTCTCTATTGTAACCGTTGTCGTCGTGGTCGTCGAATCGTAGTCGATCGCGCAGCCCGCAGGCAGGCATTCAAGGATTTTTCCCCATCGATTTTCGATAGTAGACGCATCACGACGCTATATTTATTATCGTGTTCGAGAAGATTCGGGAAGTACTCGCGTCACGTCGCAACTCGAGACAACCCAGAGCATTGCAGGTATTACTATTTCGTCAAGCTGATACAAATAATTCATTGAGTTCAACACAGAGACCAATTCTTCCGTTCGTATTAGATAACGAGTTGATACATATTTTTCATTAATTAGCTAGAAAACATCTCAATATTTTAATAGAAATATGTATAAACTCCACTACTAGCCTCTTATGCTTATCTGTACGATTTACACGCCGCTTATTTTATCCCGGTTATTCTTCTTTCAAGAGAAACTTGTTCGTTTATATATATGGAAAAATTGAACACAGAAGTGTCGAGTTCGCAGAATAGAAGAAGCTCTTGTACTCGGAAAAGGGCGCCGTGCTACAGGTGGTAGCGCAGAGCTATATCGCTCGGACTCCGATCTCCAACCAGACAATTTCTGCCCTTCGTTTCCCATTTCCTACCAACTGCTACCAGTTTCATTAAACTCCATTTGCATCGCGTATTGTATGGCCTTTGCGTATCGTTCGAGGGACGGACATTCATGGTACATTGAAAGAAAAAAAACGTATCAACGTCTTGTCAAAATAATGCTAGTGTCCCCTCGCGTTAATGATACGGTGCTGCAGTAATGATAGAAGTGGATTTTTACACGCAATGGTGCAATGCTTGCCGTATTTAAGAATTCGAATGACACACTTGTTTCGATGAACGTAAACATGACGAAACAATCTTACAATATCTACGTGCTTAAAAGTGACGCGCCTGAAGGGATAGAATTTGTTTTAGGATTTCCGGTGATTTAAGATACCGTCGACGACGCGAGACGAAGCTCGAGTCGCGGCTAGATTGCGCAATCGAAGTAGATAGGTAGCAAGTGCACGCTTTGCCACTGCCATTCACCCGTCTTCTAATACACACCTCTACCGTTACGCTCGATATTCTCATTCACATGCGACGAAATCCTACGCCAGCTCGAGTTCATCGAGTGAGCCATCAAGTGAGCCATCGAGCTCGAGGTGGGGAGAAAGGATTGACCGTGACTAGCCGGACTCGTCTCTAATCTAGATACTGTTACACTCTCAGCCTCTTCTTCCCTTTTCGTTTCGCAAATATTGAAACCGGCAGAATGCAATCACTTATTCGACGATTATATGACTGTCAATCATCGTACTCGTTACCTCGCAGCGTGGCGAGTAATGTTGGACGACGAATAGGCTTTTCGCTATTGAAATAATTAACCGAGCGACCACCTGAAATCTAACATCCTCACTCTAAGTACTAACTGACTCATACCAAGAAAAACATTCTTACTCATCTTGACCGTCGTTCCTAGCTACTCATCCTGTCTCTAGTGTTCCTCTTCCTATACTGTTCTAACCATTGTAGCTCGGTTACTCATACCAACTAGTTATAAGAACAACCAAACTTGTACAAACGAGCAGAGTACTATGCTGTCTAATAAATTGGAGTTTGAACTTAAGAAATGCTGCACTTAATTCCATATCTGTTCCACTGAGGCGAAAGTCACGAGATCGAAATATGGAATTAATACCACATAGCATTGTAAATAACTAACAAAGGCATGAAGATTTCCTTAAATCTTTGTATCTCCTTTAAACACGTATGTATATTAGGAAGCTTAGAAGTCGTGAGTATCTCTTGTAAACTCGTCACACTCAACGCCTCGATGAATAATAGAGCACACGTATTCGGTCTCTTGTTATCGACTTTTAAAATTGTCAGAGAAAAGAATTGTACGTAGAAGGTGTACACCTATTTACACTAGCCGACGCGAACGTTCGCAGAAACATACCGTACACATACGCGTGGAGCTCGCGCGAATTTCTGCGTCAGCCGTCTTGGAATAGCGAGTGATGTCAAGCTTACCGTTTCAGCTTTGGTATGACTCCTTGGTACATGTATATATGCCGGTCAAATACGCACACCTACGCGACACATATATATACGTGTACAAGGTTTTCATTCGAGGAAGGCTTCCAGATTGTCGAAATTCTGTCAACGTCTCGGTTACAAGCAATTCCTCAACGTTCCAGAGGATCTCGTGTTTGTCCAAAAGTTGGCCAAGACGGGACGTGGGTTTTTGGGTCAACAAACACCGGGCAAATAACAGGGGCGGAGAGTTCGAAAATGAAGCAAGGGTGTCGATACGTTTCCCTCTCCAGAACTGTTACTGCAACGTGTTTGTCAAAATTAGTAATGATATTTCGCTGAAACGATTACGTAAACTGCCTCCACGTGTTATTTATCAATCAAATTTCCATATATTTTGAATGAAATACAGCGACTAAATGTTTCATTTAAAGAGGAGGAAGAATGTCATTTAGGCGGCTGGTGTTAAATTAAGAGAACAGCCGTTTTTAGAAATACCGGGCGCGGAAAACAATCGTACGCACGCGACGTTCTCGTGTCTCGAGCGAGCTATCTTATTAGCTAGCAAAATTCAATTTCCGACTGTACGCGATGCACGTATCATGCTTCCGCAAACTTCGACCGTGATCACAAAACCCACCCCTCGGTTATACAACGTCGGTTTTTCTCTGAAAAGAAATCGAGCCTCCGACGTTTCAGTCAGGAAACGGGAATGGTGGGTCGCCGACTCCATTAGTTATTATGTCATTTCTTCTCGGCTGTTTTTTGACAAGCATAAACGATAGATTTCCAGACGAGTCGAGAAGATTGATAAAAGAAGAGGCGAGGTACATAAAGGTGATGAGAATTATGAGGTCGTGGTGAACGGCCAATTATCCGTAAACTCGGTTTCACGGGTGAGCCGGCACTCTGATCGAAGTGACGATGGCTCGAGTAGCCTTGCAGTGTGACACAGGGTGAAACAACATTGATATTCTTCCTACCCTGTCTCGAGCACCGTGCAACGGAGCATTCAGCCCCAAACGAAAACAACCCCTGCCGCTTGCGTTCAACTGACTTTTCTCGCGCACCTGAAACGTTCCGAGATAAACGCAGTTAAACCGGCCTGTAGGTCAATTTACATTGAAACACCGTTCGTATTCCTGTTGATAAAATAATACATGAATGTGACGATCATCTAATTGCAATGTGACTACTAAAAATCTGTCAGACTAAATAAACGGGCGACGAACATCGACGTAACGCGAGTCCTGTTGGCAACTCTATGTACGTCAACGAGTGAAGAATGAAAACGAAGATCTGTCGCAGATGCTGGCTATCGTCATTATCTTCGGCCTTGGCGAGATTAGACCTTACTAACTGAAGTTGTTCAATGACCGAGAAAGAGTAGGGGATATAGTGCAAAAGGAAGGAGAGTTCAGGGTTCCCCACTACGTACGAACGCCTACCTCCCGTTAAAATTCCCGATTAACATCATACGTACTATTGGTTGTACGATTATGCACGCGCGTACCGATCGACAGTCGTACGTGAAAAAAGCGTAAAGCATAAGAGCAGTATGATCATCGTTTCACCATTTGTCTTTCCGTATACACGAAAAATAAATCGATGTATCACCGGTATGATCTTCTTCACTATTCGTCTTTTCATATATACGATCTTCCGCGAAAAATAGATTAATGAATCGCGACGCATCATACGCGGAATCCCACATTCATAGTAGTAATAATTTGCACGGAAACGAAAATCGCTTATTACTATCGATGAATACATAAGCTGGACCTCGGTGTTTATCAGCCAAGAAGCAATATCGAAAGCGCGATAATCGGTTCACTTGTCAAAGGGCGTGTGCCGAGGCAGTATACCAGGATAGAAGGCGCATGTCGTGCTTTAACGCGACTTGAAGCGTTAAGCAGGCCGGATATCGTACGTGACAGTACGAACAAAAACTACTACGCAATGCGTGTCTTCGGTCTATCCTTGCCGTGCACGCATTGCACGAGTGCAAGAGTTGAAATATCGTAAGAAAATAATGAAGATATTGATCTAACATCCATATGATTACCTACTGTTCCGTTAATGTCTTTGTACGCGATGAATAAATATGAGAACGATCGGGTTAAGGTAGTTGCGTTAAAGATCGTTTTTAAAGATTCTTTAGAGATATGGAATGTAATTTAATCGCCGACTGCGTAACTAAGATGGCGGTAATCATCTCGCTTGCTCAGGACTGTCGCGTTGTGTGTCGCATCGCTACGTGCGGCAAATGACTGGCTTCAGACTGTCTCGCGTCGTACTCGAATTCAACGAACATTGCCAAAATGTTAATTGATTCGACGAATGATCGACGTGACGTGTACAATACGATACAGTGACGAATCGAACGATTCTGATTACGATAATTGAACGAAACGAAGGAGTTCTAGGTTATTTCAAGCGATCCGGGAAAATGATTTGGGGACTACATGGCTACGGGGTTCACACGACCCGCTTATCAACTACACCTCGTACTATTTCCGAGCGATATTCCGCGAGACATCGCCTCCGATAGACTCCGTTTACATTATGCATTCGTACACGATTATATTCGAAAATGTACTCACCTTTGGAGTGTTATAAACGGCCTAGAAAATCGAGGCTTCGGCGTATTCAACGGCTACCGTCCACTACGACTCACAGAGTGCACTGGCGCAACGAGCGGAAGCCGCCATCTTGGACTGCGTTCACTTGACGTTTTCCGCTTGTTCGAAAACTACTTGTCCATCGTTCCCGCCGCTTCTCAAATCGTCCGAACTAAAACTGTATATTTTCACGTTGATCACACATTATAATGTAATTGCGAGGACGATTCACGATTATAAACTGTATTAAATAAATTTAAACAACTGGAATTGATTACCAATGATAACGATTCTTTCGAACTCATAACCATTATATATCCATGCGTATATTTTTTACCATCGTACTTTGAGTATTATAGAACCGTTTATTATTATTATAATATTTAAAGCGATTGTTTAAAATTGAAAAGAAGTAAGAAATACCTGCTATATACTCAATCAAATATTACTGCGCCATATTGTCGTATTATGTGCACAACCTCTGCCAGTATATACTACTGCCTCATTGATTATACGTGATCTCCGAATCGTTGTTGGAACAAAATGCCAAAGTCGAAAAGGGATAAGAAAAGTAACGTTTTGCTTCGTTAACTTATTGTTTTACTGATCTGTCATTCAATTGTATAGAATTAGCTTTAAGACTAACCTAGGACTGTTCGCCACGTGCATTTAACTAATTGATAAACGTGTATTTACGTTTCGCAGTATCTCTTACGAAGACAAGTAAGAAAGGGCTTGCATTGAAACAACAGATCGTGGAAGATGTTAGGAGTTGCGTCGAGAAATACAAACGGATATTCCTTCTATCGGTGCATAATATGCGTAACAATAAACTTAAAGATTTGCGAGCCGAATGGAAAGACAGTCGGTTTTTCTTTGGGAAAAACAAAGTGATAGCGTTCGCGTTTGGCACATCGCCGGAGAACGAAATCGCAGAGGGTCTTCATAAATTATCTGCAATATTAAGGGGACAGTGTGGTTTACTCTTCACGAACAGAAGTAAAAAGGAGGTATGTACTCTGTTCAAAATGATATAGTCATGGTTGTAATTAATATATTTCTTAAGGTTTTAAAATGGCTCGAGGAATATGAAGAAATAGACTATGCTAGATCTGGATTTGTCCCTGAAGAGACTGTAACTTTACCTGAAGGACCGATGCCGGAATTCTCGCACAGCATTGAACCACACTTAAGGCAATTAGAAATGCCTACATCGTTGCAGAGAGGGGTGGTAACTTTGATCAAAGAATATACTGTGTGCAAAGCAGGACAACCATTGACTCCGGCACAAGCAAGGATTTTGGTAAGTAGACTGTTGCCCCATTTAAGGTATTGAAAATAAGGAAATAATACGTAATCCTTGTTATAGAAATTGTTAGAGAGACCATTGGCAGTGTTTAAGCTGGTACCTTTAGGCATATATACTAAAAAGAATGGTTACAAACAACTTGCATCTAACGACGACACGAAGGAGAATGTAGAGGAGATGGAAGCAGAAGAAACAGAAGAAACTGATAATACATAAAATACCATCTGTCATATAATGGTAGAGCAATTATGAATATTGTATAACTTTAAATACCTGTTTATATCTATATGTATCCTACATATACATATACATTATGTACAAAGTTGAATTTTTATATGTAAATCGTATTGAAAAGAGAAACGTCTGAAGTTATTTGTTAGACTGACATTTCCTTTTTAACAACCGATATGCAATTGCATACTTTGTAAATTTCAAAGGACATCAAAATTCAAAAATGTTTTTCTCTTCCCTTTGAATCCTCTCACGAAACAAAATCATGACGTTACCTTTATACTTTTCTATATTCTGGATCATTGGAATCGTATGGGTAAATCATACAGTTATACCACGTTGTACTCTATTAACCTACACTAACCAGATATTAAAAACATGTAAATTCGTGACGCAGATTTTGTACTTTTGGTGTTCTGAAAATACGACTAATAATCGTAAAGTAAATTTCAATATAAATTCTACTAGAAGAGGTAGTAAGATCTCCGACGACTCTTCCGACGGATCCGACAATGAAAATTATAAACAACGAAAAAGGAAATTGAAATACGAGGTGCGTATCGATGGAAGAAGGTTCAATTTAGGAAACGTAGATCACTATTTTTCTTTAATTATTTCGTTACCAATTCCAGGCTAAAACTCGTTGGCCAAGTAGAACCTCGGTGGATACTATGTAATTCGAAAGTATAATAATACATACTCTCACAAAATTATTCAAGTGCTCTATGCTGTCCTACAGTTCGATTTTAACATAAATAAATTATACATATCGAATTTGAATGATTTCTTACGTGCTTTTGCGTTACTTTGCCATTTATTTGTTTCAAAAGCTACAAGATATATGCATCACGACGACGACTACATGTTGAAACAAAATTACACTTTGCACGATGCGACGCTTACAGTTAAAGATCGCGATGCGATGACGTTAGGTATACTGAATGTAGAAATGAGAATGAAAAGGTAATAGACAGATGCGGGAAATCGTGTCGTATATAAAACACTGACGATCCTACAAAATTTTCTTCGTTAGATAGAAATATGATATCATGTAAAATCGTACTTATTTTTATAAATACATATTCAAGCAATATCGATATCAGCTGTAAGAGAAAGCATTTACGATTTTATTCTCGTCGATTAAGTTATTGCTACGAAATGCTTTCAATATTTTTTAAATTCGGACGTAGGTCGGATTTTCCTTTATCGTTTACGTAACTTCAAGGATTTCATCAATTTGTCAACGTATCTATTATAATAAGAACGTATACAGAAATTATAAATATATATATATCTGATTTTATTTGTACTGAAGATAACGAACTTAAGAGATGCGATAAAATAATGTACCAAAAACTAAACAAATTTCGTCACTTATAAATACCATCCCATAATAAAAGGAATACTAATACCAATAATATAATAAATATAGTAATAATCCTAATCATATAAATAATATACATCGCCTACAAAGTGATAACATTTTTAAGTTAGAGGTCCATAAAAGATACGAAAGAAAATCACTGTCCCTAATGGAACTGTTATTCATATCCGACCAGAAGATGATTTCATTAATTAATCTAGATGTATGTACTTATTAGAATACAATACTGTATCGTCAAGAGTAATTTGCAATGTAGTATTATCGAATATCCATATACCTTTGATTCTAACTATTTCGAATAATAAAAGCTCTAACGTAGGTATATATATCTATTCTTATAGTTTCGAGTACGAATCATTGGCATTCGAAGCTCGAAGCAGTTTCAGTTCTATTTTCTTTGGTGGAGGATAATTGTACCTTCAGTGAGTTATCGATAACGATTAAAAAGCAATCAAGAGGATGGCATCGTGGGGGACCACGTTGTAGCAACAGAAAACTACGGTTCGCTAACACGTACCTATATACGATGCATTTTGAAAGACAGAGGCTTAGCGTGTATCGATACATAGATGTCTATGTAGCATAAAAAGAAATTGTGAACTCGGAGGTACGGTCACGACACACAGAGGAAAATCTTACACTTTTTTTCTTTCTTTGAACAACAGTAACTTTGTTTGTAGGAAACTGAAATTATTCGCATTATTCGCTGCTCGTACGAATGACGAATTCACCGTTTGTACACTGTTTACCGTCCAGACCTCGTTAGTAATTTGTTCGGAATATCACAATTACATAAACGATTACATCCTAGGATATGGCAATCTCACAGCACGCTAATTCAACGGAGATCACGTATAAAAATAAATAAGGATTTCTTTAACAAAATATTCGCTAAACGTATCAGGTAAAGTATACAGTAAATACACTTAAATTATATTACACTTCTTGTGAGCTACCGCGGTTGCGATTAACTAATTCCTAATCGACGTTTCTGTTTTCCTTTCTTTTCTTTTTAATTAAATAGAATGTAACACTTTTTTCTCTCAGTACGAAACTCTATTTAGTACGGGACATCTTTTTTAATCGATCACCTTATATTGCGATTAGTCATTGGTATCATAAAGTTCCAGACCATCAATTAGCAACTTAACATACATGTAGATATATACACTTAATGGAAAGAGAGAGATCTACTTAATTGTCGCAAGCAATTCGCTTAGAAATATTACGTTCAACGGTGCGTTAATCCCTGCGCCTGCGAGAGATACGCGTCGAGATGTGCTCTCTTCGTAAATTGTATTCAAAACTAACACAACGTCATTGATAGTAATCAACACGGCGGTCTTATCGCGCTCTAACAGAATCGGAATGTGTTTAAATTCAATTGTAAAAATGTACGCACCATTTGTGAATCGTTTGCGATGACGAACACGCGAATCTTAATACTACAGTCGGGGGATTGTAAACGCATGGATAATACAGTATACACTGAAATGTCGCACCAGTCTAGAATCACGTTTCCCTATGTTCGATAACGCGCAGGATACAAAAACAGTCAACGAAATCAATCATTATCGTATTACGAATAAACTGTATCTGATTCATCTCTCGACTTTCTATCGCGCTTAGTAAACCTGTTTCTGAGCGTACAGTTCCTCGAGCGGAGGTACTTCCGGTATCGGTTCTCGCCAATACGCGAAGTTACTAAACTCGTCCACTGCATCCTCTCTCCAGGCTGGGAAAAGATGATCGACTATGTAGCTCATGTTTGAGTATCTGCAAGAATAACGACGGGAACAAATTAATCGCCGAACTCTTGTAGCAGCGCTAAGCAGCGTGACTGCTAACACAGATCGAAGAACACAGAGTCTGGGGTAAATGTTGTATGCATAGTTTTGTTAAAGGAGAATGAGCTAAGCACAATGGGCTAGACTCTAGATTTCTATTTCTCTCGAAATAATTGCTGTCTGACACGGACACGTGGAATTAGATGGGAAACATTTAATCGGATGTTATGACCTGATCATAGATTCATGCAAACTACTTTCGACTTTGAACGAGATGTTTCATGAAACTTGGTAATACGACAAAGATATTTCGCCTGTCGAATGAGTAATACGTTCGAAGTATCTGGCTGGTTGTGCATAAACAAAAATAAGATAAAAACCATGTGAATGTAACTGATACACCAGCAACCCTTGTTTTGCAAAATCTCCACGCGTGCAACACGATTTTAAATAAGCTCCGTACTTCAATACCCATGTAATGAAACTACGTTAGGATCGTCGAAGATGAGTAAAGATGTGAAGAAGGAGATGATAATAAACAATTGTGTAACCAGTGCTTACCCTAAGAATCATAAGAAGATAGGTAGGAGTTCTTGCACAACCAAATACCTCAAAGCATACTAATTACTTCAAAGTAAAGAGACTAACTCAACGTCTATCTTAATTGTACAAAATAACAAGTAAAAATTTTAACAAGACAAAGGAAGAGAAATGTTGCCATTCGAAAATCTAATTACGCATGTACTAATATCTACCCTCCTGAGAAGGAGTCTGCGATATACGTCGCTACTAGAGACGCGGTCTAACTGTACGTGGAGGTATCTACGTATTTTGACTTCGTTGTGCGCACCATGGTCTACGATAAATTCATTAGGAAACTGAGTATCAGCAAATTTGAGGTACAATTCCTGGACATGAGGTAGAAAATCTCTCTAATCTCTATGTACATATGTTATACGAGACGCACTACCAATGATGCGTCTGTTTTCTAAGCCACTATTGAAACGTTATCAGACTATTAGAATAACACAGCTATGGTTGTGCCACCATCAGTAGATGTTTCACTTGGGCAGTGGCGGGAACAACTCATTGATGATATCGCACTGACATGCGTAACTGTAATCACAGAAATATCCGACCTATCAGTACCTTTCACTCAACGATCGATCATCCTCTTCTGCAAAACATCTTGCTTTCGCATTATTTTAAACTGACAAAATCTGTGTCTCAGGTTCTCATGCCGAAACTACTAAAAATACTAAAACGTTCCGTTTTAAGCAGTAGCAGCCAGCAGGTTCAATATTTCATAGTATAAGCATGCAGCAGACCGCAATGGTTCTTATTCCTTTTTAGCAACGAAAATGATCCCCGTGTATCGCGTTGTAAAATTAATTAAATCGATCGTGTACCGTGTGTAAGAGTTAGTATAAAAGCTCCGTAAATTCAGTTACTTACGATGACTGGAATGTTTGGGTCAGTTCGTGTTTTAATTCACCCCTGTGGTTTATGGTGAATATACGCATAGTCGGAATTCCTACGGCGCGATACGCCCAAACGTCCTAGAAAAATAAAAGGAACATAATTTTAAACACATTGTCTACTGTTTTTATCTGAAATAATAGGCGAATTATTACATTAATTCGGTTCCCGTAGCCAGCATAAAAAGGTCTTGAGCCTTCCGGGAATAAAGCTTGAATATCGCTGAGACAAGATATCTTGAACTCCTCAGGCTTCTTCTCTATCACCTCACGGTGCAACGCCGAAATTAGGCTCGTGGGATTTAAAAGCAACGGCCCGTCAGGAAGCGACAGATCTCCCTGTCTGATGCTTTTCAGGTATTCCCTCGTAACTTTAGCTTGTCCAATCGCTCTTGCAGACAGATAAAGCAGCTTGTACCCGTTATTCATGATCTTGGTGAACAACTGAGCTACGCCCGATTGAGCCCAATCTTTACCAACGATCGGCAGAATATGACCCAACACGTCGGACTTCGTGATAGTTCCGTCTATGTCGGAGATAACTATTTTGTCATCCCATTTCCATTTGTAAATATGGCATTTGCAACGTGTCGTGCCTTGATAAGCCGTGGTTACGCTGAAAACTACTTCGTTAGCTCCGTCTTTTAAATCGAGACTCGCCTGTAACAAATATACGAAGTTCCTTGTAATTTTCATATAACCGAAGTTTTCAACCGTGTAACTATGAAGATAGCACGTACTATTTGAGCAGATGACAATCTCAAAGTCTTGCGATATTTTTCGGCACACTCGTAATACGATCTTCTTTCTTTTGGTATTTTTATTCCCTGCGATTCGTTCTGATTACTGTCGGAATCTTCGCTACCGCTGTAACCTTCGCCTTCCCCTTCGCGATTCTTGTCAGTCTTGCTCGAGCTCTTCGCTAACTTTGTACTCTTTTCCACAGTCTCTTGTACGGTCGACGCAACGTTCTCGTCAAGTTTCGTTTCTATGTTTATCGCTTCGTCGACCGGAGTACTTTCCTTCGTGTCCAGTAAGTGTTCCGAAGATTGGATTGAATCAGCTGAATCATAAAACGAACACGAATGTAAGTACTTACATTGAAAAATAAGATTAATAACGAACTTACTCTGATCTTGAGACTTTTTCGGTGGCTGCGTAGAACGTCTCCACGAAAACCATGAACTGTAACCGGTACGACCCTCCGATGATTTGTCATTAGTTTCTTGCTTCTTTTCCTCGTGCATCGGTAATGGCATACATTGCGCGTACAAATTTTCAACCGTATTCTGTGGTAAATGTCTTTGGAAAGCGGCGTACGTCATTACTATTGGACAAGCAGTAGTCCAGTTGTAGTATTTCCCATTAATTTTCACGACCAAATTTGGATTTTCGTATAATTTCGGATCGGTGCAAATATCTTCGAATTGAAGCAAGTTCTGATGGAAAGCCTCTTTCAACGGGCCGGTCTCAGAATCCAGCCCACCGCACAAGGACAAGCTAATGTTCATGTTCCCATCGAATATAGATTGCTTCGGTTCCTCGAAATCGCTATCCAACGATTTCGGTCCACCGATCGCTCCTTCGATGCTGTTTGGACTTTGCGGTAGGCTCGGTCCATTTCCTGATTCCGTATCTTCTTCGTCTACTCCTTTACCATCTGAAGCACGTCGTATATATAAATGATTATTTAATTTGACACACTCTTTAATTATCGAGTAGAAACAAGCTATCCACCTTTATTAACTGCTGTTGGACCTCTGTGAGAAGAAGGGAAGTAAAGAGCTGCGACTTCTGGATCCAATTCGTCAGCGTTAATATCACTCAGGTAAATTCCCTCTGATTCTGGATTGCGTCTTACTCGAGACGTTTTTCTCATGAACGATAACATACCGCTGAGCATAGATCGTTGCGCATCGGCTGTTATTAAAAGAAACTATTATCAGAGCATGAAATTAAAGTATGTGTGAAAACTTGGACAAGAAACCGGCACGATGGTCTCTACTGACCGCTAATGGGTTGATTAGCGTTCGACGAGTTCAAAGAATTTCTGTGCGACGGGTGCGTCGATTCTGGAGGTAAAGTGGGTAATTCACCCCATCTCCAACTCTGTTGATTTTTATCATCCTGTTCAGCAGTTTCTTGCGTTATCTTACGCATTTCAAATTCTGTGTCAGACTGAACGGGTGAGCATGGCCTAGAATCCTGATTCCTATTAAATACGATGACAATAAAGGAGTTCAAACATTAATTTTACACATAAGTGGACGTCCCCCATGCACTTCTTATACGTGAAGTAAGATCATCTACAATTCTAACTGGCAGCTACGGGCAGTGCATTTTGCAAACATACATACATACGCGACAGACTTACTTTGTAATTTCGGTATCACTGAAGAAATGAAAATCCGTTTCAGGACGTTTCTCTGTCGTTTCCTGCACCGATATTATAGGCGGTTCGATTTTGTTTTCTACTTCGGCGTCTGGGATTGAATCCTTCGGCATCTTCAAAACAATTTACACGTGAATAAATGATACAGCATCCATGGTCAGCCATGTAGTTCAATTGCAGCAACTTACAATCTCGTTGAGAGAATCGTCTTGGAGAGAAGTGTCATTCTCACTTATCTCCGTTTGACTACTACTACCGTTACTGGTCTTCCTCTGAGATCCTTTCTTCTTCATAATACTTTTCCTCTTTCGTTTCCTCTTCGTCGAACTGTTATTACTTTTGTTCTCCTCGTTCACATTCTCATCCTTCGAATTCTTTTTACTTATCGACGCGTTCGACTCGTCGCTTGATTTTTCTTTACTACTACTCAGCGCGTCTTCCGTGATCGGTCGGAAATCATTATTTACCACGCTAATTTTTCGAATTCTGTCTGACGAAGTCACAGCTACGAAAGACTTAGGAGTCGACATGGCGGGACATGTTTCATCGTCATTGATACCGTCCATGTCGAAAATCTCTTCTTCTCCTTTTAAAGATTCCCGTTTTCTCATTTCCTCTTTTTCCTTCCAGTCGGTCAACAACGCTTTCTCGAACTTCTGCCTCTGCTCCAGGGGCAGTTCAGGGAAATTTTCTTTGAACAATTTCTCCTTATCTTCACTTTTCAAAGCGGAATACTGTTTGCAAATGAATTGTTGTTTCTGCGCAGCAGAGATATTGCCAAAGTGTTCTTTAAACATCTCGTCTCTCTCCTCCGGAGTCAATGAAGCGATCTGGAGCCATTTCGCCCTGTGTTCTGCCGGAAGATCGGAGAATTGTTCGATCAAAAATTGTTCTCTCTGGTCCGGGGGCAGAGCTGACATTTGTTCCCATTTTTCTCTTTCAATGGACAAAACAGACTCTACGAGAATCTTGTCTCTTTGCTCTGGAGGAACGTCGGAAAGGATAAGGAATCTGGACGATGGCATACAATTGTCGTCGGGTATAGGGGAACAAGCCAAGTGAGGTGGAATTTCTGCATCAGTTGGAGATCCATTGGAATTAACTTCCTCGACGAAAAACGCTTCTCCGGAATCTCCAAGTTTCATATGAATCTGTCTAGGCTCCCCATTTATCTCTATATCCACCTATTAACAGAAAATAACAGTGTGATAAAATTACATACAGGAATATAATAATGCGTTGCACGTAAGCCTTCAGGCATTGACGGATATAAGTATCAGTGGACACATAGAGAGTCTAGAAGGTTCTACAAAATTATCTTTGAAAAATACTCACGATTTTTTCTCTAGAACGTAGTACGCCGAGTTTCCCGAATCGAACATGGAAAGGTGAACAGGTGAACGATCCGTTCGGCTGTTCGACGACGATCACGTCGATAGCACCGGTGAGCGTCGCCGCATTGATCTCGTTGTAGAAACCGCGAAAGTTGCTTATGAACTTTCCAATGTAGTTCATGCTGTACATCTTCTATTAACGTGTTGTCTAACTGTCGAAGGGTATTTTCAATAGGAGGTTTCACCGTGTCACGGCCACTGGCACTCGCGTTGCCTTCGGGTTCGTACTTCAAAGTTACCGCGACGAACGTATATTCGTTTCGAGGTCTCACGAGGCAGAATACGCAGAGTCCAGAATTCGCGTCGACGACTCACTTAACCGTGTCGGCGCATTATTTTCGCGAAACGTCGTTTCTCTTTCGGGCAACGGGTCGAGAAATTGCGGACGAGATTCAGCGCAGATCGTGTCTCAACGAAACTGAACTACTCCAACCGTCACTGTTTCGAAACGGTGCAAAGCTGTCAAGAATTTGAAGCCGGCCGAGTACCTCGGAGGGGGATTCACGATAAGTTTCTCGCGCATCGAGACTCTCGATCAATCGGATTAAAGCGAATTTGATACTGTTGAACGAAGACCGTTTGGCGAACAAGTACACTTGCGCGAATCGCGGAATCCTTTGTTCTTGCGGACTGCTCCGTAAGAAATCCGCCCGTCTACCAGCAGACGGTAGTACAAGTTGACGTTAGGACTGATCACGTGGCCCGCTGCAGCCAATCGGCGCCTCGATGGTACGCCTCGATCAATAAGACCACCAGACGCCACGTGACTCCGCGTCCTGGGTACCACCGTCCACCGCGTCCTTTAAATCTCGATTAAAACTGAAACAATGAAATATGTTAACATTCACACATTATTACATTCTATTACCATTCTTACATTACACAGAATTCATTGACTCAGCAAGCTTTGTCAAATAGGAAATTCATATTCAATATTGGAACACTTCAAAAATTATTGTTAGGTTATATACGTGATCTTTTATTTTATTATACTTATTGAATTAATGCATTCGTGCATTAGAAAAAAACATGACTAAATAATTATTGAAGTCTTTTAAGTCTCTAGCTAGAATAATTTTAAACGTTTGATGAATGGGAAATCGTACATGAGCGAAATTGACAGGAAATTGTATACTTCTTACATAACTATTTTCCCATTCGAAGAAAAACAGCTATATACATGAATTTTTATTCTAAGTGTTTCTTTAACATGTAAAAAACGAACATTGGACTTTTGTAACACTACTGTATAATTTCCTTCAAGTGGTGGGAGGTGGAAATGCATTTCGTAATACGGATCATACACGTGCGTCAATTTTAATATGACGAATGTCCCAATTTCTGTTCATCGCAGTGTCACTACTTACTTTATATTCTATCATTTTATACGTAATCTTAAACCAGTTGAAATTGTGAACAACAGAAATTGGCATATTTACTACATGTGTTTGGTCTTCTTTCATAATATTGTAAGAGGATCGCCGGGATATCTACGCGTGGGACAATCAGATACGGATATAAATTGCGTGACTGAGAGTGCACGCGAACGTCGCGTGTAACATCAAGGGTTCACTCGACCATCAGAAATTGCCTTGTTATCTCTACACTGATGATGCGTAAATGACTTCACAAAAAACCACTTCGAATAGTTCGATGATTTACGAATATTTTCTCCTATTTATAAACCGAGTTATTTTATACGAATTCTATTAATTTAATCGAGTGACAGTTTGTCTATTCAAACGATCACTCGATAAAGACGAAAATTCTATCTTTATCACGTGCATCATTAAGATTTCGTCAGAATGAATCAATCCTAATAATCTGTTGGACTTTTCGAGACGATTCGATCTTGCGCAACTTAAATCTACCAGTTCTCAGTCCGGAAGTTCTTACTGAATTGCCAACAGTGACAATTGGACAAATTTCAAGAACTACAATAGTTCGTCGGAACACGTAATGTTCTACTATTATTTGGAATTTCCCCGCGTGAGATATTCGTTTGTGTCATGCTCCTTGTTATTAGCAAGCCTCTCGTCATTGACATTGAAACAGTAGTCGTGAATTAACGTTAATGACAGCCGTGATTATTGATCGTGAACAATTCCTGTAGGTACTTAGAAAGTTTAAAACAATCAACAACAGTCAACAATATTCCAACGAAGAAACGCATATGTAGGTTCTACTATAACGAATTGCAGGAAGTATACTCGATTGCAGAGGTTAAAGACGCAACGCATACGAGAGCCGTAAAAGAGACCTGGTTCCGTAAAAGGACAACGTGCCTCAGTGCAAATTTTCTTCGAACGCGATTACGAATTAATAAAGCGAGTTGTTTGGTACTCGGCGAGTCGCCAAAATGGAAAGATGCTTCGAGAGCCAACGTAGAACAAACCTCGTAGAAATATACTCATAGTGACCCTCGTTAATATCCGGAGATATTTAAGAAAGCATTTTTAATATTGGACCAATCAACTCTTTTTAGACTTGAGCAGACTCAGTTTGTTAGTGTCTTGTAAAGTCTAAAAAGTCTAGAAACAGGTACAAATATACATGAGATTCACTGTCCACATTTCGTGTTTCGAATCTGTCACTATGTTTCCCTTTTGATAATCGTCGAGTCACGTCATTACTCATCTCTCAATATCTTTGCTTTCATTCATTATCGCCCACGATATTAAAGCATGGACGTGTACATAATTTGCAAATAATGCATAATCGCGAACGTGTAATCAGCTGTTAAATACCGAAGTTCTTTCAAAGGTGAAATGTGAAAATGTGAAGACCTGTTACGATGATGCGAGTTTACGCAACAGCCCACGGTTCGACGTTTAATCACGCTTCGGTCAACGCGTGAGAGAGAAAAAGACGATGTCGAAATGGCAACGTATGTATATCGTGAATGTGACGTAAAAGCAAAAGGCAGCGGGCTAGTGCGAGGCATCTGTTTAATAATTATATATATTATTATTATTATTTACCTATGTAAATCGAGAGATCCAGTTTTCTCCTCACTGTAATTGTTACTGACTCTTAACCACAAAAACGAACGACTTACGGTTACGGTAAACGTTCGTAACTGCAGCTGTCGATTCCACAAACGCAACGCTCTTACTTTCGCGGGTGAAACTCTCCGAAGAGAGCTGCCGCAGCTCGATTCGAGTGGAAATCGTGCGATCTACCGGCGCGTACACAACAGTGCTTCTACGTGAATCCAATTCTGAACTAGAAACTGTTCTATTCGTAGTTTACCTCCCACTTGGTCTCGCAATTTCGTTAAACAGAATTGGAAGTGGCCACGATAATGAATGATTAACGATTCGCAGGGAAAATATCCGGGATCCTCGACGCTTGGCCTCTGCCCAGGCTGATTCATTCACTAAGCTTTTGACACTGAACCTTAGAGTTATCGCACGTGTTAATAGAGATCGAATTTTTGTCGTACTGTACGACTCACGTTGACAACGGTTATTCAAAGAAAAATACGTAAGCTCAGACGATAACGCGAACGTAAGCTTCGAGAGAATCAATGTTAAAAAAACGAGCACGTCTGGTTTCTCTCTTACTTTACCTTTGATTTGTAAAACATCCGTTCGTGGCTCGTAAAATATTTTAACGACTTTTTATTTAAACGTATTAGCATTTCAGTGTCTCATGTGATATTTATGCAAATGACTAACATTTATATAGCGCATTGTATGCATATGATTTTAATGATCAGAAAATGAGGAACTGATCGAGCATACAGAGATGAATGTATTTCATTTCATCACGATACTCTTAGGATTGACATAATTAGTCTGCGGATTTACTGTATTATACAATTAAGAACATCAAAAGCTGAATGGATATTCCAATGTTTGAATGATCAAACAAAGTTTACACCAAACTGACAAAATACATGATTTATTTTGCACGATGATCCGTGGACTATCGATAATGTGCTATTCGTTTCTCGCTTACCTAATCAGAAATGCGATCCATTGTTCCCGGACAGAAGAAAACCACGCGATTCGCTGGTCCACGGTTAAACGTTGAAAATGCTTGTCACGCAATAACAAGAACTACAGTATGTCTATACGTTTGTTTTGCTTAAGTCAGCGTATCTCGTCGAACGTGCACGAGTCTCAAGGCGAAAGATACTGTTCGGAGGAGCGGTAGCGTGATGCATTTCGCACGAGCGTTAGTGTAAAACTGAGTCAGCGACCGGCGAAGTCTCTCGAGTCTCAAGTCTCAAAGTCTCAATATAGTATATCGCGTCTACGTTATTATCGCAACAACGCAATATATTTATACACGTTCGCTTGGGCAAAAGCATCGATGGGACTCGTGATATAATGTGGGTAGCTGGTAAACAAAGTTCGGAGACGGAGAAAACGTGTTTTCGCTAACTGAGGACTTTCCGATTGGACGGTGGTGCTTGCCGAGGCTCCTTTTGTCCTCGCGGATAGAGGAGAATGGGAAGGAGGAAGCGAAACGTTGACCCAGATCGTTCGACTTGCACACGCACCCGGTTTCTCCTCCGCTAAATGGATTCTGTTATTTGTGAAACGTACCCGAATCGTTCCCTTCGGGGCGATTCATTCTACGTAATATTAACTAAACTACACTTTATTTTTAGAAAATAATAATAATATGACTTACATGTACTCTTATAAAAGCTTCAACTTTCAATAATTTCTGGCGAGTGCAGCTCGTTATTTCAGTGCAAGGAGTTAAGAGGAAATGTTTTATTGTGACGCTAATATGTCTGAGGCGAAAGGAAAATTGACTTTCAAGTTTCTTTGGTGTTTAATGGCTGACCTTCTGAATCAATAGATAGACATTAACAGATTAGACTAACATAAGTAAGGTCTAACGTGCAAAACAAGTTAATTATCTGTGTTTTCGAACGACAAATTTCAACCGAACTACTTGTTTCCTAGTTGGAATTTAATATTCAGAAAGTTCCTCGTTTTCAGAACTTTCAGTTAAATCGATAGATGTCCCTCGTACATATAAATACTAATACTAATCGATATTCCGTATCTTCCGCAGGTAGCAGATTGTTTCTATTCTCCCTGTAGCAGGGTGATTGACCTCGAGATGATGAGGATCGACCGTTACGCTCTAAGCATATGTATGCGTGCGTACGATGTGTACTGGTGAACGAACGTAGAATCGTGCGGCGAGCGAGCAACCGCGGAGAGGAAGTTATTGCGTTTGGTACGAAGGTCGGAAAAACAACCTCCTACCAAACAGCCTTTGAGAGGCGCGTTGTTTGTTCCTCCGTTTGTTCGGTCGTTCTGTCATCGAGCGGAGCCAAATTAGTAGCTGCGTGTGACTACGTTATCGCGTGCTGAAAAACAAGTAGATTTCGCAATCGAATGAAAAACAGTGTAACGTCACTGGTACGCCCAGCAATCCCAGACTTCCGATTCGTCGGTGTTCGGTTAACGATCCAACAAATCCAATGAAATTCCATGGATTATGACGACATAACATCGGCTGATGAATAATCGAATGATACGATTTGAAGACGTGTAACTAACTTGCAGCTCCCAACGGCGTGCTAATAAGATAACGCGGATTCAACCTCGACATTGTCGCTTCTGCTACCAATCGATAACCTTCGAGCCACCTATTGCATAATACCACTCCTGTTTGATCAGTATTCAAGCACGCGCAAGCGCTAGCACAATGTGCATGCGTCTATTATGAACGTATATCTATTCATCAATGTTGCGAATTTCCCGTTTGCCAACAGCTGTTCCACGTCATTATTTGGATTACATTAGACGATTAGACGATCGTTCCTTCATTTATGTTTTCACAGCGTCTCTCATCATTGACATTGCTTTTACAGACGCTAACTCAACTTCCTCCCTAATGTACACATACCTGGAATGGATAAAATCAATATAGATGAAAATATTGTCAGTAGTTTTAGTTCGTAGAAACGTTATTAAGATAACTCCTGAACAAATGTGTTGGGACAACGATTACAGGCAAAATATATGCACAGTTTATTTCATTGTTTGTCAGAGAACATCAATAATAATAATAAATGACAGAGGAAAAGATTCATCGAGAAGTCTTCACTCCGTTCCAATTAATTAATTGACAGTAGCAGCACGTAGACAGAAATATCGTTGTTATTGTAAACACCAGGCCTATTAATCACACGTGCTCGAGTACTTGTTTGGCGCTCGACGTTTCTTTTATCTGTGGCGTAATTTGTAGAATACACAAGCAAGTGAAAACATTTGTAAATAAAAAGCATTCGACGAAGTTAACGACTGTTTTCTCCTCATTTCATTCTTATTCCATATCCTAGCTTTGTTTTATTGCCGGGACCGTGTTAAAAAATAATGTAAATATTGGATGATCTTCGTGAGGGCACCACACAGCAAGCAACACTCATTTACGTTGATAATATCGAATCACCTCGACTCGGTTCGAGTCTATGCTCTGTCTTCGAGGCATCGCTCCTACCGATAAGAATTTTCCTCGAACCGTGCAATTTCTAGTTAAATAGACTAAAATCGAGGTCGTAGAATACTTGGACTGATAACCGTCGGTAGAAATTTTAATGCGTCCCAGATAACGACAAACAGAAAGACAAGTTTACCTGTTGATATAGTCAGAGAACTGAGCGGACGCTCGATTTTAAAAAATGCAGACCAATTCTTGTTGGTTTTACGTTATTCTAATCGTGTTTGCACCTTTGAAAACGATGCTTGGGTGCAAAGGAGAACAGAAGGGGCAACAGGTGAATCTGACGAATTCGATCGACACTTTGATACCTTATATATCGAAATACATAGTGGATAGTAAAATGGATCCTTTAAAAATTCCGGACGTTCATCAGAGATTCTGTGTCACAGATGTACGTATTCGATGAATAATAAGTAATATAATAATTTTCAGTGGATTCGGTAGGCAGGCCAGATGAAAACGACAGTAGAATTGACGAAGTGAAATTCGGTCGACGAACCACTTTCTTCGATGACTCAAGATGAACAGTATTAACCGCGAGTCTCCGACTTGAACAAAATCGAAAGTGGTTCCTCGCCGAATTCACTGGAGGCGAGGTCGTTCACGTCTCGAAGATCCGTTTGACACTGAACTTGACGGAAATAGGACAAGAAGACTCGTCGAGTAATCCTGCATACAGTCAGAGTAGAAAATAAATACAGTCTTCTTCCGATAAACGCAGGATCGAAATGCATTACATTTGAAACGAGATGACTATAGAAGTTATTTTCCATATTTATCAATGGAATCGTATATGGTACAATTTATAACACGTGACTCCGATAGCTCCGAGACCAGAAATAGAAAAGCATTCTTCGGTGACACGATTAATATGTCAGTTAAGCCTTTATGCGTCAGATTTTTATCACTACCCGTTTATCAGTTTCTTTAACCAGAATGGCTACAGATTTGAAGTAGGATTTGCTCTATAAAGAATATGTACTCAGATCGGATCATCACCTGCTGCAAATCCGATATGAGTACATTTTGCTGACAGGGCAAAGCCATCCAACCTTCGAGAGTCCGGTCATGGGCAAATTGCGTACTCGTTGCACAACTGACCTACTTTCCTTCCTCGAACCGAGGCAATGAACCGAGGCAATTCGAACGCAATGAATTTCGCTCCTACATCAATTTCGTACATCTTCCTGCTCTATTCTCTATTCTCTTGCTATATATATCCACTGATTATAAGTACTTTCTACAGATAATAGTATATGGAAAAATGTACAGGAACGATAAATAACAGGCAAACAATGATAAACGTTATCATCCAGATGTAATCTTAATCTGAGAAATTTTATTGACCGACCTTAGGATCCTAGATATATTAAAACACAAGATACAATTCGAAAATTAAGGAAATCCAAGGCCTTTTATCTGCCGCAAATAATTGAATTTTACTGTCTCACTTTCCAACTGTGCAAACAACATATTTCGCACAACGCGAATAGCTATCGATAAAGTACTGATTACGCATGGGCAGCGAAACTTTGAAAATCGAAAGTCGAATCCGAGACTCCAGAGTTCCTCGTTGACCCACTTTCGAAACGAGAACTCTGTTTCGCTCTCTTTCATGAAACCGAAAGTGTTATTTATTATATGTTATTCGAGTCGACAGAGTTCGTTCACCTAAAATAATCAACTGAAGACTAAATAATAATCGAACGCGTATAAAATATTTATTCACAGTCATCGTAGGAATTATACCGGACAATAAGACGAGTAAAATCATATCTCTTTTCCAGTTACTTTTCTTTCCATTACCTATCTGCATCGGCCTAACGTACTCTTTGTCTTCGGGTTTGTTGCACTATCTATCACAGATAAAGCGACGCGGGCCCGTTATCATCACATCCAAAGATGGAGTCCTCGATGTCGACGCTAGTCTGACGTTCGACAAAATTTCGGTAACTATAGAAGACATTCCATAGAACTCTTAGAACGTGTTATGAAATTCGATGATTCGTCCAGGTGTCCTATAATTATTTTCTCGAATCGTTAATTTTGCAACAACATGGGAAATCAGTGATCGAAGGGGATTCGATTTGGGCCAACATAGGCCTTGCCGTAAACACCACCAGCTGCAAATTCGCTTTTAAGAGATTCAAGCTGATGAGTGTCAAGTACGTAGATTTATCGGAGTTCTACAACAAAGAGAGCTCTCTTTGATAAGCCAATTAACGAGAGTAAACAAAGCCTGCTGATACAATATAATTCTCGTGTCCGCAGGTCCATCCAAGTTATTATCAAAGAAGATGGTTTGATAAATCAGTTAATCATGTTTATAGCTAACATCGTAGTGTTCCTTATGAAGAATACGTTGATCGAAAGTATCGAAAGCGGAAGTACGACAGCTCTTCGAGAAGCCTTTAAAGGAATGAACGAAGCACCTTGCCCTTGGAACCCCATCAACTTAGTCCTCGCGATGTTTAATCTACTGCATAATATAGGGTGAAACGTATCGACGTGATTTAAAAATGTTATCTGCCATTAATCTGAGCATGTGAAATCAATTTGTAACAAAGTGCCTGTAATTAAGAATTCGTTCTTCTCTCACGTTATCGAAATGTACGAATACTGTTTATTTTCGATCAATTCTCTCAAGACGAACGAGAATACGATGCATCTCGATAACGTGATTAGATTAGAAGATAACGCAACGGTGTTTCAATAAAAATCGGGTAGACGAATGAAAGGTAGTCAGATCCTTCGTAATTAATCGTGCGAGTTCATCGATAGACTACGAACGTCATGGCTAGTCAAATTCGATTTCTCTCCCTGTTCTTCCTCTTCGCTTTGCTCACTACTGGTTTCGCACGATCTCTCGATTGCACGTAAGTTCTTCTGATCCATCGTTAATAAATCAGTTGATTTACTCTTTCGTAAGACACTGGTCTGTGGATTTCTATGCGAATTATTTATAGTATTGATTTAAGAAATGTTTGATATTGACAGTCTTTGTGTCTCATTAAATGCTTTCTTTAAATCTTTCTATAAAATCCGCAGATATCACTCTGCATCGTGAATGTATTACCGGGGAGAATTACCTGGATTCTCAAATCTTACTGACTTTTCGATGTAGGGAACAAGACGATTCGAATGACAGTTTGAACGACGAAAAAGTGTCGGCGAACATCAACAAAGTGTTCGACTCGCTGTTACCCGCGATTAAGAACATGATTCTGAGACATGGATTGGATCCATTGAAACTGGGCGACATATCCGAAAAGCTGGTACTTGTGCGATCGATAATGAGAACTTTTACGAGAACAACGTTTTAATTTTTATTTCACTCGCAGCCGGGAGTGATAAACCACAGCAGAGTGATCAATCTGAGCAATGGCTGGTTCCAAGGATTGTCGAATTTAAAACGAGGGAAAGACATAATCATGTCTTACGAAAATAAAATCCTGACGATAGACGCTTATCTCCAATTCGACCTTCTCGGTGTAAGGAATTTAGAATTTATATTTATTACAAAAATATTAACTATTTAATAACAGTAATAATAAGATAAGAATAGATATCAAAATAATATTAATAATTTAGTATTAGTTTATAAATAAACCACGTTTCTTGTTATTATTAACATTATTTTGATGTCTATTCTTATTTTATTATTACTATTATTACTATTATTATTATTATTAATGCGATGCTTTATTCTATTATTATTCTGATGTCTTATTTTATTTTTTGATATTCTGGTCCACAGAATACATTAATTACTATTATTTATGTAGCAAAAAGGGTTCTTGTTAATAAAATAAAATTAAATTAAGTAAAATCAAAACGAGAAAATTTCTGCAATTTGCAAGTTCAAACATTGATCGTATGAGTCTCTGGTTATTTTTGTGAACGACTGCAGCTCTCTAGTTTGTTAACTCTGTTGTTTGGAAATTCTCAGTTTGACTACGAGTACGTCTTCAAAGACTTATTGATCACGAGGAAGGGGGACATCCACGGGAGTATAAAAAACATGCAGATGCGAGTAGTCGTGGGAGTGGACTGGACCAAGTACAAACTTATCTTCGAGAGAGCCGAGATCATCAACATAGGGTAATCGTTTTAAAGGAGCCAATTAAATTTCACGTGCATGTTTAATTAAACTTTGCTTTCCAGCACTTTGGATATTAAGCTCGTGGGTAATATACTCGATCCGGTTCTCAACGCTGCGATCAAAGCGATCACTAAAATATTTCACAGGAGAGTCGTAGAAATGGTGGAGAAACAAGTCGCGGTGGTACTTGAATCGTTGTTGGATAAAATCAATGATAAGATTCCGCAACCGGATTCGCATCTGATCCTAAATGACATAATGAGCCACAGCGATGCCTTGTTCCCGTTATTATTTCGGATGATGTAAAAATCTTTGATTGAATAAACATAATTTTTTATTTTATATATAAGAATTTTATAACGCGTATTATACGTGTTACTCTGAGAAATACTTGATAACTGAACCGTGGATTTGGTACATTATATAAAAATACCGAAGGTGCGGAGAATAGGATAAAAATTCGCAGCCTATCGATAGCTTAAACGTGACTGTCTAATGACCCTCAGGGTGAAACTTCAAACGGTAAATCACGTTCAGGCTGATGAGAGAACTTGAGGCAATTTCAATTTCTAAGATATTCATTGAACTTTTCAATTAGGAAACCTAATTACAAAGCTGTTTCATTTTATAGAAGGGGACGTATCCCTCGTTCCAAAGTTTCATCTACTACTATCCGGTATCAGAATATTTTATCAAGTAATCAAAGCGGAACTTTACGTTCTAATCAAAGAAGTAGCCGTCTATCTACTAAAAAATTGATTCCCTCATATGAAACATTTCTCCTATTTCGACGTTCTAACGAATCTATCTTGAAATAGCAGGCAATCAAATTGCAATTCGAGTTTCCGTATGATTTCAACTCGTATATTCGGTGAGTGACCTCCCATACGTAATTGTAAGTTTAACAACCACGCGCCTTGGTCAATATCGGTGCTCCTGCAATCGATTACGACGTTCGCCAAGGTACCACCGTATTTGTTTTGACAATCGAGGAAGCCATGCGAAAGAAGGGTGAAATCAGATCGTGAAGCAGGGAGTCGAGCTGATTGCGACTGTAAGACCGAGCGAGCAGAGCACGCGCGGCGCAAGCCGCAGAAGCGGGTGTCGACCGACTCGGGCCGAGCAAGGTCGAGCCGGATCGAGCGGTGCCGACTACTTCCGAGCCAAACGACAGGACAGGACTGTCTGTTTACGATTATTATTAGTAGCAGACGCATGCTGTCGAAGAACTGTCAAACTGACGTTTCGGTCTGGCGAGGCAAATCGTATGGAAAAGATGATGATGTCAATCATCGCGGTTCGATGGCCTCGTTGCGAACTCTCGGATTTGGAAAAATTAATATATGTGGGAGGTGGCGAGATGAGATGAAATAAGAACAGTTGAGATACAGCGGATTGAAGAAGCGAACGCGCGATTCGCACGATGAACAGCGTTGTTTGAATAAGTTGGGTGGGACGCGACAAGAGAGAAGGGGATGAGTCGGTGAATCGATGAGAGGCGTACGGCAACGAGTTGAAGACTATCCTCAGGTCCTTAAGATTAGAAGTCAGATGGGATTAGAAAATGAGGAGAATAGGCAGGGTGATAGATGGAAGTTGGATGTCAGAGCGGTAACATGTTGTGGACGGTCGAATGGAAATCGCAAATCGCAAGCGGTGACGAGCGGTGACGAGCGGCGGCGCGCTGCGCGAAGCCGAGTCGGGCCGAGCGGAGCCGAGCCGAGCCGAGCTTAAACGTCGAGCGAGGCCGAAGCCGAAGCTGAAACCGTGTAGGCAAAAGCGAAGGGTTCGGCGCGGCGCGGAGCGGTGGCTGACAAGCGGATAGACGACCGCAGGCAAGCGTATTCGCGAGCGAGTACGGCCGAGAACGTGCGCGCGCGGTTTCCCAATCGAATTCAATCGACTGCGTTCTTCTGGCCCGAACACTTTGTCCTCTGTCGGGTTCTCGTTTTTGTTCGAGGCCGGTGCGCGTCTTCCCGACTGGACGCGCGCGTGTACCGGCCGTGTATGGACGGCGGCACGCGTGCACGAGTCGAGGAGGAAAAAGCCCTGGATTCGTCTCGCCTGCGATCCTCCGTTCGGCTCGGCTTTGCGAGTTCCTCCTCGGCCGGCGGCTCCCGTATCGCCAGGCGTAAAAAGAAGAAGAGGAGACGGCAGCAACATAGAAACAGTAACGTCGACGACGAGGACGAGCTCGTCGTCGTCGGTGCCGGTGCCGGTGACAGCGGCGGTGGTGACGACGGCGCCGGAGAATCGACCACCGACACCGTCGAGGCCTCGGTGAAGGAAGAAGAGGAACAGGAACGGCAGCAACAACAACAACAACAGGGGCAACCGATCCCCGGCGAGGAGCGGACCAAGCAACCGAGGAATCGATTTTCGCACAGCAACGAATCCCAACGAAACTCGACGACCAGAGGAGGAAGCGGCTCGCACGCGGCTGCCTCCTCCATCAGCTCCGGCAACACGCTTCTCAACCGTCGAGCTGCCACCAAGCGATCGTCCAGGAGATGCAACGCGAACGCGCGTAGAAACGCGATGACGATGGATCTCCAGAGACTGATCACAGAGGTACACGCCAGACCCGCGATCTGGGACCAGAAGAACGTCAACTATCACAATCGCGACGTCATCCTGAAGATGTGGCGCGAGATCGCGAGGGCTTGCGAGGTCTCCAGTGAGTATACGCCTCGCCTCTCCTCTCTCTCCGCCTCGCCACTTCCCACCTCTACTTTCTTCTTTCCGCCTCTTCTCGCGCCTGCGTCGACCACTGAGTTCCTCTCTCTCTCTCTCTCTCTCTCTTTCCTTTGTTCCTCTTTTCGTCTTTACTCTTCATCTTTTTTCTATTCCTCCCACTGCCTCTTTTTCGACTTCGTACCTTCCTTCCTTCCTTCCTTCCTTCCTTCCTTCCTTTCTTCCTTCCTTCCTTCCTTTCATTGTTCCTTCCGTTCCCCTCTTGGGTATATTTACATACATGTGTTGCGATCGAGCGTACGTTTCGGGCAACCGCTCGATAAGTACTCTTTCCTCCTACGCTCGTACTGTTATCGATCGCAAATTCGGCTCTATATACTTGACATGTACATACATACAAGTATTTTCGCCGAAGGACATTCACGACCATAGTCCGTCGAACGACTATGCAGTTGCCGTCGTGCGATCAATTTCGAGTCACAGCAATCTCAGTTTTACACGAATGCCATTGGAACACCGATAATGAACGCGGAAAATTCCGTCGGTCGAATGATATTCCATCGAATCGTGCGCAAGCGTTCGGAAACATCGAGCGAAACGAGATTTGCGAATTATGCACGCCTCTCTTCTAACGTACGCTCGTTCGTTTCTATCCGGTTTAGTCGAATCAGCTTGAAAACCGGAGACTCTCAAAGTTAAGGATGTATAGGCTATACATGTTTGTATACATGTACTGTATACTTAAACGATGTTAGCATGTTGAATTTGTTATTATAGATTCTCATTACTATTAAAAAGCTTCTTGTAAAATTTTAAATCAATTCATGAATTTTTTGAAAAAT